CTTCAATGTACGACTTTGAAAACTTCTACTTAGGAAATACAAAAGACAAAAATAATTACTAGAAGTTCCCATGTAGAAGTTTTCAAAGTGCAACATAAGTCCTACGAAGGATTTGAGAAAAAATGTTTTTGGAATAGATACTACAAGGAACTAACTTCCAGTTGACTGAAATTGTCAGTTAAACCGTCATTTTCTCAAATTCTGTAACATGCCTGGTGTACGCAGTATCCAGAATCCAAATTGAATTCAACGCGAAATACTGAGGAGAGGAAATTCAAAGTTTTTTAAGGCATTTGTTATAATTTAAACTAGATGTAAGGACATCATCTTTGCAAAAGAATTAAGTTGAATATTTTCCTCATTTCTTACGTAACCCGTCTTTCTTTAAAATACAGGTTAATAAAGTGTAAAAGCTATCGGAACTTTGTAGATGCGCGCATGGTATCACCTTTTGTATCACTCGTCATATTATACTGTGGCTTGGCTGATTTCAGTTGTTTCCAAATAGAAATGGCACCAGGGCTGTTCACTAAATTATGTCTATTTTTATGTTAATATTCGAATTTTCTTTTTTTAATTCAAATTTCATATTTCAAATTCATTACGACTAGTTTTAAATAATACGAAATCATTTTGCTATTTTTGTGACAAAAATGACGTTATAATTGATAAATCTAAAACATTCATCATCCAACCTAGAAGGTTGATTAGAACTAAATTTGAACTTCATTCTGATACTTTCGCAAGCTTCATGATAAATCTGAGTCAATAAATTTATATGCTTATTAATAACCTCATTAATCATTGGTGTTAAATACCATTTTTCTCATGTAAAAGGTTCCGTAAATTATTCACGAAAACTTCATTATAGTTATTTTTCCAGCGAAAGTTTGTCGTATTAGTACTCTTTTTGTTTGATAAAGTGAATCTTGAATAGTTGTTCTTATCTAAAATTCTAATTTACAGCAAATAGATAAATTATCTGATTCATTTTTATCAAAGACTTTAAAATATTTAACATACTTAAAAATCTTTGTTGAAGCAATCATATAATCTAAACTACCGTCGTTAGAATAACACGTATATCACATTAGCATCACCATGGCACCTGTCATTTAATAAATGTACATCAAATATGCAACACAAATATGCAACAAAAATTTACTAATTCTTTACCAAAATTATTCCTTCCGATACTATATTTATTTTGACGTGGAATTTAAAAATTACTTCCTTCATAATCAACATAACCAAAAATATACTGAAGATCATCGTAAAGAAAGAAATCTAAACAATCGCGATTCCTGGAATTAAAATCACCGCCCAAATTTACTTCAACCTCAGGATAATCAAGCTTATTTTTCTCCATATTATCATACATTTGTAAAACGTCATTTTACTCAAGCATTCTGTCATAAAACACTGAATTCTCAGGTGATATGTATGCAAAATACATAAATATATCGTTACTACGATAAAATTTTGAAAAGTTAATCAACAACAAAGTTCTTAAATTCTGAAAAGATATGATGACCTATGCCCTTTTTATTAAGTATATTGCTTATGAGACACTCATACTCCGCTGTTATGCTTGGCATTCGCTAACACGTTTCTTACATGATCAAAATTTGTATGTGAGCTTAAGAACTCAACACTTTAAATCAATATTGCTAGTGTCTATTTAATCCGCCAGTACTGCACGATAATATTTTTGTTTTTATTCAATCCCATAAAATACGCTTTTCATTTTCAATGCGGTTACGCTACCCCGCGGCAGGGAATGTAGCGAAATATAGAAATATGTGATTTACATGAGAATTTTTGTTTGTTTTTCTACAAAAGAACACATAACGAAATGAGCGTGATTTTTGCGTCTAAGGTATTTATAATCTTCTCCAGACCTTACTAACCGTCAACACGTCAACAAAGTTTACAGTAAACCGATGAAAAACAATAATGTTGAAGCTATGATAACAACTTGCTATACGAATATGCTATGAAAATGCTACAAAGTAATTTCTCCAGAAAATTTTTTACAGGCTTGTTCAGAAAAGTACATAATTTTAACCAGTCAAACAGTAGGCAAGCCATTTTCAGGAAATAAATTATATTAAATCAACGTGAGTTAACACAAAAAAACGTGACGTTGAATAATCTTACCTCAAAGGTAAAAAGCTCAGAATGATAAGCAATTGTAGAAATGTGCTGGTCATCTTTTGATAATCGCCATTAACATCCGTGCTTAAACGCTCAAATCCATTATTTTTTTTAAGTATTTCAAGTTACAGTTTATTCACACTGAATGTCATTCAATTGCATAACAATGGCTTACCGATCTCAATTATTGACCATTTTGATTGGTTTAGTTTTTTTATCCAATAAAATGCAAGTATTCGACTTCCTTCATAAAGATATTTGATCGATGCATTTAGAAGGAAATGACGATGTTTTGGTAAGTCAAACTTTTATTTGATTATTTACATTTAATAACAAAACAAATAAAAATTACTTTACATAGCTTAAAAACATGATGAATAAGTATAGTTACTTTTATACAATTACGGTTGTCCATTAAGTATAAATAAATGATATATATATTAAAGTTTGTCAAGTTTATCTTGTTCATTTATTTCATTGGCTTGCCTTTTTGTGTATGAAAATGCACATATATTATGGACAATATCATAATTTTTATTATGCTATATAACCTTTACATCACACACATTAAAATCAGAGTATATAACTTAATTGTTTATCTATAAGGGTGTTAAGCTGTTAAATGGTGAAATATACTATAACATTTTCAAAAGCTGTGCAATCATTTTGGGTTTATACACTAATATGCATATACGAGAGCCTATCAAGATACGCGGACACATCCATATTTTATTTAAACATTGAAATAGTTTATATGTTGACATTAATTTTGGTTTATATAATACTGTGAATATACATGTATTGCAGACTCAATATTTGATTTAACTGAGTTAAACAACCCCATGTATGACTTCGGCAGCTTTTTATTTCTATAATCGTAATATAACGAATTTACATAAAATTGGGCTAAAATGTCACTATATGTTGAATAACGTTTCCGTATTGTCCATGCATATCTTTAATGTCTTATTATTACAGTTGATTAAAATATTTGTTTAAACCTTTGCAAAAATAGAAGACAAAAAACGGCAGCAAATAACGACCTACAATTTAACGGTTCTTAAAGTCGTTGTCAGATGACAATTTCTGCGCTTAGCGACGCGGTCAATCTTAACCAGGAAAACTTTAAATATATACAATTGTTGTATATATGTTTTCAAATTGAACATGACAAAATATTGTTGTTCGAGTAATATTTGATTGGCTCTTGTATGAAAATTATTTTTACAATAAGTATTTATTTCTTATCATTAAGGTACATAACTTTTTGTAAAACAAGATATTAAAATATTATTTCATTTGTTTATTAAAATATATTGTAGATCACAAAAAAACATGACATTGTTAGACAAAAGACCCGGCCGACTCTGGTTGTGTCTATTTGTCATCGCAGTCAGCCCTATAATTGTGACGTCATTCGTGAACTATGAACCTGGCTATGAATATGTTTATAACATTGACTCAGCTATAGAACTTTCAGGAGTACAATCATTTGTTTGTAAAGGAAAGGTAAATGTATTAAAACTACAAATTTCGTGAAAATAAATAGAGGGTAAGAATGTTTTAGTTAACAATAAACATAACTGAATGTTGAAATTTGCGTAAGTTTGCATAATTTGGCCGTTCTAAAATATTTGTTTTTACACTATTTTACTACTAAGAACACAATATATTTTACATAAATATAGTGTTTTCATGCGTTTTGTTTAAATAATGATCCTGCATCATTAATGAATATAATTATATATTTAAGTGATTTGAAATAAACAATGGCACGAAATTCATTTACGCATGCACTTTATTCATATATTTACATTTATAATATTTGTATTAATATTTGCCGATGTTGTCATTTACCTAGATTGGATTCACAAAAATAGCAGAAAATGAGGGATATCAAGAATTGTTACTGTCCGTGTACTTGCTGAAGTTTAGTCCAGACAGTCAACCAGGTTAAGTTTCATGTTTCAATAAAAAAAACTTTTACTGACCAATTTATCTCCTTATTTCAAAATGCTTGCTTGTACATATTGATTACTACTATCGAGCTGAACTGAAAGTAAGATTCTTTTAATTCACAGTATGTCTAAATGAATGATATTATTTGTTTTTAAAGCATATCCTGCATTTGATTTTTATAAATATACTTTCTTTTTTACAGAAAGTGACAGCCATCATCAAGATTTTTCCAAATGGTAATATGTTCATGTTTATAAACTAATTCGACTAAAATGTCCACATTTCATATAAGACAAGGATTATTTAGAGATATATCTTGAAGTTCATTTTTCAAAAAAAAAAACAACAAAAAACAAAAAAAACATAATAAAGTAAAAAAGAAAGAAAATTAATATCGCCATTGTCAAAAGAGTTAAAATGATTTTATCTGACTATATATCACTCTCATTATCAAACGTGATGTAAAACTACAACTTAAAGGTGTGATAGTCTTTTGAATAAAATAATAAAATTTAAACCAAAGTTCTGCATATTAATTTAAAAGAATAAAATTGTTACTACTCGACCGGAATTTCCTTGAATACATTTCTTCCATGTCAAGTGTTCAAAAAGAGGGAAAACGATTTGCTTGCTCATCGCAAAATTTGACTTGATTGAGCTTATTTACCGTTGAACTGTGCTATTTTATGAAATATTTGCATTATGGCAGGGTTCGGGCGCTGGTGGTCGAAGCTCTGCGCAAAGCCAGGTTCGTCGATCGTAAAAGCTTTAAGAATCATAGTAAATTCGTGACGTCACTATAGCTTTACCATTTTACGTTTTAGCGTTGTCTTGTTGAACTGCTGTGACCATAGTTAGTTGATCGTATCATTTCTAAATTCAGGTTTTCATTTGAAATAAACCAGAATGGGGAAATTCGGACAGTATATCATCCATCTAATGAAGATAGCCAAGTTCTGATGATGAAAAAAGGATATGCTAGCATGATTTCCGCAAAACTACACCATCGCCATGAGGTAAAATCATTCAAGTTTATAAATATATGCAGTTGGAAACGTAGGTTTTTCTTCTATGTGTGACTAGGCATGATAATACAATCTGAATATGTAATATCTTACAGGATGTACTGTTAGTAAAGATAATATGAATACAACAATGTATGTTGTTTGTTCGTCATGTGGGCTTCAAAAACATCCCATGGCAGAGGACATTTACCTTATCTTACTCATTCAAATGGTGTCTGTGCATGTCTACTAACTGTATCTGTTTTTATTTCTGTACAGGGATCTGGTGTTCCAGAATTTTGATAGAGCATTAGATATTGAAAACATTATTATCACACATTGTATAAAGTGTTTACAGTTTTGCTTTGTTTTCAATTTGTTTAGTTCATTTTGCCAAATAATTTTTATATTTGAAAAAGAACAGTCATGATATAAAACTATCCTTGAATGTCACTTGCAGGTTGAGCATCATCTTAACAAGGATGGCCATTGGGTATACGCAACTAATGAATTAGGCAGGGAAGGTAAATCCATTATTTATCATACAAATACCTACACTGCTTAAGTAAAATATATAACGTTAGATAAATTCATACTTTTTTATTGAAAAAAAAATCTATTTACATTAATTCATGTCTGCATAACACAACTTATTATTAAGATTTGCTACACGCAGGTCCTTTAAATCTTAAATTGAATGTTTGGCTGTTTTTTACTAACGAAAGAGTTATTATACAAAAAAGTATCTATTTCACAAAGTTTATCAACCTCCAATGTTTCGAGTTGTTACCCTTGGAAACGTTGCAGTTTGATAGACAAACTTTGTGAATAGTTTTTTATTAATTGTTACCAGAATAGTTTCTAAAGTAATTATACATTCAGTGACTTGCTTATACCTAAAATAATATGTTATTATTTAGGCAAACACAATGCTTCTTACACAGTGAAAGCAACACCAACAGGAATAATGTACATAAAAACCAGAAATTCCACAATAAAAGATGCATTAAATGGAAATGGAACGCATGTTAAGGTATGATAATTTCACCCTTCGATCATTTTCACTGATAACGGAAGGATGAATTATCTTTATATTCATTAGACTTCCATCTATGTAGTCATTTATCATTTCTACGTACAACTTATAACCGGTTGATTTGAGGTATTCATTTTGTTTGATTTTTTATCATATCAGATGACATTTTGTATGTTTTTCGTACAAATCTACCACTGGATAATTTTGCGACTTTCCATAGGATACATTGGTGGCTTTTTTTAAAATAAATTGAAATTTGAAGAAACAGTAAATGATGGAATGAATGGTTCGAATAGATAAGTGCTTGATAAAAACAAATATCATATTTGTAACATTTTGTGAAAATATTTTATTCATTCTTGTTTTTATCATTTATCAGTGACTTTGGACTGATGTGCATTTGTTTTACAGCTGTAAAATACTTTTTGGCATGCTTTCAGGAGTTACATTACAATGAAGATTTGCGTACCATCCATAGTGTAATGATAAAAGAAGAATTTCATTTAGACTTCTCTGCAAGGCCGGGGTAAGCATTTATTTTTTTTGATTGGGGTAGAGGGGGTCACTACTTTACTCTCACCATTGACGAAAACATATTTATAGCTATTCATAACATAGTTTTGTCTTTGTTCCAAGATTACGAATGTTCAATATAAAAGAGGTGAAGATCATTAAATAATTATGGATAGAAAGAACATCTTTAAAAAAAGAACACGAATACGTTATTATGATAATTACTTTTAACTTTTTATCGTTAACGTATAAGAAAAATCTGTAGTTTGTTATATTTTTCTTATTTCGTTGGCTTTTCAATTCACCGCATTATAAATGTATAGTAGTTTATGGCAAAAAAGTGTGTTTAATTCATACGGTACAGTAAAATATGTATAGAACTAAACACAAAACCCAACAAAATCATATTGCATATGTGATGCCAGTTTGATTTTTCTAGATACAAAAGTTAATTAAATGTGTGTGAATGTATTTAATTTAATGAACATAAACAGAATACGCAGAACGCCTTAAGTACAAAATTTACACTAATTTAATATTCTGTTGATCACATATCTAAACTAAATCGTATACCAAGATATTTTTCCACTAGGGAGCTCTTACTTTCTAGAGTTTTAATCAAAAGCATAATCAAATTATCATCACTATCACTATCGATATTTACCACTATTTTTTTCTTTCTTAACTTATTCTTTACAATATTAACTTGAATCACAGTTACATTCGTATCAGTTAACCCGAATAATAGCGTAGGTTAAACAGCGTGATTTTTTTTATTTAAATTATTTTAAAGCAAACAGTTTTTAAGGTAACCCTACTATTCTTTTTACTTTATTATAATCGGCAGTCAGGTTATGAAGTATAGCTTTATTTTATTATGTTGCAATTAACAAACACGTTTTCGTAATTATTTTAAAATCTTATTTATATTTCCTTTAGGTTTAACCCTCTCTACGGCATGAGACCGGTAAAAGCTGTTTCAGGTTTTTCTGAAATCGGTACGTATCTGTTATTCATAATATTTGTTAAATATCTTTTACTATATCTATTTAACAAATGTGCCAGTTAAACATAATCTTGTCCGCTTCAAAAGTCGCTTACTCACCAAATCGTATGGTCCGTTTTAATCCACATATTGCGCATTTGTTACAATGCCAACCAGGGTCTTTCATATAGATTATTTTTTTCTTTTTAAAGACCCTGTGCTAACATAAGATGGACAGGCTTGCGGAAATGACTGACTTTATCAATCAAATTTGACCTTATTATTTAAAATGGAACATGTTGTCACGCGATGTCTTTGTTGATTTGTTAGTAGTTATACAGGTAATTTTAAACTGTCTGTGGCGGCATGACACTTTCAATTTTTAGGTGAATTAGCCTGGTTTTTTTGGGACAAAATTGCCTGTGATTAACTGTTTAGTTATAATTACATGTTGAAACTTTTGTGTTAATTGTTCGGTGATTTGACGATACCATTTTAATTGTGTTCGCAAGTAAATAATGATCCTAATATGTAATACAAAGGTCATTAAGATAATTGAAGCAATCTTAAACCTTTTGGATCATCACAGAAAGAAAAACACTCAACAGTTATTCTAAATAGGATACAAATATTATTGTTGCAAATATGAAAAGAAAATTATCATAATATGTCTCGTACCATAACAAAATAAAACTTTATTTCTATATCTATATCGAGATTTATTGAATGTATTTATCTTAAATGTAGAAATATTTAGTTTAGCAAATGTTGAAGGAAAATGTACTTTTCATTGTAGAGAAAATATAGATAATAAAATATACGCAATTATCGGTAACCTTTACTACTTGTAAACCGGCAAACAATTGACCCTAAATGCAATATACCAGCGTTACATTTACAAAAATCATATACAGTAAAATTATACCAGTCAAATATACTTTTTTCATGATTGGCATGGGCGTGTTTTTATTTTACTTTCATCTTTTTTTGTACGATAAGTATGAAAGGTGTAATATATATTTTGAAACAATTTGCAATGATTATAGATCTAAAACCGATATTGTTTTCTATATTTTAAAGACTACATTATGAAACAATTACCTAATGATATCTTTTCTTTCCATAAACTAAGCATATATCCATATCACATTACAACCGTCAATTAAATATATCATGTTCCATTGAAGATAAAACCATTTTACTTAATCTTTCTCACATAATCAATAACAATTGATTATTATTGTGTATAAATCATCGGATTACCTTGTACGATATCTATGTTCTTTTTCTATCGACCATCAACTTTGCATCGCTTTTCGATGGATTAAATAAGGCTTCTGATACAGGAGTAATAAAAACATAAAACAGGTAATTTTAAGGATAAGATGTAACCAAATATCATAACTACAATGTAAGGGACGCCTGTGGCCGAGTGGTTAAGGTCACTCACCCCTCAACGCTGTGGGTTCGAATTCCGACAGAAACTTTGTATTTTTTATGTGAGGAAGCTATTCTTCTCAGGGGCGCGTTCGTGTCTGAGGTCTTTCTCCCCCAGTAAAGCTTGAGCGTCGCCATATATGGCCTATACTGTGTCGATGTGACGTAAAACACAATAAAACAAACAAACTGTAAAATACAAGTATTGTTAGTTTATTGATCAATTTATATTATTGTTGGATGATTATTTGAGTAGAACGATTATACAAGATAATTATTATTTTATTCGTAAACGTTAAAAAAAATTGCAAAATTAAATGTCATTGGTAAAATGTATTGATCAAGCAACTTCTAAATTTACGGATAATTCGGGTAGTTAAACGACTGGAAACTGTATATTTTTCTTGAAAAATATTTTATGAAAGAAAATGAAAATGTCGTTATTTGATATTTTTACAGAAATTCCACAAATTACTGCAAAATCAAACGACAATATGACGTTTGTGGGGAAAACTACATCCACACGCCATTTTGGAAGACCGAAGGGAATAAGAAACAGCAGCATTCATGATGTGCACAAGGTTGGTTGATAGAAATTAATTCTTTTGGCATTAAACTAGCAGACAGAATGTGTTAAAATTTTGTTTATTTTTACACAAAATGTCTTCTTCAGATAAAGAAACGAGCTGTGTACGGAGCAAGAAGTAAAGATGCGAGGACCTATATTGCAGGGAACATGACATGCATTAAAAATCAACCAGAAAAAGGTAACTATATGTTTAGATAATCTTATTAACAATAAGTAAGTCTGTGTTGTTAAAAGATATGAATATTCTTTTAGATAATCTGACATTAAAGAATTAATGCTTATAATTTAGTCGACAAGAAAAAAAAACACGAATGCAAACTATACGAAATATACTGGAAAAAAAAACAATTTTCAGTTTTGAGAGATGTATACTCAGTTCAAAGGTAAACATGAGTACTAGCTCGTTCGGGGTTTTCTCTTAAATGATTATAATAAGTGCATTGATATCATTCCGCACCTATGTCACATAAACAATTACATGCATGCAGACTTTTAAAGGAATTTTAGCATCAATGTATCTGATTCTTTATTTCAGGTTCCCCTGAACTGAGCAAATGTTTTCACGATTTGGTGACTACTTTTGAACACATGCACGACACAGATGTTGAGGATATAGCCAATACATACTTTCTACGAATGTGAGTATGCAAGGTTATAAAAACATAAGATATAATAAAGATATCTTAAATGTGTAAATAATTGTTGTTAACGGTAAACATCATGAGTTTTTTTTTGTCTTCTTTTTTTTAGTTCGAGGAAGAACAGACAAGATACGAATATAATGGTAGATGTACTTGTGGCATTGAATAAGCAAAGAACAATCGTTAACAAGATCTTAAACAATCTTCAAAGTGATGAGCATCTGATAATGAGGGTTTTAACATTACTAACGGCCCTTGACTGTGAGCCAGAAGCGGTGCGTATAAATTTCAAATATATGTTATTAACTTACACGAAACAATTAAAAGTGATAAAATGCAAATACAGAATGCATCACCTGCGAAAAAGCGTTATTCAAAATTTAAGCTGAAACCAATGTGTATAGATTTGAAATGCAATTTACATATATAACATTCAAGTGTCGGAAAGCAAGTGTTATATATTGAATTAAGCACGATCATCAACTATTTATCGTAAATTTAAATGGCTATTCGGACACAACTCGTTGACTTCAAGACATGTGACCTTCCTCTGATATTAGGGTCAGTCTCATTAAGTATAACATTAAATCACAAGATGTTAGTAAAGTAGCGCATTCCTTCATTGCATACCACCAAGAATGAAACATACTGTATGAATAAATTTCAAAATTTAGAAATCATAATCTAGTAATCCATTGTTTTCTTTTATCTTTTAAAAAGCTCTTTTACTTTTTAACGATAGTATATTTTCAGGAACTTCTAACAACGATCGAGAAGTTTTGTTTTAAAGGCAGGAGAACAGAGAATGTACATCTAAGAAAAGAAACAAGGCAGGTTTCCTGTTTGACGTTTGGAGGTTTAATTGGGAGTGTCAAGAAATACGGGAAAGAGGGACACGCGGAAAAACTTGTCGAGTACCTTCATAATGAACTTGGATTACATGGTATAGAAACTTTTTGTTAAATATATGTCTCAGTGAAAGGGACATAACTATTGCATATTTTATAAAATAAACATTGTCAGTGTTAAAAAAGAATGAGCCATTTGCAGGATAAAACAAAGATTACATTGATTACGAAATAAACGTTTATCTTTTTATAATGAAATTGATGTGACTTGTCTTTTTAAACGGTTAATTTGTCTTTAAGTTTTTCACCATTTATCTCAAATCTTACACATTTTCGATATTATTACGATGCAAATACTAGATAATAAGGTGGTACATGTATATTTACAATACCTCAATATCCTAAAGCACTGTTTACTGTTTTGCCAAACCCGTCTGATGATATATTAAAGAAAATAACAAAAGACATGTATAATTTTATATGGAATAACAAACTAGAAAAAAATAAAAGAGATACATTAGAATTAGAATACAAGAATGGGGGGGGGCTAAAATTAAATGATAAATATAAGCCGTTTTTTAAATTCAATCAAAGCATGATGGGCCAAAAGATTCCTTTAAAATGACGAGAGTGTGCTTTGGAATGTAAACATTGGAAAAAGTAAGAGGAAGCTTAATATTTGAATGTGAAATAAATAATCAAGATATCAAAAATGTTTGTAAGCACAATACTTTTCTTAAAGACATTCTTATTGCATGGCATAGCATCAAAAACGACAAATTAAATGAAACAGCTGGAAAACATGTAATATGGTATAATTCTAAGATAAGGAATGGAAGTAACCTTTTTATATGAAAGATTGGTATGACAAAGGTATTAAATATATAGAACATATGACTTCTACTCTTTTCAGAATTTTAAAGAATTATATAATTTAGGGAATAATGCATTTCTAAAGTTCTACCAAATCACCGCAAGCATAAATCCTAATATAAAACAAAATCTTAAAGAATAAAATATATTGTATACTCCGTTAAAGACCTTAGTTAATGAGATCAGAGATAGTAAAGCACCAAATAAATTACTATATACTAAGCAAATGAGGGTTAAACCAAAAGCAAAAATTAAATCAGCAAAAATGGGAAAATGTTTTAGAAAATAATGATATAAAATGGAAATCAGTATATAGCCAAATTTTTAAAGCTACTATTGATACCAAAATAAGAACATTTCAGTATAAATATTTAATGCGAATAATTCAAATAAATATCTATTAAAAGTGGAATTATCAAGTACAAATTTGTGTGATTTTTGTAATATGCAGCCTGAAAGTATGGAACATCTATTGTGGGAATGTCGTCATGTTAAAGTTATGAGGAATGGACTAGGAAATGTTTTTTAAATATATCACACCTTCCCTCATTCTTTTTCGTTTTTTACTTCAAATTTTCTGCTCTGTTTTTATTTAGGAAAGACTTAAAAACCTCATACTTCCTCCATCTTTTTTTATTACTTGGACTTTTCTACTCTTTTCTTTTTATGAAAAATTTTAAAAAAGCTATGACATAAGTAAAAATAGCTAGTCTAAGATAACATTCACTAAAAGCAAATTATGATATGATTTGATATTATAATGTAACTTTGTGAAATGAATGTACATAAAATTTATGTACATATATGTCATAAAGGTATAATAAATAAAAAATTTTCTAAAGCACTTCATAAAGAAAGTATAAGCAGTATAAATAAAGTCATATTTATAATTTCATCAGCTGATTCCAGAGTTTAATAACTGCGGCATAAATATATTCATTTTAAAAAGAATATTCTAAACTTGACCATGCTATTTGTATATTGAAATGCAAACAATGACAAAAATAGATTATCATTGTTTAATTCTTTTAAATAACAATGATTTTCATGTATCAATTCATGATAATTTAAAGTGTCATTACCGGGTTATTTTTTATGAGAATAGATCCATGGCAATACAAGAGGAAAAGGTCAACAATGACAGAGGTGGAATGTGTTGAATATGACCACAATAAAGTTGTTTTACTTGATGCCATAGGAAACGCTGGGTTACCTGTATCATATGATTACATCATATCGCATATAAATTCATCAAATTCCCAATGGATTAAACGTACAGGAGTACATGCTCTCAGAACTTTTCACGATACAAAGGTTGTTGCTTTTTATTATACCTGTCACCATGTCAGCCTGAATATAGTATTATAATGTTTTGATTTTTTTGATGTATTTTTATTTATTTATTTTTAAACTTTTTATTAGATATACCATGTAGAAGTCAAGTCAATAATTGAAAACAAAATTACATGAAAATAGGAAATATTACAATTGCTATATTGAAATGCGTACATTTATTAAAACAGACACTGCATGAGCTAGAGAAAGTTGCTCTTTACGATGATGATGAGAACGTTCGTTATGAAGCTCTTCTGCAATACAAAGCTCACCCTTTAGCTTCACAAGAAAGGTATCTATTTAAATATTCAATAATTTTAACATAATTGTTGTTGTTTTATATCGCAAAGGACAAGTTGCAAATATATTATTACACAAGGCCGATTTTATTCTCCTTTGCCGTGATTCATGTGTTAAGACATTAAAACAAACAATAATAGAACTGTTATTGTTCTGATTAATTCAAGTCTCTAACTAGTGTTGTGATGAAAGAAAGTAATTATCCCTCAGTAAATGATAATATGACTAATACTTCTTTCTTATCACCTTGTAAACTATGTTTCATTTTAGCTATGCCGATGAAGGAGGTTTTTCACACCAAGGAATTTCTAAAAGATCATTCTTTAACAACGGTCTTGCCTTTAAACTTGAAGCACCAGGTGTAGACTGGCGAAAAGAAGTAGGTTCGAGCGCTATTGGAGGTACCTTCGGAGTCATTATGGAAAATCTTCTTGATTTGCAAATGTGTACGTTTAATGTTATATATGTTGCTTTCTTATAAAAATTTAATAAACGTTTTGAAAAAAAAGTAGTATATTACAATCATTGTATTATTATTATCAACCTCGAAAAGTAAAAGCTTTTTAAATATTATAGTGCAGTTTTAATGATACTGCAGTTTTCTTTCTAAACATTAGGTTGGTCATTGTCAATTGCTGACGTACTTCTATTTATTTTATCAAGCAAAAACATTAAGTATTCTCAAGGTCGATTTCTTTTTGTAATTTCAGCATTGGTCAAAGGTCATATTGATGTTCGAGTACATGACGAAGCCTATGTTACGGTACATGTTGGATTTCTTGGTATAAAAGTTGACTTCTTCAGGGCACGAATATGTTTTAAAGGTGGTGCAAAGTATGAGCTCAATATATTAAAGGTATATCTTATGATTCTTTTATGATATCATTCAAGAAGAAGGAAGAAAAGGTTTTTTATATTCACATAATACCGTTATCAAACCAGTAATGTCTCTCCTTTAATGTATTGATATAAATGTTGTAATGACAGGAAGGCGATTAGCTGAATACATGCAAAAATAGTCTGTTGCCAGTTTTGCTCCCTGATCAATTTATTTCTTATATTATGCACTTTATTTTTTTCTGATTGTCTCTAAAAGGAACTAGATCCTGAGCTTGGGTTTAATCTCATCGCCCAATTCAAAAACATTGTAAACAAAGTTGTCGGTGCTGTGAAAAATGGAGTTGAAGCATTAAAAAATATAGTTTCTCATGGGCTCACAAGTATTGCAGATGACCTAGTCGAATCTTTGATTGATTTACCAGCAAAGGTATGTTTAAGCTATATCAATACAAACTGCTTATGAAACATTTGATTGTTGCTGCAAATAACTTATTACTAGTCATACAAAGTATTAAATAAACCTTTAATAAAATTTAATTTCCAAGACGACAGAAACATGTTCATTAGTGGTCTAAGAAATCGTTGACATGTCAGAATAATGAAATTATAAATAATCTTGATGACATATCGTGATTTAAAAAATTCAATATCGAAAAATTATAGAATTTACACATAAACCGTTTGGGCGGGAAAAAAAGGAATAATATTTTACTATACACATACTGTATTATATTGATATGCTTCATTCCTACACTGTAACTTAACACTTTACATTTATAGGTGACATATCTCTCTGAAGATATACAGAGAATCATGGGAAAGCTTGCAAGCTTTAAATTAGACAGCATGCCTCCATTTACAAAAATGGTGACGGATTTGGTTAACAGTGTTGTTAGTCTTTATGATAAAGTAAAAGAAGATGTCATGAAGTTTTACAATGTATGTAAATGAACTATTTCACCGTATTATAATCTCCTTCTATCCTTTTAAACATGTATCATGACTGTTTATTTCATGCTTTCCAGTATTTTACTGTAATATATCAGATGATTTTATTCTGATAAACGACTAGTGAAATTTATAAAGTATAATTTTCACTTTAGCCGAACAATATCTGAATTCGGATGGAAAGAAAATTATAACTAAATTTTGCTTCTTTAGGAAAAGAAAGTCGATGTCATCATACATCATGATAAACATGTATCAAAATAAGAGAAATTTAACAGAACAATATTTCGAAATTGATGATGCGACGTCATGATGTCATGACTTATATAATAACGTCAATACAATAACATATAAAAAGGCGCGTCATGCTAACGTGACGCTAAAATTGACGCAATATCTAAGAAATGCATATTTATCACACACCCATGCCGATTTTACGACTCCGTAAAAATGGTTTTGCACGACCGTACATATATTTTGACGTGACGTCACTTGCGTTATATTAACATACCGTTAAGCTGTGCATATTGTTTTATTCATTCTAAGGGCGCGTCAATGAAAAATGTTATTTTTTTCAAGTCAAATGGTTTTTATTTTTGGTATGTGATAAATAGAATATTAAATTCATTACTAAATTTATTGAACTCGCTGAACAAAAAAATATTATGCTCGCCAAGGGCTTGCATAATATGATTTTATTTTATTTACCTCGTTCAATAAAATCAGTTTTAAACTTACACTCATTCAATATCCTCTATTTACGTATGTTCATCTATTTCTTTAAGCTGCCGACAAGTCAGCTTATTTTGTAGAATGAAGCAACTTTTAGTGATTATCCTGTCCGTGCTATGTCTTGTGCCCTGTCCTGTTTTTGTCCTGGGCTCCTTGCCACTGACTTTTGTTGCTGGGTCGGATGGGGGCTGTGTTCATTGAACGCCGCCTTTCCTTGATGATCTTGTTTATCATATTTTTTTATTTGAATGTCGAGAAAAATTGTTTTTCCTTTATTTTTCTACAGTGTGGTCCACTTAATGGATTATTGTATGGCTGTAATTAAGAAATAATAGATCCCAAACTGTGATTTCAGCGCTTAATAAAGGCACTGTTTGGAGCTCGGATGCGAGGAATTATATAATATAATATTGCGCTTCCGAACGACAAACAGTGATTTGGATATATTATTTCTATTCTAACACGACATCAACAAATAAATGCTGTCGTACCTGATTCTTAAGCTAAATTTCGCCTGTTTTGTTTCGGTACATATTTTCAGCGCGTTGTAGTTTTAGTGGTTATGTTACGTGTATAATGATTACGTCACATATCTAAATATAGAACGTCAACAGTGATTTTGTTGCACTTTCGGTTCTTCTATTTCAATAGGGAAAAGTAAGGGTTGTTTTAGAATTCACTATAATATACACGTACAGTGTATTATACAACATACGCATTCATAAGAATTGTTGGATAAGTTTTACCATCTTTCGATGATGCAAAATGATTTGCAAATTTCCATTTCTTTTCAGTCCGTTGTCCAAAGCGTTAAAGTTATCATACCAAATACTGCACAGGAAATTGTTGGTGCAGTGAAAGACATAAATGACGGATTTATAAACATCTTTCAAGACCCTAAGACCTCTCTTTTCAAAATTGGATCAGCAGTCATACGGTACAAATCATAATGATAATTAAGCAGGGCGTGTATATCAAATAAAATCAGTATATTATTTTTTAGAAAAGATGAGATATTTTAACATTTAACGCAATAATGAATTCACATTTCTTAAGTCAATGTCTTTTATTGTCTAGAAATGGTAGATTTTATACAGTAATTAAACAAACTGTGATTGAGTAATTAAAGTTCCGAAGAAAACAAAATTTACCTATATAACAGCTTAAATATTTCTTTGTTTTATTAGTTTTAATATATGTTATATGTAAAAATTCATTCCAGTATCTACACGAATATCAAACTTCTAAATAGTACAATACAACAAATAAAGAATAACACATTCGTTAATGGAGGTAATTTATAAAACAATAACTTTGATTATAATTTAATAATTATATGACCTTTATCCTGTAAGTATGTATACGGATAGGTGGTGTTTCTTAAATGTAATTATTTTATTGAATTGAACCAAATAAAACATGTCATTGCTGTAAAGTTTATATTTCATGAAACATTCTTTAGGACAAATAGATCAAAACCAACACAAATTCAGATATAAATACATATTTCGCTTTATTAGCTTCATCAGTTGATACATGAAGTAAATATCCTTCATAGAAATAAATTAATCGTTTTGAACATATCTTTTTTTAGGCATAGGTCCATACTGGAGTGACCTGACTAATGAAGTACTGGAGGTTTTTAACCTCTATCGGCACACCCTCTCTGAAATTAAAGGACAGGGTGGTAAATGGATAATGGAAACTGTTGAAAACGACATAGCTAAAAGGATCACAAATGGAAAAACTTCGATTGTAAGTTGGTACTGACGTTCCTTGTCCGAAGGATTATGATGTGGCAATTCATACTGTGTACATCTTTTTTTCAGCCCTAATCATCTATTTAAGTACTTAACATTTTCTTAAGTTTGTATTTAAAAACGTGCTTTAAGAAAATTATACCAACAAATTTAAAACAGTGTTGAAAGCTTACTTGATATAAAATGTCATATTGATAAACAATTTATAATGTAATTAAAATAATTTGATTGTTTTTCAGAAATCTATTAAAGAAAGGATTGTAGCTGATTTAGAAAATGAAGTACAAACATTGATATCGTCTTTGGAGTTACTGACTAATATAGGTGGGGTCTATCTAGAAAAGTTTGATGTACTTGAAATCTCCTATAACAATATAAAAGAGGCCTTCGAGACTTTGAAAACAGGGTAAGAGATAAACAGCCGATAATTATTCTTCCATATACATTTTGATTCATAATTTAAGTATAACATGGAAGCAATCGTTACACTATAAACTTAAAACAAATAGTTTATATTTAAAGCTTTCCTGTATATTTTATTATATTGCATTTTAAGTAATAATTATTATCATGATGTTATCCCAGATGATATTTGTTTTCATTGACAAGAGTTTGAAATTTTGCTTATGATCGATTTTTCGGAAAACCAGGTGCAAATAACTTCTTGATACAATATACGTTTTCTTAATCAAATAACAAAGCAAAGAGTACAATAAAAATATTCAATTATCTAGATATGAGAATGCAAGATCAATCATCGATCGAATATTTGGACCTAAATTTCACAACGATTTCCCTCGGGAGAGACGTGTAAGTGGCGGTAGTTGCACCGGGAACGGGTTTTATCCCGCAAGTCTAGGTAGCAGAAATGCTGAATATGATTATGATGGGATCGATCTAGTAATCAAAGCTGGTGATCCGGTAATTTATTCACTTTCATTTAGAAAATGCATTATATACATGTGTAACCGTCTACGGACGAAATGATAAAATAATGAAATATGCTTAATCGTTCCGGTATTTTACATTAGCAAGCACTTGTAAGAAGATTGCATTTTTTTAATGTTGTTCAACTTAGCATTGGATAAATAAACAAGGAATGGTTCTAAGCCAGCTGCTTACGGCATAAGCTTTACAAAATAGCTTGACGACATATTTGTTTAAAGCACACATAAAATTCTTTGCATGAACAGAATATAATAAAAAAACAAGCATTATTATTACTGCCCCGTGTCAGTAAAATACGCGTGCTTGACGTAGTCATGTTTCGTGTTCAACAGTACTTTAAGACCTTTGATTAGTTCTTACAATACACATACTATTTCGACGACGTTTCACTTATCTTCAGTTTTGAAGCTTTAAGATGGTTAATGAAGTCATAGATTGTATGTTTTTAAGAAGGAAACTCACGAATTTCTTCACAAATACTTAACTTTACATTCTTCATTAACACTTGTAAATCTGCAAGTTTGCGGCTGACATAGCATTAATCTCACATTTGATACAATGATATAGTTTCATTTTCTATTTCATTCTAAATTTAGCTCGTCGCACCCCTTTCTGGTTTAATTATCCGTTCAGAAAATACAAATGAAATCGTTATGTTTGAATGCGGTGAGCTGCCGATCGGTTCCGAATTGGTGATAACAAATGTGGAGCCAGAAGAAGATATAATGTATCCCGGCGATATAAACAGGGTGAGAAAATAGTGTGTAGATTTTACATAACGAGATAACGCCTTTTTATTTATTGTGTCAACTCCACGGCAAACGTATGTAACTTAAAATGAAAAATACAATCTCGCACAAAATACACATTATACCAAGAAAAAGGAAATTGTCATACTATTTTTTTTCAATATCATGGTACTTTTTCATTTTTTCAACTTTTCAGATATCTGCCGGGGTGGTTATTGGTAAAGTAACGCAATCTCCTTGTGGTGGCGATTATAATCACATACATATTTCAATCAGACGAGAAGGTGGAGTTGTCGATCCTAGCAACTACATACCAGACAGACTAATCACATTACCAAAATGGGAACAGAAATGTGATGATTATTCTCTCGTTTTCAAGGTGCGTTTTATTGTGTTCGATGTACATATAAATTTTTCAATTTCAAAAATAATGTTATCCATGTTTTATTTATAATAATTTTATTAACTTTAAGCTAAAATGGGATTGGGGTAGTGTCCATGACCGAGTGACTAGTCCGTTACTGTTTACGTTCGAAACCCTCTATGCAGTCTTTGAATTCTTTCCTATGAAAAAACAATCCAGCTAAGTAATGGAACGTCGTGGTTCTACTCATGTGCCGTTCGTGTCTGAAATTTTACAGGAAGCGGTACCTGAGATCTTTCTCTACCAGTAACATTTAGAAAGGCCCGATATGACATAACTGTGTTTGTGGGACTTAAAACCCAAGTAAAATCAAGCTTAAATTGGACTATTGTTTAAATTCTATATTCTCTATATATCACTCCATGCATAGTTTAATATGAATGACATTGTTAATATGGATAAATAACATAACTGTGTATTGTTAGTGATTTATATTTTATTAATATTTTAAACAAATAGCAAAAGCTTATGAATAACGAAGCATACGAATAGCATACGTATAGCAAATTTACGAATGAACGTTTGCATAGATATATATTGTTTATAGATTGTAAAGAAATGATTGTGTAAAGAAAAATAAGTTGATGTATAACATACTGCTATTAATGTGTCCATAGGGGAAAACAATAGCAAATGGCGTAATAGTTGGTCCTTGGGGACGCAACAAAGATGATACGTCACAGAATGTCGAAGTCGAGGAGTCACTAAGATCAGACCCAATGAGTAATGATGACACACTTGATCAACGAGTACAGGACATCAAAGGTTGTTAAAAGCAATATGCATGCTATTAAGGAAAGCTGTTGTGTATTTTCAGAAAGAAAAAAGACCTATAATTAATTAATTTCATTTGCACATAAGAGAGTTGTCTTGCTATAATATTCAATAATGATTTTTTTACTTGAAATAAAAGAGAATAAACTTTGTTCGAGTACATTTTCCGAACCTAAGTTATTCCTTTTCTCTTATAATTGACATCGAAGGCATTGACGTTGACCGTTCTATTTTACTACGTTGACCGTTCTATTTTACTAAACGATATGGTAATTAAGTTTTCAATTTTTTGGAAATATAGGAGAATAAGAAATGAAATGATGATTTAGTTTTGTTACTTTTTATATGCCCGAAAGGGCATATTATGTTATACCCCCTGGCGTCCGTCTGTCCGTCCGTCCGTACGTCCGTCCGTCCGTCCGTTGGCAATTTGGTTTCCGGAGCATAACTTAAGTTCCATTTGGCCCACAATCTTCAAACTTCATAGGATGATTGTCCATATTGGGTAGAAGACCTCTATTGATTTTGGGGTCAAAAGGTCAAAGGTCAAGGTCACTATGACCTAAAAACTGTAAACAGTTTCCGGAGCATAACTTAAGTTTCAATTGACCCACAATGTTCAAACTTCATAGGATGATTGTCCATAGTGGATAGAAGACCCCTATTGATTTTGGGGTAAAAAGGTCAAAGGTCAAGGCCACTATGACATTAAAACTGAAAACAGTTTCCAGAGCATAACTTAAGTTCCATTCGACCCACAATGTTCAAACTTCATAGGATGATTGTTAATATTGGGTAGAAGACCCCTATTGATTTTGGAGTCACAAGGTCAAAGGTCAAGGTCACTATTACCTTGATACTGAAAACAGTTTCCGGAGCATAACTTAAGTTCCAATTGACCCACAATGTTCAAACTTCATAGGATGATTGACAATCCATAGTGGGTAGAAGACCCCTATTGATTTTGGGGTCATAAGGTCAAGGGTCAAGGTCACTATATCCATAAAACTGAAAACAGTTTCTGGAGCATAACTTAAGTTCCATTTGACCAACAATATTCAAACTTCATAGGATGATTGTCCATATTGGGCAAAAGACCCCTATTGATTTTAGGGTCACTAGGTCAAAGGTCAAGGTCACAATTACCTTAAAACTGAAAACAGTTTACGGAGCATAACCTAAGTTCCTTTTGGCCCACAATATTCAAACTTCATAGGATAATTGTTCATATTGGGTAGAAGACCCCTATTGATTTCGGGTGTCACAAGGTCAAAGGTCAAAGTCACTTTTACCTTAATACTGAAAACAGTTTCTAGAGCATAATTAAAGTTCCAATTGGTCCACAATATTCAAACTTCTTAGGATGATTGTCCATATAAGGTAGAAGACCCTATTTATTTTGGGGACATAAGGTCAAAGGTTAAGGTCATTATTAATTACTTAAGTAATAATCAACCTACAGCTGTAAAATTTTATAGGATGAACAGCGAATTTCCATGTCTTACAAATGCTTCATCCTTACTAAAAAAAAAACACTTTCGGGGCACATAATGCTCCGCCTAGCGGTGCTCATGTTTTATTATGAAATTGAATACTTTTGAATGAAACAGGACAACAAAGCAATAGCAACTCGACATTTTATCATATCTATGTAAACATGAATGAGTTCAAACCGGAGAAGAGAATACCAGTAATGACAAACTGATAGTCTCCATGTCAACTTTAATATCGTTATAAAACTCGAGTATAAGAATGTATTTGTAACCCTATCAAATGTTTGACATTGTTATATGAAGTCAAGTAAAATGCCTCTGAATTATTGAATGATAAACCATAACATGTATGTTGGCATCATTCGAGTATTGAAACTCAAAATTATAAATTCTAATGTGTGCTTTGCTTTTACGATTTTTATTGCATTTGTGTGTGTAAACCATGTTGTAAAAATTATAATTTTTGTACATGTATATGGGAACGGTTTTTGATATTTTTGTTAACTAAAATAAAAGTTGTCTCTGCAGATGACCTGAATGGCGTGTTTGGTTTTTTAAATAATCGACGGAGGAAAAGGGAAATATATCAGGAACCTGGTGAGTTTCTTAGTTTCGTAAGATACTTTACAATTTAAAAACGATTCGTAATAATCATTTGATTGGATGATATAAAATGATTAAAGTTGAGTACTATTATAATGAAGTGATGTTAATAGATCATTTTGTTTATATCACTTTCATTTTCAGAGGCAAACCTAGAAACCTTCACTAATGACATAAAAGGTTTTCTCAACCGTTTTGATATACACCGTGTAAAATTGGGGGATTTTGTGACCATTTTAGATGAAAAAGGAGGTACTGAGATGAAAGAAAAACTAGCACAGCTGGTAAAAACTATAAAGGTAACTTTCTCAGAATAAATTTACATTTTAATACTTCTCTACATATTTTCAATACATTACAATAAGAACCCTGATATTATAAATTGTTACTTGATCAGTCATGACGTGTTTTCCTTACAGGCAGCTATAGATCAGGAAACTTGTAGAAGTCCTTATCACATGACCGATCAAGAACTAGGAAACGCTCTGTTAAACAGGGGGAAACAAGCAAAGACCAGTAGCAGGGCGGATATGATAAAAGAACTTCTTAAAACTGACCATAGTAAGAAAGACTTAAACATACTTGAAAATTGCAAATAATAATGATAATTATACGTACATGTTATATAATACATTGATGCCTTTACTTTAATATTTACATGTATGTTAGCAACTGAAATTGCTATGGTTCATTAGTTTTGATGTTTTCTTTTAAATTTCTGTTTTTATAGGCTGTCCATTTATTTCTTTTACAATACCTACAACTGATACCTTGTATTGCACATTTGATGAAAAATGTCTTGGATTTGAATGCTGCATAACTATTGAAGCATTTGACATGATTCAGAAGACTTACAGAATGTTTATTAGACTTGATCCAAATCCATTGGCACTGTCTTTTGGTTTCGATTCATGGAGCTTTATGTTAGATTCAAGTTACCTTGTAAATGGTAATGTATCAATTTCTATTTGAAATTTTGTAAAATCAAAATAGGAGATATTAAGTGGACATAAAATTATTTAAATACTAAATACTGGCTATGATAATTCAATTCTTTGTTAAATATAATGCTTGTTTATAGAGAAAACATGACGTTCAAAGTCTAAAAGTTTCGAAATTGCACAGTTATTCTATATGTTTAAAATTTTACTTCAATTTTGGATTAATATGGACTTTGTCCGAACACATTTTGTCGTATATGATAATAATAATGACTGCTAAAATTGTGGTGCATTGACAAATATGAACATGTACATCATTTTTACACAAGTTTTCATACCATGTCACTATTATAGCAAAACATTGCGTTGTTGACACATTAATATATTTCAGTATTATCTTATTGTGAACCGAAAGTTATTACATTTTTTTCATTACAGATTTTGAAAGTGTTTTTACTACAAATGTAAAGTTCGACTTTCTAGAAGACCATGAAATCGTTATAAAGTACGATATAAGTATTTTGTACTATACTGCGACAAACAGTTTTAAGTTTCTTTTATGCAACATCTTAAGTACAACACGTTGATTGTTTTGATCTACATGTATTATGTTGTTTAAACCCTTTGTATTTAATAAAATTAACAAATAATTGAACCATTTAGAATTAAATGTCATTTAATAATGTTGTTTTACTGTTATTCGACTTTATTAATATGTTTATATATTTTTGTCCGTGTCAACTTACCAGGTGCAATTCCATATCATCGACAGACGAGTTAAAGCTGACAGTCGGCGTTGGTCTTTGTAATTCTGGAAATGTCGACGACTGTTTCACATTCTTTAACTTGCTAAATGATGCCGTTTTCCCAATTCCTACATTAAATGCGGACGGATATATATCTTATAAAACACGTAGGTGTCATACCTTGAAAAAATATTTTTAATTAGTTGCAAGCATAGAAGAATCAATTCCACATTGAAAAAGTATACCCTGTAAAAGATATTCTACTTTGCAAGTCTGTTCTTTTGTAAACAACATACAAAGATTAAGTCTTTAAAAGACATGTTAACAATGGTTACGGCGCATTTTGAAATTTTCCTTTTTCTTTCAGCAAATTATACAGACTTTATAGAAGACTTAAAAGAAAATTTAATTGAAGCTGGTGAAATTGTAGAAGAGAATGCCATTGACAAAACTGTCAGTCGTTTTCTAAAACAACTTGGTATTTCTAGAGTAAGTTTGTTACGACAAACGTTTGCTATATGATATTATTGAAAGAACAATCTTGAGCCATATTCAAATTTAAATTAATGTATAAATTATATTGCTTCTTATTCTGGAGCCTATTAAAAATAACATTATACGTAGTAAAAATTATCATCTATGTTATGCACTTTTACTTTTCATGTAGATTTTACAAAAAAAATAAAGTAAATTAAATGATTGATATTAAGTATAGTGTTATAGTTTATAGGTTGTATCTTAAGAGGTTTATTCAATTTGATTACTTGTTTAAAAATGTGATGACTTCCATGTTCAAAACTGCAAGTAAAACCTTCTATGGTCTAAACATAGTAAATTTCTATTTTTATGAAAAGGATTTGCTTCTTGACGTACCATCGTATCGCCCAACAGACACATTAGAAATAAATGAGCTTATAGAATTCGTCAAGAGCAAGAATCTATCAATTGAAGGTTCTATTGATGACTTGAAAACCAGATACTTGAATAGTGAAAGAAGTAATAATTATTTATAGTTTTCACTTTATATAAAAAATTGAAGCACTTGATACAAAAGAACAAACTCGCCATATCTTAATAGAGAAATATACATTTATAATTTTGTTCAATTAAATAAACAGTTATATTGAATTTGCAACATTGTCAATTTTGAGTAAATTTATGAATAGACAGTCATGCATTTGCAAAATGACAGAAACAAAACTTTAAATTAGATGTGTTATTGCAGTATTTAGAAAGTCTTAGTTAAGAACTCAAATACTTTCTTACTAATTGCTTTAAATATCATCTTGAGTAATTTTGTTGCAATGTTTAATAGGTTGCATCATGGATGGAATCGATATCAGACTACCAGACACGCCATTTGATTTTGTACATTATAACATCTCGGACAATTGTATGCGTGTCAACGTTTTTGTAGACATATCAGGAATAGATATCTTAAGAACATTTACTGCATATGTTGAGCTTGATCCATGTCACTATGTCATACAAGCGGCCTTTGAGAAGTTACACAAAACTGTGATTCTTTTCGAATATGATTGGGGTATGAACACAATTGTTACCTGCCTTAAATATATATTTAAGGATATATTTTAAGTTAAGCATGTGTTAGTATTTATTACCAAAGGGACACATGACAAGCTGTATGCATGTTATTGCCGAAATAACATTTGGAAATTTCTGTAAATAGAAAATAGAAAGCAAGCTTACAACACTATATTGGTATATAAGTGGAATATTTTAAATCAAAATGACATTTTGATAGTCTACAAGTTACTTCTAGTATAATGCAGGACGCAAGCCACTTTGCAGCTCAAATATATTTTATTATGAAAATGAGAATCCTGAAAAAAAGGTATCATTAAAGGTGATACGTTGTATATATCCTATATAGTGTTACACAGGCATGACATGAAATAAAAGGAGCAGTTAAAGTAACTGCAAAATGCTTTACTATAATCAAATATGTTTTACTCTTTTAAGGTAAAGAAGAAAAATTGACACTAACAGATGATGTGTTCCTCACGTTAGTAACTTTTAATACATGTATATCTTCTCACAAAAAAAAAATTTTTAGTTATCCATTACATAAACTTAAAGGAAGGAATGCATTTCATATTTTCTTTAAAAATTACTTCTTTAAAAACGAATACGGGATATGGTAGAATTAGTAATGTATGTAGTTTGAACTCATTCTGATCAAATGTCTTTTATTTATTAACAAATATCAATTTTAAAGTACAGTTCATACCGAGATATAAAGAATTAATTCTGTTTTACTTTTTGAGTTATTCATACTGTTTGCAGATTCAACATAAATAAAGTGGATGATAAAAAAGTTTTCCTTATGGATATTGGAATGGTTTTTCGTCCATTTGGTATCAATGAGAAACTCCTTGATGAATTTGAAATACCGATACCAATTTGCAACGGCAACTTTTCATTGCAAGGTATTATCTGTTTTCATATCATCTTAAATGAAAATTGAACTTTTGTTGCAAATGTTCAGTCAAATATTTATGATATTTAATGTGCCTAATTTTTAATAATTTTTTGTCCATAGACAACACGTACGAAATTGTACTAACAAAAATCAAGACATACTGAAATGTAATCCTTAGTTTCTTTGTTTTTTTATCTAATAGACAATTTATTATTACTTTTCAGGAAACTTAGCAAACATAGCGGAAATGCTCGGAGGGCAGATAAACAGAGAGATATTTGATCTCGTGTTAAAACAATTAGAGATTGATGATATCATTAAGGAAGGGACATGCACTTTACCTCCGCCACCTACAAGTACATTTCTTATGTCTAGTTCCAGTGGTACCCTATGTGTACTCTAAAGCTTAAGGCTTGTGAAATATTGAATATAATTTTATTTTAATTTACGGTTAAAGATTTATTTCTAACGTTTTAAACCGTAATTTGTTTTCATTTATCTATAAACTTTTTAGAATAAATGGTTATTTGTTATCTTATAATCTTAAGTCATTTTATTTCAGATTGCCCATCGGTCATGGACATTTCACAAATGATACCACAAGCCATTGAAAATAATTTACAATGTAATTTGGCTGAAAACTGTTACGGAATATCATGCTGCGTCAATATAAACTTTTCAATTCCGATGTCGAGTATTGAAATGAACATATCATTTCCGGTTTGGTTTCAACTAGATCCCTGCGATTTTCGAATCAACACGGGCATTGGCCCCTCTCAATTCGAGGAGCAACTTTTAAAATATGAGTGGGGTAAAAACAATATATACAATTCATTACTATGACGAATGATTGATTGATATAGAAAAGACTATACATTGTGTATTAAGTTATTCAAAATGTTTTTATTCGAAAATAATATTATTACAGTTTTTCTTTTGTCAAATTGGGAGTAACTTAATTTTATTTTAACTTACCATTCTAGGAAAGGAATCAACAATAGAACTTCTGTCCGGAGACAATGCGCCAATAAAGATAATGTAAGTACTTATCATTTTTATTTATAACGTTTGCTGCATTCTTATATATTGTCAGGGCTTGTATGTTTAATTTTTTAAGTAAAATTTACCGTTGATATTTGATTTGTCTCCCTTTTGTCGTTAAGGCAAAATATTTATATATGTATTGCTTTCATACCTATCAAAATTGTTTTAAATGAATGAAAAAAAATTTAAAGTGTTGATTTTATGACGAGTATTGGTTTGTTTATCGTGAAACTCGTATTATTCTCTAGTTTTTTTCAAAAAGCAATACATTATGTACTTATTTATATGTAAAATTATGACCATTTAAAAAACGAACTTAAATTTAATATTGGCCATTATAAAATAAGTATATAAATGACCAAAATTGAAATTGCTAATATAATGGTTACTAAATTATTCAACCCCTGTCACATTGATTGTCTTGAAATGTCCTTTAAATATATATAATGACTAAAACGACGATATTCGGTGTTCGTGAAAATAATCCGATAAAGGTATTCCATTTTCAAGTAAACATTCAAGACATTTAGAATATTATTTAATATCAACAATTGCACATTTAAAGTACACGACGCGTGTTAGGTTTTTAGACAAACATCACTATGACAAACTGTAAAACATTTTGATGAGAATTTTTCTCAACTTTTAGATATGCAATAGACAACTTCGGCGATGGATTCATAACAAATCTTCGTTTAGAGATATGTTTACCTATAGATGACACGAAATATTGCATTCTTCCTGACGGTTTTGTGCTTTTAGAGGACGAGCAAATACCGGCATGTTCACTGACTGCTTGGACTAATCTAACAGGTTCACTCAAATCTAAAACATATCGATATTAAAAGGAAATTATGACATTAGAAGTTTAATTCATTCATGCCTTTTTTTAAATTATTTATAACTCTTTACAGTGTGCTGCAACATCATGTCAAATTTATTCAATGTCTATACACCTGTCCCAATTGGTAGGTTTTATTTAAAGTTGGAACATCGGAGAGGTCATAAAAAAAGAAGAAAAAAAACATATTTGTTTTGACCCAGAACAGTAAATAGACATTTGCGTGTAAAATTCTATAATACCAAACGGAAAGCAAAACGATCAGGGTTTGATAATAAAAGAAATATTACCACGATCTTATTCCCCAAAACTCTTCGAGAAATACTTTAAAAATACATGCCAAGTTACACCCTTCACTTTTTCATTTGTTTTATAAATATGTAAAAAAAAATAATTGTATCTTAATCTAAACAAAATTTAATATTATTTCATTGCAGACTTCTCATTTGAAGAATGGGTGATTTCGAAAGGAGAGAGTATCGAAGAGCAACTATCAAATGCAGGGAAAGACGCACTCTTAGATCTTCTTGGCTTGAATGAATTTCTGCTTTCGCCGCCATGTGACCGCAAAAGAGGTCCATACAGTCCGTCTATGAGTGGATGGAATAATTGTAAGATTCTTATATCTGTTGCTAAATATTTCTGTTTACATCGAAAACAAAAATAATGATAAAATTTCTAATCATATTGATAATGTGCTTTTGTTTTTTATTCTCAGTATGTCCGAATAGTTTTGTCAACCTTCCCTCCAAGCTGCCGAGTTATTTTTCATGTAGTGTACCAGACTATTGTACAGGAATCAACTGCTGTCTGGAGGTTAAACAAATTGGACTTTCAATTAACGCATTTATAGACATAGACATGTGTAACTACACTATTTCCGGAGGAATTGAAACTCTGACATTCAACTTTTCTCTTTTCAACTACGATTGGGGTAGGTGTTTTATTGTGTTATGCGTGTGATGTTTTAGTAACACATTAGTTAAGACAATGAAAAATATCAACAATGGTTAAAAAAGCTTGACTGGAATTATTTCTTTTATATATTTCCCTTAGAACAGCTATTTATTGCTATGGTAAATAAACGTAGTTATGTTTATGAGAATAATACCTCTCCGAGTATAAAGGAAGTATTGCTTTAATTTATTCTAAAGAAATTTTTGCCGTTCTTGTTGACTGATAAGGGAGATACATTAATATTTTGATCCTAGTAATATTAACACGAACTTTCGGCAATGGTGAGAAAATGTAAAGCAATGTTTACGAGAAGACAATAATGTCTTGTTATGTTTTCATTTTAGGTAAGACAGAAACGGTTTCAGTAAAGGACATCTTTCGATTAAGGTAAGTGAATGCGAATTCAAGAGGCAAATTTAATACGGTTTCACCTAAACTTCAATAACTTTTGAAATAGCAAAACTAATTTTCTTTTTTCATTGCATTTATCATTAAATATGCAAAGGTAAACATTAGCAACAATATTTTGTGTTTTAATAAAATTGTCCACATATTTGCTAATGTGATTTATGAATTTGATAAACCGACACTTTGTTGTTCTGTAATGATTTTTGTATTTGATTTCAAAAATGGACTGACATTTTATCTCAATGAAATAACTCAAAAGTTATTTTCCGATTCAAGAAAAACATTGTTCATTTAAGGTTTTCAATTAAAAAGCCTACCAACGAAAATGTGTTCATCATAACAATGCGATTAGCCGTGTGTCTTGAACGAGATGGAAGATGCATTATTGATGAAAAAGTACTAGATGGCACAAAGGTTCCTCAACCAGGATGTGACATGTCCATAGATATATCAAGTAAAGTGATATATAACATGACAATAATATATTATATGAACATTACTTTTACAATAGCATCTTGACAAGTTCTGGTTGTAATCATTAAACAGTGTAAATAATTTGTAATGAAAAGAAAAGCAATCACTTTATCATTATTTTGGAGTTTCGTCGAAAAAACTGTACTTACAGTTGCTAACTTTGTCGTTAAATATTAATTAGTCCTACAAATCTAATTTTCAAAACTACAGTGTTTCTCATACATATGTTTCAACTTTAAAAAGGTTTTATTCAGTCTTCAATTTTCCAGATTTTTCAGCTGCAGTTTGGTTTGAAAATAATGGTCTTGGAAATCTAAGTATTACTGACGAGCTATGGGGTGATGCTATTACTTTTTTATCAGAAGTTGTTGGTCTAGATAAACACTTCTTAGATGAGCAATGTGACATACAAACAGATCCTTACAAAAATGCCACAATGAGCTGGTATAATGGTAAGCGGCATCTGTAATTGCATCGGGGTTTGCATAAATTTCTTTAGATATTTTAAAATAAGTAATTCCATTGGTCAATGTGAATGGTTTTGTATAAAAGATTTATGCTTTCATTGATTGAACATTTAAAGAAGTCGCTATTATTATGAGTGATTTCTTTACACTGTCATTTTTTAAACATTTTTCTATAAATAAAGCTACAAAATAAAACATACAAATACATGATTATATTATTTATTTAAATTTATTGAAACCTTTTCTTATCTCTAAAAATCAAACATTAAATAATACAGTAATCAAAAAGATCATTTTATGCTTCATGCTGTTCAAAAGTTAAGCATGTGATTATTCTACAATTTTACACTGATTCACGGAAAGTACATTGTTTAAATATGTACAAATTTCATTAAGATTAACGAATATGTTCTTTGATAAAATTGGTAATGAAAAGACTTAAACTTAATATTGTAGAGTGTCAATTTTTGAAAGCGGACCTCCCTGACTTGCCGGATCATTCAGTCTGTCACATCGGTACTTCATGCACATCACTTGCATGTTGTATAAATGTTAACTTTCTTCGACGATCTTTACAAGCGTCTTTTGAGATTGACTTTTGCAATTACACAATTAAAGGGAATTTAGAGAAGTCGAATTTTAAATTTGATCTAATCGACTTTAAATGGGGTAAGTCTTACTTTTTCATATTGATGTACGGTTATGTTAAAATGAATATGTACAGCGAAATTTTCGAGAGACATTCATTATATGTTTCCGGACTGGGTCGATATTTTTGAAATTTTGTCACTGTAATTTATCAAAGTACACATATGTAAACATATTTTCGTCAAATATATTTCAATTTGAGACAACATAACGTTAAAAATATCTCATAACAAACGCTACGGCATACATTGACGTCTACTAAAATGAAACCATATGTCATTTTCTTCTTACCAGTTTTTTTTTCTTTAAATAATTGCCGGAAAAAATCATCATAATACTAAATCTGACATGACCTGTACGATAACTGTGCGACGTATTAAAATTTAAATTTTGAGGTCATACGATACTAAACAAGCTATATATAAAAGATGGATGAGTTCGCGCCTCTTGAAAATAGCGGAAGGATAACGTTGACGTCAAATCGTAAGGAGCATCGCGCCATCATCAAACAGTGCGTGTTTGTAGGATTGACACCAACATATACATACAAGTTCTATAAATGAGTAAAGTGCAATCAGTATGCTGCACATACGTGTTTGATTGGCACAAACGCTACAGGGAAGTAACGGTGGCACTTACGACCATGAACGAACAGGAAGACCATCATAAAATGGTCGTCAGGATAGTGAAATTAGACAAAGTCGCAAAGAAAAATAGAAGAATACTTGTTTTTGAAACTTCCCGAAGTTACAGAATTAAGTGATGGTTGTGTCCACAATGTGTTCACAAACACTCTGAAGATGAACAAAGTGTGTGCTAGAAGGGATCCGAGGTTATAAACACAGGAGCAGAAAGCCGGTCGTGTACGTTGTTCCGAAGCATTGTCCGCCAATATGAGATAGAGCGCAAGCGATTTCCGGGCCGAATCATTACTACAGATATATGAATTGTGCTTTTCACGCTTTCAATTTCTTTCCATAAATATTGATCTTGAATTTTGACCGCCTTATTTTGAGTTCTCATTTCAGGTTATTTGATGTTACTTGATAATGCTTTCCATAGGATATAGGTGCAGATGAAGTTTATCTTATTTTTCATGAGGGCAATGCACCGATCCATCGTGCCGTAGGCACACTGATGACTATTGATTTTTTGGGATTTGAAAAACTAGAACATCCTGTCTATAACTCGTACTTAGCTTTTATGGATTTTGCAGTTTTCTGTGGTAAAATTCGGATTTACGCGGACGATTGCTCGACTCTGTGCTTGAAATTCTAATGGCGGTAAGAACATTACCGAAACAATATGAAAATGACTGATGCTCCACTATATTTTCCAATTGGATGAACCAACAAAAGAAATGCATAAAACGTTTGTGAAATTAATGACGTCGTTTTGTCGTTGTACAATGGTCCCTGAGTTTTTTATCGTGTTACACAGACTGTTTATATTTATACTGCACATGTGTGTTTACTATTTTTTATATTAAGTTATGGCCCTAGCCCGGGAACTTTATGAACGCCCCTCGTATATACAATAAACGGATCACATATTCACCTATTCAAATATTGCATTCATATTAAGAAATTTGTGTTCTTTCATAGAACAAATGCTACCCCAATATTATGCATTTTTTACTAATGAAATGAAACTATTTTGATCAGCTTGAAAATAGAAACACATATTTGATCATTGTATTACAATATAATTTACTTTCAGGATATGAGGCAAAAGAAAAAGTCTTAGATCTTCTTCAAATTAGGTACGGTATGTTGTACATATACATGTATTATACATGCTATTAAAACAATGAAACAATACAACTATATAAAGGAACATTCTAGTTGATGGTTAATAAAATGAAATGGTATTTCAGGTATAAGCTCGACAAAACTGACAAACACTTCATTTTCGATCTCTCTGTTGAAGTATGCATGGATTCTAGGACATCTTGCCAGCCGTCCATAGATATCTACAAGAAAGCTATGATACCCATTCCTGTGTGTAACTTAGATGCAGGATTTACTATTGGAAGTATGGTTTTATCAAGACTAAATATTTCATTATTCCATAATTTTTATAAGAAGAATAATTTAAACGAATTTTATACTACATGTGTTTTGCACTTTTAAATAAAAATCAGAGTCGATCTAATAATAATTGGCTGACCTTAAGAATTCACTTTGATATGAAGGAACTAAACAAAGCAAATTTTTAACGCATGCAAGAAAAGAGTTTTCAATGTAACACAAGTTTATACATAATTATGCTTTCAAACTTGGTGTTTATCTTCAAGTAGCAAGTCATGTATCTAGGTTGCTTATAACACAAATAAATACAATGTTCTATACAAATGATGAGTTTGTTGAAATACACCATTTTCTGTTAACTGTTTTTGCGTTTGATATAAGTACCTTAGTAAGTACGTTTATATATTTATTGGCATCCATTTCCAAATGATGTTCGTTCTTTTTAATGTTTGACAGGCTTTTCACTCAATGAATGGTTAAACAATGTTGGCAGTTCGATTGATGATAATCTTCCTACAGCAGTTGTTGCTTTACTTCTAAGCCAATTAAATATTGACAAATTTCAACAAGAAACACCCTGCTCTTCATCTGATGTAATGTTCATGAATACATCAAATGGATGGAATTCAGGTACATAGGGCATTTCATATGTAACACATGGTGTTTAAACGCAGTGTAGTTGTGGTAATATTTTATTATTTCCAATCTATGTACAATCAATGACTCAATCCTCAGAATACAGATTTACATTAGTTACAATCTCTATTGAAGTCAAGACACTGGAATGATAATAATTACAATGTTTGCACATATATATAAACAATTAATCAATGTAGCATTAAATGAACATCTATAGACATATTGGTCATTGAATGATTAAAACATGTTGTACTCTTTACATCTGTCTTACGTGATGGTTAACTGTGAACAAGATTAATACATATTAAACAGGCTGGAAATAAAAATAAAGAATACAAAAAGAAAGTATATGACCGCCATTTTAATCCATTCAAAGCGCTGTAAATAAAAAATTGCAAATTGTCACAATATGGACTACGGTGGAACACAGGCTGATCACAACTATCATACAAAACAAAGCACAACTCAGTACAAACTATTTAATGATATATTTATAAAAAATAAATGAATATTTATAAATGATAAGCAATGAATGAAAAGAGAAAAATAAAAGTTCCGTGTCCTGTCGAATAGCACTTTGTCTCTTTGTCCCGGTGGCTTAACTCAAAAACAAATATTCACTGATGCTCGAGATGTGACCCATCCAAAGCAAAAGATTGATTCTGTACTGTCTACAGAGTGAAGATCCAAGACTGCGTCGCTACGTCACAATATCCACTATCGTCGCTATGTTGAACACATGCGTGATACAAAATTGAAGGTGAATCCTCCGAGTAGAAGCTACAAAATATAAAACATGGTTAATGTCCATGGTACACAAATATAAGGGTATAAGTATGTCCCTTTAGAATAGCCGGACCTTTGTTGGATTCCTATAAACAAAGCTTTCAAAAAATAATGTCCCTTATGGAACGCCATACACACTGGTATAAGAAATTCAACGTTGATTATATATCGTAGCACGTTGATATAAAACATAAAGCCAGACCGGTTGCCACCTAAATATCGACGAAATGCTTCCTTGAATCGAATCCATATTATTTTCATACAAAAAATGATGATGATGTGATATGAACATTACTTAAAGAAATAAGAATTATATAAAAAGAACATATGCTGCAGACTTAATTATAAACGACTTACTGTATTAAACAAGAACATGAAAACTTAGTTTAGTAAATACACATGAACATATGCATAAAATACGTGTACTCAAGGCGTTGACGGCCTTCCATACATAACAACAACTATCAATGATAATAAACATATTACCAATATTCAAGACTAGAGTCATAAATCTACAGCAGACGAAAAATTACAGAACGAAAAATAACTGTAAAAAATACAAAATAAAATTTCTATAAAACGAATTTGTAATAACTAATTAAACTGAATTACGATCTTCTGAAATAACAAAAAATCACTAAAATAAAACAACAAGAAAAGAAAAATTTACCTTGCGCAAGCTTAAAAATTTACACAACAAAAATAAATGTGTCTGTCATAATGACCTTGTGCGTCTTTACAAGTCTAAATGTGAGTCCCCAAAGAAGATTTAAGGTGATTCCGCTTTGTCAGCCATGTTTGTTTTCACAAAGTCTGTCCAAAGTGAAAGTAGGCAGAAATTCTTATAACAAAAAAGCTCACATTGTTATATGATGAGCCATTTGCAAGTACACATCCAGTTCTATGTTTTAAAGACTATTTTAAACAAAAATAAAAGTGATAACAATAAGAAAATTTACCTTGAATGGGCTAAATTTCTGAAGACCAAAAACATTCTGTTGCAAATTTTTATGCACATTTCATGAATGGCAAAATGCTTTTTAAAGTATGTTTTAGTGCCTACAAAAGCTATTTTTGCAGAAAATACAAAAAACTTTAAAAAACATAAATCTTAGGAAAGTAGTTTATCTGACCTTGAAAAAACATGGCCACCATGACATGTGTAAAAAAAGTAGTATCATGAAAATAAACATAATTTATCTATTTCTTGTGTACATGACAAACAGACACACTTCACTGCTACACATAAAAAAGGTTAGATTTTAAAGTTCGATTGTGTTTTCATTTTAATTGAAGTTCATAAGGCTATAAATGATGATTGTTTTCTTGCACTACTTTTTTACAAAAAATAATGGAGGCCATGTGCTTAGAAGCACATGAGATAAAGATTTATTTGGAGTTAAGTTTTGAAAGATTTTTGTATTTGCTGCAAAAAATAGCTTTTGTAGGCACTAAAACAGATTTTAAAAAGGATTTTGCCATTCATGAAATGTGCTTAAAACTTTGCAACAGAATGTTTTTGGTCTTCAGAAATGTAGCACATTCAAGGTAAATATTCTTATTGTTATCATTTTTATTTTTGTTTATAATTGTCCTTAAAATATAAACCTGGAAGTGTACTTTCAAATGGTTCATCATTTTACAATAAGAGCTTTGTTGTTATATGAATTTTGGCCTACTTTCACTTTGAACAGACTTGAGTGAAAACAAACATGGCTGACAAAGCGGAATCTCCTTAAAATCGTTCAATATATAAGCATAATAACCCTAAGTCGAAAGCGTGAAACATAACTTTCACGATTATCTTGCATTCCAGAACGCATGTATAACAAAATATACAGGCCCGTAATATCAAATTTATAGACCATAAATAATTTGCACTTTACCACACAAATCTAACTTTCTTATTACTGGACCGAATTTTATGAAAAATATATCAAAATGCTTGGAATGATACCAAGAAATTTAAGCAATAAATGAATATACTAAAATAAGTAATTTCACTCGATAACTCTGAATTTTACAGAAGATGATACAATAATTTACATTGTATTTAGTATAAAACTGATGTTTGGCATGAAAATAGAATTTAAAAAATCAAAGTACTGAAAGCACTTCTGAACATTTACGAAATGGTTTACTTTGTGACACAAATAAACTGAAAAAAATCAATTATCATTTCGGTCATCACAAAATTACCTCAAATACTTCTCATGAATGTTCAGATACAGTAGGGTGAACGTGTCAGTTTACACGCAAAACGCACGTTACACGCTTTACGAACGCACGTTACACGCTATACGAACGCACGTTATACGCACGCAAAACGAAACGAAATACGCAGACGCACGCAAAACGATATACGCTAAACGAAATACGCTAAACGATATACGCACGCTAAAACGCACGCAAAATGAAAACGTTTCTAAACCTTTATTAAAACATCGTAATCATTTTAAGTTTTTAACAACTTTAGCTACATGTAGAACGTTTAAGCGTTAAATTTTGATCATCATATACATGTAGATCTATACTGTAAGGTAGCTAGAAATGTATTTTAAACGAGTTTATGTAAGAACTGAAATGCACTCAACCTAGCACCGAAATAAATTTTTGTCACAACCTCAACAAATGATTTTTAGATATATTTATAAGCTATCATGCGCTAATATCGAAAGTAAAAAAGTTAATGTAAAGTGTGTCCTTTTTATACGCAATTGGATAAAGAACTATCCCTTGCATTCACTACGTAATCTCTACGTAATAGTCCAAAATGGCCGACATTGAAAAATTCATTGCAAATTTTTATAAATATACAGTGGTAACAATTAAATTCAGATGGATTTATGTGGCAAATCTATATATTAAGTGAGGCTGCATCATAAATGTTACAATCGAAATATATAATCTTGAGTGTAAAATAAAGGAATTAACTATTTTGACAGAAGTCACGAAAACAGATTAAAAACACAGGATTCCACCACGGATAACATTGAGGGAAATGGATAACATTAAAGGAAAAGCTTCCAGAATCAAGAATGATTAAATTGCTGGCACAATACGTAGATTTAAGTTGATGTCCTGTATGTTTCTTTAGGACACCGCAATTGATTTACTGTCTTGTCGCCAGTAAAAGCTTCTCAAAACGAAAGTGAAAGTAGAAATAATCAGCGAAATCTCTAAAAAAAGGTAAAATTTCTAGGACATTACAATAAATTAGTATAGATCTATATAAATATTAAGAACGCAATTTTATTTTAGGTCTGAAACTGTAATCAAGAGGAAAAAAATGAGGAAAATTATTGGATTTTCAAAGACAGCACAACAGAAAATATTTTTCATGTCACTTAAAATTGAAACTTATTGATCTGCGCTTAATATGTAATATGAAATTAGGCAGAGCCTATGAACGGGGAAGTCATTAAAAAATTCCTTTCTTTCTTTCCGTTTTAAAATTGTCATTCGGTATTACATGCACCGCTTCCCTTTTCACTCAGAACACTGGACGTTTATTATTTATCCGAAAAGTTGAGATTTATTCCGTTATCAGAATACCCCGCCTTTTATCATTGAGTTACATTGTAAATGGTGGCCCCCGACTAGAACTGACACTGAAAATTTCATTGATAGGTATAGAATTCTATATATTTTTTAATTGTTTTTTATTTGATTTTCTTTTAAATATAAACATGTAGTCTATAGCCGGGCAAGTCAAAGCCCGGACCCGCGATTTTTGACTTCCCCGTATAAATATGGTTGATCACACACCAGTGCCGATTTTGCCACTCGGTAAATATGGTATTGCACATCCATGCATATAATTTGACATGACCTCATTAGCGTTATAAAAACATTATGTAAAGATGGCTAAATGGTAGCGTTATACTATAGGCGTAGAAATGAAAAACTCCTCTTATTTCACTTTAAACGGTCTTTATTTTGTGTATGTGATACAGTAGGGTGAACGATTCAGTTTACACGCAAAAACGCACGTTGCAGAAAAAACGCATGCACGTTACATGCTATACGATAACACACGTTACACGCACCCTTTATGAAACGAAATACGCAAACGCGTGCAAAACGAAATACGCTACACGATATACGCACGCTAAAACGCACGCAAAATAGAAATCGTTTCTAAACGTTAATAAAATATCCTTATCATATAAATTTTTAACAACTTCTAAGCTAGATCATTTAGTGATTTGATTAACCCTTTCACTGCCATAGGGACGGCTTAAACCGTCCCTGTTATTTTCGGCGTATTTGCCATATGGACGGCTTTAGCCGTTTCTATAACAATAATAGTTATAATAATAAATTAATAATAGTAATAATAAAAATAATAATAAATCTAAAGAAAATTATACCATCAACAATAATTATTATTATACTAACAGATTTGGAAACATATATAATTATTATAATACTAATAACAAATAATAATAATTATATTAATTAATAATATAGTAATTTCTTAGAAAATCCTCTGGCAAATAGGTGAACAATAAAACAATATTATAACCCTCTGGCAGGGAAAGGGTTAAATGAAAGCTAGCCATTCATGTATTTTAAACGGGTTTATGTTAACTAACTTATCTTATGTCCCCTCATTAGTGAATAGTTCAGAGCTGTAAAAATGAAAAAATCAGTTTTACAGTATTTTTTTTGTGATTCCATATACCATGCCAGTAATGGTCCCCTGACAGGGAAGGGAACACTTCCTTACTGATAGTGGATCTGAACACCTCTGTCTGCATTATAGGACATTTGCCATACCTTTTTTTTTTATTTTTCAATGAAATTTGGTGGATTTTTTCAATATCAATCAAACAGATGTAATTGTTACTCAATATTATAGTGATATGTTGCCTTACTAACTTGGTTTCATTTCCTAGGAGGTTATAATAAGGGAAAATTACCCCCATTTTTAAATATGTAATGTATTTGCTTGAACAAATAGGCATCATAGAAAATTTACCTTATCTCTCGTCATTGTCAATATAATTCAATGGGGTTTTCTTATTTTAGTCAATTAGATGTAGTAGTTACTTGATAGTATAACATTATTTGGCTTTACTTACTTTGTTTCAGTGACCAAAAGGTTATTACAATGTAAACTTACCCAAATTTTCAATGATTTAGTCTGGTAAAGTTATTAATAAGGCATTATAGAAAATAAGCCATTATTTCTTAATTTGCAATGAAATTTGTTGGGATTTTCTTATATAAGTCAAGTTGATGTAGGTTTAACTTAATATAATAATACTATGTTGCTTATATAACTTTGATTCATTTACCATGAGGTTATAATCAGGTAATATTACTCCCATTTTTAATGAATTAGTGTGTTAGCTTGTATAGTTATACATCATAGGAAATAAGCCATAATTTTTTGAATATTCAATGTAATTTATTGAGATATTCTTATTTTAATCAATTAGATATGCTTGTTAATTAATATAATAGATTTATGTTGCACTTATAATTCAGTTTCATTTCCTAGGCTGATATAATAAGGTAAAAATCCCCATTTTGTAGTGAATTGGTGTTCTATCTTAAGACAGTAAGGTATCTTAGGAAATTTACAATAACTCTTATATTTTGTAATGAAATTTGGTTGGACTTCCTTACTTTAGTCAATTAGATACCTTTGTTAATTAATATGATAGATAAATGTTCCTCTTGTAGCTTTGTTTAATTTCCAAGGCTCTTTTAATTAGGTAAAATTTTCATATTTTGTAGTGATTTAGTGCACTATTATCTTGGACATTTAGGCATCTTAGATTTGCCATAATTCTCATATTTTGTAATGAAATTTGTTAGGACTACCTTATTTTAGTCAATTACATATGTTTGTTAATTAATATAATAGATTTATGTTATATAAAAAATTCTGTATCATTTCCTAATAGGTTAAGTTTAAGGTAAAATTACCCGGTGTATCAACATTTTATGTGGCACTGCTTTCTTTAATAGTTGGGGTCCAGATAAAATTTACTATAAATTTTATATTTTTCCTGGACAATTATTGAAATCTTCTTTTTTAAGTCATCTAATGAAAGCTTTTAATTAATAAAGTTGATTTGGATTAAGTTATCAATTACATTACTTTTCATAGGGATCTTGTATTATATGCCTTTTTTAATGAACTGACCTACCTATGAAGCATAAAATTGATATTGTAGGAAAATTAAAATTACAATCAATTGAAATTGTACAGGTCCCAAAAGATATATTAGTATGCAAAATGGGAAACCGTTTATGTAAATTAATATAAATACATAGGTGATATTTAAGTATATTATAGTTAGAATTTTATCAGTTATGTCTAGGTTTATAACTTACTTGAGGGAAGTTAAACAAGTGTCTCGGGACTACAGCATACCTATCTTACTCAGCTGAGAAAAATCTTTAAAGAATTATAATTATGGTTATAATTATATGGAAAGGTTATATACTTTTAAGTTAGCAAAGGGCGACACAGGCTCATCTCGGGTATCTCAAAGGGGTATTATGTTAAGTAATGATTACGGATTGATAAACCTTAAAAGTGATTTTAGATAATATACAGAATAAAAATCAAGAAAGCTATATATATGTTTATCAAAGTGGGTTATATTATTGACCTCATATAAGATTAAGATATATTTGAGCCCCGTCACGATAAAAGCAACATAATGGGTTTGCGACCAGCAAGGATCCAGACCAGCCTGGGCATCTGTTCGCTATCAGTGTTATACGGTTTGTAAGTGACCAGTAAAAGCCCAGGCCACATACAAAAATAGTAGTCTATGGCTTGATTATGAGCTGACAGGTAGGGGAATTTTGTAAAGGGTGGCTTAGCCTGTCTGTTGTGATTACATGTCTAAAAAGTTCAACATGCTATATTTTAGCCACCACAGAATTTTTTATCTAGAAAAATATCTAGTTATTTTTATTTGTACAAAAATATAGAAATAGTACAATGTACAATGTATAATTAGTAAAATGTTCACTATACATGTACAAATAATGAAACTATCAACAAATGTCGGTACAGCTGCGGTACAGTATTTAGACGGTCACGGGTTCGAGTACATGTCAGGATGCACTTTTTTCTCACCCTGTGACTGACAAACATTTGTATAGCCCAGCTAGAAATTAATTCATAATGCTAAGTAAGCATTGGAAATTCGAAGAAATATTTGCATACACAGTAGGTTTATAACTATTTAGTATTTAAACAAGTAAAACGTGTAAGCGGCCGAATAGCTCAGAGGAACTCAAGAGCCGCGGAATCGTATTCCGAGTGTCAGGGGTTCGAGTGCCTGCCAGGCTGTTACATATCAATATAAATCCGTCAAGAAAAATAGGAAGGAACTGTCTAAAATAATTATCACCCTAAATAGTACTCGGATAGGATTCGGACAGTCTTTGATGAAAAGTCAGAAGATGAACTTGTAAAGGGGGTGGGGTGCTAGTCTGATCACATCATTTGATGTCTGACGAACCTCGTATCTAATATATATTGGCACGCATATAAACATCTGTTTGCTGAATTGAATATCAAAAATGTTGCAATTAATTAGTAATTATATCTTATGCGTATGTAAAATAGGATTAAAACTAATTGATCTTCGGCTTTAAGCATGTAGAAATCTGACCAGTATTCACCGCGAGGTCACAAACTTTAAAACTTTAATGTAAATATCACAATAATACTTCTTAATATAATATTTCTATTCTTTGACAGGGACACAGAACATCTCTTACATGTTTAAGAAACAACAAATTTACATAATACATCTATCTAAGAAATTCTTTTACTTCTCAATAGTAACAGACGCAAAACACGGTACTTAAGCGCTTAGACGAACGCAGACGCACGCTAAACGTTTCTGGGAATAAGAAACGCACGCTTTCAGACGCACGATAAACGAAAAACGATACACGGAAAACGATAAACGTTAAACGCTTGTAAACGATGCACGCTTGAGAAAGCGTTTCAGCAAACGCACGTTGCACGCTATACGCACGCACGTTACACGAAAAACGGACGCACGAAAAACGCTATTTTTGACAACCGAAACGTTCACCCTACTGTAGTCCAACCAAATGCATATTCCTGACAAGTTATCAAAAATCTGAATAATCAGTTCATCCGCAAAACTCTCGCGAGATGACAAGGAACACAAGAAACAAAAAAAATCTAAAGAGATAAAAAAAACGGAAAGAGCTGACAAGTTTCATAATAATATTAAACAAAACTATGACCCTGCTACAATAAGATGTATTTACAAAAAATACATTGATGCAGCTGCACAGGATCATATTTGCGCAAAAAATCTGAAAACTTTACAGTGTCATGTACACGAAATATTGATATGTTTATATTTATAAAAGTAAAGAAGTTTAATTAACCATCTATGAATGCAAACATAGTAAAAACAACGCTATCATAGACATCTGGTGCGCCATCTTTTGTAATTAAACGGATATTTTGACATTTTTGATTTTCAGATATAATTTGAAAAAATTCCATAAAATGTGTTTTAATTTTTATACCGAAACAATAACCTATCACTATTGCTTTATGTAAACATAGATTATAAAAAAGTATCATTTACCAATTACAGAATGTAACGCTTCCTTTACACTACCGTCACTGCCAGATGAAATGGTGTGCTACATGGGTGACACATGTACAAGTATTGAATGTTGTGTATCTGTTGATATACTAAGAACATCTATCCATGTGAAATTTCTCCTCGATACCTGTAGATACAAACTTACAATGGGAATTGAGCGTTTGGAGACGGAAGTAATCTTACTGGACTATCAATGGGGTACGATCCAATTAAGTTATTTCAGTTAATATCAGCTTTTCTCTGAAATAAAAAGTTTTGATTCTTATTGATAAAGTCGGTTGTTTAATTCATTTTGCCGGTAACATTGATCAACGGAATAAAAGATAAAATAAATGATTCCCTGAAAAACATCATACGCGTCCATATTGGAAATAGTGCATATCCGATCTGATTGATCCCGTTAAACGGTTTACATTTTCTTTTATATCATATAAAATTGTTCCAATGATGTTAAGGGAACAAACAAAGGGATTTCTAAACCCATGTTGGTAAAATTGTTATGATTATTAGACAAATTCATCATATTACTTATATCATATATAATATAGTATATTCATCCCCCGTTTTATAGTCCATTCCTTTAATTTTCAGGCAAAACAGGACATTTTACTCTCGGAGGAGTTTTTCAAATAGAGTATGTTTTTTCTTAAATTTACTTTTTATTTACAGGAATTATACTTACTTATTACCATCTTTTCAGTAGACAGCGAAATTATATTTTGTAATTTCACATTAAATTATTAAAGTATAAATTTCACGGTAGATACATAATATTTTATCATTTGTAAATGAAAACAATGTCATAAATCAGTGGAAATATCGTCATAAATACACTCTGTCGCACGTAAAAGGTGTTTGAATACAGGTAGCACATGTCATTTTTTGTGTGAAACTTTACATAAATATTTTTCAACAAGAACAATGTGTCGTGTAATGTTTGAGAGTGCATGCTACTCGGCAAAAAATTGTAAAAGTGACTGACAACCACTAAAACCATGAAATTCAGAGCTATTGTTAAAGCAAATTGTATATCACTCGTGAACACCAGGTCTTATATTTTTATTCGAGGTCACTCGCAAAAATGTTACATACGGTGCAGAACAAACAAATATCATATATAGTATGTTACAGCTTTGCTACTATTTCTGTCGCTTAACATTTTCTCATCATTTTCAATTATTAAAGCTTTAATTGTGATGACTTTACTTAAATACAAATAAATTTTTGCAGGTACAGAATCGATGACCTGCAAAGTCAGAAGAAGTTTATTGTAAATGCGAAGTTGAAGATTTGTTTTGAACAAGAGTATTGTCTCTATGAAATCGACATTCTATCAGACGCTTATATTCCAAAACCTCTTTGTGACTGGAATGTTCGAATCACGGCACCGGGTAATTGTCAAATATTTCACAATTGCTTACAGTATGGTATAATATTTTTAGTCTGTATCATACTAACTCGAAATGTTTTTTATGTTTTATGTCAGGTTATTTTTTTGTCAAAATTCTTTATTAGACGAAAAATGTTAATAAATAAGAATATTTGTGTTACTGCGTCATGAAGATGTGTTATGAATATAATATCAATTTTGGACAGCTCACACACTTTTGTGGTTAATATACTTTAATATTCATAATTATTCTATTTTGAAATGAACTCGTAGTTATTAACAATGTTTATACATCGGAATTTCAATTTTCTTCCATTTAACATTTGGAAAATAATTAAAAAATAATTGCAAGTAGAAATTTCATTTTTAATAAAATATATAAAGTGCACATTACGTTCGCGTAGATTAATTCATTGTTATTTATTGATGTGCACAGGTTTTTCACTAGATGACTGGATAAGCCAAGAGGGTTATGACTTTGAAAGCGGATCATTAAAGGAATACATGATAGAGAAATTGTTTGATACGCTTGGACTGTCCAAATATTTAGACGAAAATGAATGTAATAGAGAAATGCATCCGTTTACAAATGGTTCGAATGGCTGGACAACAGGTACGTTACCCGATCAATCTGTATAGATCAGAATATGATTATGTTGGAATCTTAATCTTAAATGATTAATAAGCAACGGCTTGAGAGTGTTACCTTTTGTGGCTTATCATTAATAATGTCAGATTCAATAAGATACTCTTCTATTTCAGACTGTCCTAGAACATTAGATACCATTGGACTTCCAGATGTGATATCATGCCATATTCCGACGTACTGCACAGGATTTGATTGTTGTGTTTACATGGATATAGTGAAGCGCTCTTTCAAACTGTATTTACATATTGACACTTGTAATAACATGTTTTCAATTGGGATTGAAAAGTTCGGATTGAACGTTTCTCTTCTTGAGTACGAGTGGGGAAAAGCAGAACAGTTCTCGTTATTTGGTGCATTGCGGATAAGGTATTTCTGAAACATGAAGTTTAAAATATATAAAACACTTATATTAAAACACATATATTAAAATATTTAAACACATGTTTGCATAAAATATGCGATTCCACTTTAGTTTTGGAATCATAATAATTAACTATGAAGAATTTATGAACAAAATGATACTTTTTTCGAGAATATGCAAAAACTTTGTTTATTGCTTACTAAATAGTTTGAGGTGACTATCATTTTTTATGAATTTTGTGGAAAAATCGCTGTTTCCATCACATGCTCCTTGTTTAGCTTTGATAATGTTTAAAAGCTATTCCTCCAATGCAATTATCAATTTGAATTCATTTTACAATGAGTTATTCTTTGACGTACATAAATACAACATAACATAGTATTGAAAGATTTTTGTGTTTGTCATTTGTATTCAAAGTGTCATTCAAGGCTTTTACAATTACAAAAAATATATTACGCATTTTGCAGTTACTCTGTATTAAACTTGGCTACAGAACACCAATATGTGATTAATCTGGACATGTCTTTATGTATCAAAGAATCGACTTGTGAAACTACCTTTTCACTTTTAAAAGATGCAAGAATTCCAAAAATAGGATGCGAAAGGAAAGAGTCTTTATCAGGTATAGATTAAGGCAATGTATCTTTACTGCTTGTGTAAAATGCAATGTTTCAGGCTTTAAATGTTAACTGCCTAACAGTAATTTTATATTTTCATGGTCGTTTGGGATAATTTATTCCACGATACAAAAGAGCTTAAACCAATACTATATGCTTTAACCAATACTATATGCAACTACATGCTTCATTATTATGCATAGTACGGCTCTTAATTGCCATGAATCGACTCAATAAAATGAGTCTGTTATATTTCTTGATGAAACTGATTCTACTGGTTTCAAGAATAGTTATATCCTGAAGGTAATATGTGCACTCACTAGAGATTTCATTTTAATGCTTTAATGACTGAAGTTATTTTTTCTTTAAGATTTCAAAATGGATCAGTATCTAGACAGTATCGGAGTTCGGCTTGGTGATATAGAGAATACTTTGTCTGGCATCGTAGCTGACAAACTGCTAGAAACACTTGGTGTCTCTATGTATATTCTTGAGGAGCAATGTGAACATACAGTTAGCAATGAACAATATATTACAAATGGTATTAAAAGTAACAAATATATTATAATGTTATTTGCTGTTGTTATATTTGATATTCATATATTGATTCCTTTTCGCTATCTGAGACATAAGGTCTATTCATGTAAGACCAAAGATTTATCACTTATATCTTAAGAACAATTGAAGAACAACTTACTGGAATGCTTGAATAGTAGAAGTAATGGCACACATAGATGTATCATTTAATGAGCTACTATAACCTATTAGATAAAATCATAAATGATATTTTCAGAATGTGACGCATTAGATATTGACTTGAAGACTCCTGATATAATGACATGTATCATACCTACACATTGTACCGGAATCACGTGCTGTATCAATATTCCACTGATTGGTAGATCAATAAGTGTTACAGTTGACCTCGATGCCTGCACATACCAACTTTCAATTACTATCGAAAAACTCAAACTGGACATACGACTTTTCGAATACGAATGGGGGACATGGCAGCAGTTTGACATTAAAGATGTTTTTAGATTGAAGTAAGTTTTTCATAAACTGCGAATTGAACAGCATCCATAAATTGCGACATTATTTATTGCAACTATATTTAAAAATCTCAGCGTGTATTTAACTTATTTACATGTTTCATGTTGTATCTTATAAGTTTGAATTTTAAATTTGCAATAAACACATATTTGTATTCTATCGTTTGTAGGTATCGCATCGATGATCTTGAATCAAGTAAACAGTTTGTTATATCCGTACGCTTCCTAGCTTGTTTTGACAGTGAAACATGCAGCGTTGATGAATCTATTGTCGATAACCTATTACTTCCCAAACCCCTGTGTAACTTCGAAGGATCATTCAATATTCCTGGTATATATTATATATTGTTATTGAGTGATGCAATAACTGAATATAAGTAGACTAATCAGTCAAATGTATGTTGACGGATAAAATACAGCGATGTATATCATATAAAGTATAGATTTAAATGACATTAAGCTGATATTTTAGCTGTCAAGTTGAGTACATTTGTTATAATTATAGTGATGGACCAAAGATTAATGGTGAAAAATGCTTAATCCAATTTAAAAACAACGTAAATTATAAAAAGACTGTCACACCCTTTTGTTAATAATTGAGCGCTACAGATACATCCTGAATTATTTTTATAGAAATGTACGTTGGTCATGTGGATATTTGTTCATTTTTTGTAGTAACATGTACAATTAAACATAATTATGACAAAATGTCAAGTTTCTTTTATTTTTACCAGTTTAGTGATCATTAATTCTGGGATGGGCAAAATTTCACTATAATTATATAAAAGAAATATTTACATTGATGACACTTAACTTATATGTTTTCTGTTTAAGACTTTAGTCTTCAGAAATGGATCGATGATAACGGAAACAAACAAACAGACTCACTTTCAGATATACTAAGATCAATATTATTTGAACAACTTGGTTTGACACCTTACTTACTCCAAGACGAATGCGATGTCGGGGTAGACCCCGGATGGACAAAAGGTATAATTTAAGTCAATTTAAGGTAAATTCAATCCTTTTAAAAGACTTTGCTCATTTAGATGGGCAAAAAAGTACAAGTGATTTCTAATTGTGATACAAAATGTAAAATTGATTTTAACTTCACTTTATTGTGATTTTTATTTCGTTGCATGAATTTAATTTGTGTAACATTTTATAAAGGTAGTAACTGACTTGTTATTTGTTGGGTTTTTCAGATTGCCCGCTTAATGCGTCTTTGCCGTCACTTCCGTCAAATATAAAGTGTGCCATAGGGGAACGATGTTCTGGATTTACATGCTGTGTAAATGTTCCATTGCTACAACGGTCGTTTTCGTTTTACTTTGATCTAAATACCTGCAATTTCTTACTATCAGCTAGAATAGAGAAGTTGGTGTACAATCAATCACTTGTCAACTATGAATTTGGTATGATGTCTCCTTTTGTTACAGGAAATGTTACGCTTGTTTAACAATTTGAAAGTCCAAAAAATAGCTTAGACTATATCAAATTCTTTACAAGACCGATGAAATTTTTCCAAAAATATATTATGTTTTTGAACTCGTTGAATTTTTCTCCGGAACATTGGCAGAGTTTAGATCTTGTTTTTTTATATCATAGATACAATTTCAAAAAAAATATCAAATGCTTTGAAACCCATTGACTATTTAAGCCATAGAATATAAAGCTTTACATTTGTTAAACTCCTTGAATATCCCAAACATGATAATCCTGATTATAATGGTTTGTATGATTATATATTAGACATGTTGTTATTCGTTTATTTCAATGTAAAAGATAATGCAAGTTTTATCTAAAATCGACGAAGTCCTTGCAATTTTGTTTGAAAATATTTGATTCACTGAATGGCTATGAAATAAGCTTAATATTTGCAAAATATTGTTTCCCTTTTGTTGTTATTTAAAAGAACTAGCGGCGGCAAAAATATCAGATGTTTGCCGAATGCTGCCAAGGACGAAAGTATAAAGCCCCGCCAGTGAATCATTTTTTAATCATCATTTTCTAACCTTAAAGTTAATTTGAAGGGTTTTAATTAAGTCATTAAGTAATAATATACAAACACATTCGGTAATATATAATTCACATTGTACGTGTATTTATTAAAATGATTTATTCTGGCATTTGAATTACAGAAATAATAAGATTTATTATTTGGGAATATATATAATGCCATTTTTTGTTCTTTAAATAGGTCATAAGAAAACAGTCGATTTATTTGGCGTTGTCAAGCTATCGTAAGTAAACATTTGATTCCTTGTGTCTTCATAACAATTTGAATGTCATGTGATCAGTGCATTATAGCCAGTTATGCAATTCGAAAATGATCAGAACTTTTTAAATGATAGCTTAAAGTTTTGTGTATGCTTATTTAGCATGATGATAACAAGCAATTAGCATAAATTGATCATTTCCATTTAACATTTTGGCGGCAATCATTTTATTTGTAACATTGTTGATATTTAATACCATGTTTTAAATTTGCATTTCGATTTATTAAAACATTTTTTTCATTATAACGATGTTCTTTATAAATTGAATATTATTATTTATTTCAGCTATACCATTTTTGATGACAATACTCTGTCTGTATTCAAACTTTCTGCGGAAGTAAGCATATGTTTAGACTCAAACAGTCCATGCAGTCCTGTTATTGCATTGATGGATAAAATACAGTTTCCAAAACCACTTTGTAATTGGGACATGCCTTTTAAAGTTCCAGGTATTATGCGAATTTAATTGCTAGCTATTTTGTTTTATAATTATAAAATAATGAACAGTTTCATATTTCCATATCTAGATATCTATTTTCAATAAAACAGTGATAAGAATGGCGTCATTTGGCAATTGGCTAACTTAAAGGTCGTTGACTTCAAACCACTTGCAACAACTTATTCTTTGTTGTACTTTTTGCTTACGATATTCCATCTTATCATGAAGTTTCATGACAATTGTTAACTTTTAAATTGTTCTTGTAATGATATTTGAATTTGAAACATGCTAACATTTTCGTATTAGTTAAGCGATGTTTTCTACCTTGATCTATCGAAGACATTTTCGCCGTATGAATACATGTATGGCTTTTGTTGATCTAAAAAGGTTTAATGTACGAAAACATGTTTATAAGGTTTCGACATTGACAATTGGCTTCAAGAACATGGCATAACAGAACAAGCTTTAAGAGACACGTTCCTTGCGCAATTAATAGACACACTCGGCTTGTCACATTATTTCAAAGATAATGAGTGTAGCCAACAAGAAACTCCATACAAATATAGTGTGAATGGCTGGAATACAGGTATTATCAATCTATATTCTGCAAGTAACGATAGATAACTGACCAAGTTCAGAATGTTTGCAATGTGTAGAATAAGATTTAGTTTGTATAAAATTCTAATGTTACACACAAAAGGGATGTGTTCTTTATACACGTTATTACTGTAGCTTGGTTATTTGAATAAAATGGAGAGTTATTGTATTTACACAAGCGTCTACGTTGACGTCACACTTCGTTAAGATTTTGCGTGCAAGTTATTATCTCTAAAACTAATGATGGGAGTGATGCTGGGGGCGTGACGGATCTTGCACTCTTTCGTTTTCCCTCACGAACAGACTGAAACCGAGTCTGCAATGTTCATGTAATTTTGTTGTGATTAATTCTTCCGAGGCATCGCCCTTTTTTAATTGAGGGACACTGTTCTAGGCACTAAACTCTGGTCAGCGTTTCCGTCAATACTGCGTGCAAGTTGGTATCTGAAAAGGTACTGAAGGGAATAGGCTTATTTCACACATTTATTTGAGATCATAATAGAAGGTCACTGTCCAAGGCCCATAACTCTTACTTGGATTGAATAGTCGAGTTCGCTGTCTAATTGAAAGCTCTAGTCTACATTATCCAAATGTGTTTTACCACCAAATCTCTTGTTATATTGACTGAAGGCAACGAAGCTAAATTCAAACATAAGTCTTTAATGGAAATTATATAGTATTGAATTTCATCATCAAGAAATTTATTGAATTCAATATTTGAATTTATTCGAATGCAACATCTAATTTATACGGTTCCTTTTTCAGCAGTACACCCATAATTAAAACATCGAGGTACAAAAAAATGATTTATAATGTTCGCAAAAGTTGTAAAATTCTCACACGTGGTCATATTGTTTGAATGTTTTGTCAAACCATGTATTACATGTCTAGAGTTGTATTTTCTTAAGTATGTATAATGCTTACATAAATAGATTTAGCGAATACAGCTATTTGTGAATGTTCTAACTTTCAGATTGCCCTTTGGCTATGATGTTGCCCCAATTGCCCGACGAATTACGATGTTATGTACCAGATTATTGTACAGCCGTTGAATGTTGCCTTGATGTTGGGTTACTTAAAAGAGGATTTAGCGTAATTCTGTCGATTGACGCATGTTCTAACAGACTTGTTGTCGGTATAGAGGACCTCCAATTGAATGTGTCCCTTAACGATTATAACTGGGGTATGTTTAAGGCTTATTCAATTTCTGTCTATTATCACATTAATAATTGATTAAATGTTGTGCTTGCTTCATATAGTCTTAATAATGAGTAGTTTTACGTGATGTACACGATTAATATTTGGTTTGAGTAAATCAAATATTCGAAAACAAATTAAACTTTATTTCAATTGTATTTAAATTAAGTAATATATTAAATTTTGGAAAATACTTAAGTTTCCAGTGTTCGTTTACTTATCATTTATATCTACACTTTATCAAACTAGGTTCTACAGAAGTGATTACTTTATTGGGTATTATTCAAATTACGTAAGTTGTATAACGTTCTTTGCTTTATATTATAAGTTAAAAAATTGGTGTCATTTATATAGCCTTCGGTATTTGAAAAACGTGAAAACGGCGTGATGATTTCCTTTATAAGTTTCAGAAAGATATCTGTTGCAAAAGTAATTAAATAAACTGTTTTTAAAAGTATATATTTAGTAATTAAACATTTAGTTTCACCTCTTACATTGTCTTTCTTTGATTGCCCCCCGTTACTTACTTTTTCAACAAATACAGATACAAAATAGAAAATTATGAGAAAAGCAGACAATATGTCGTAGATGCTGGATTAAAGGTATGCCTTAGCCATGACAATTGTGAATTTCAAACAACATTACTGGAAAATACTACATTTGCAAAACCACTTTGTCGCTGGGATTCAGACTTCTTGATACCAGGTTAGATTTAAAATTCAAACAATAATTTAAAAAAAAGAAATAATAATAATCGAATGGCATAGTGTGATAGCATTGTAGTATAATAATTAGTCATATATACATATTCACAACACAAAAACCAGTACACGATAAGTATAATAATTAAACATATATTTTATGTGAACACTTTACACTTACATTCTTTTATTTCCTTATAAAAATATCGATTATGCAATCATGAATAAAATATATTAACTTGTCAAATAAGCTAAGATTAATTTACCGACCATCTGTTTAGATTTTTCCCTTGATGCGTGGCTGGATGAGAATAACGTAATTGATATTACACATCTTCAAACGAATGTGATAGATAAACTTTTGAAGGAGATCGGTCTTAATCAATATCTGCAATTAGAACAATGCGACAGAGCAACACAACCATTCTCAAAATTAGCTAGGTTTCAGTCAGGTATGTTTTTTGTGAAGTGCCCTTTCTTATATATACTCCAACTATTTGTTTGGTCTGAGTTTTTCTTTGACATGAATAATGTAAAGGTGATTTAAAGATACTGTAGGATATCTTTTTTTGAATAGTTTGTGTAAAACTATATGAAAATCTGGGAAAGTGTGATCCTCGGAAGCATCACAACAAAATTACATGAAAATTGCAGACATGGTTTGATTGAGTCTGTTCATGAGGGATAATGAAAAGGTGCAACATCCCTCATGCCCCCTAACACCGGCTTGAGCAGGACTCAATTTGGAACACTTTAAAGTGCCGAAGTAAATGATCCCGAAGAACCAGAGAAATACGAGTATAACAACAACACGAAAGCTTTTACGAATATATTTAAACGTATCTTTGTTTAAGGTTAAAGTTTGAAAAATTTTTAACCACCTTTATATGTATCGTACTTTCTGAATTGGATTGTTTTATTTCTACGTTTATTATAATTATGAGTGTTTAATTATCAACAGAATGTCGTGAAGAAATACAGTTGCCTGATTTGCCTGAGACTATATCATGCTATCTGTCGGAAAGGTGCACCAGTATTCGCTGCTGTGTTGATGTCGATGTCATACAAAGGAGTTTTGACATAACTCTAAATTTGGACACATGCAACTATATTCTCGAAGCACAAATTGAAAACATGAAACTAGATGTACCTCTTGTTGATTATAAATTTGGTAAATATTTTGAGACAAAAAATAAAGTGATAAAATAATTACAATTATGGGAACATGTTAAGTTATTTTGACTTTTACATGTGCTCTCATCTCACCATTTACACTTGGGTGAGCATATTTGCCATAAGTACAATGCTCGACTTGTTTAAAACTCAATTTTGTTCAAATTAACTGAAGACAGACATCGAATATAGAATTTTTTTTTAACCATACGTTTGTCTTTTTGGCTGGGGTAAGGCTTGTTCCGTGGCTCTAATAAAGCGATTTGTAAGCTTTACTGGTGGAGGAAGACCTAAGATATACCCCTCTTAGGCCCTGATGAGCACCTGATATGCCGTATGCTACTTCACATGAAAGAATTCCTTTAGCGTTTAGTTGTTCCATGTCAACGATTTTAATGACTCATTGACGCCTATATGTCAATACTACTTACAACGGAAGTATATCAACTGTAAAAAGATAGTAATGGTTGGACAAATATGTGTAGATATTTGATATTGTTGAAAATTGTTCTGTACATTACTCATAATTGTAAATTTGAATTCCAAAGAACATGCGAATAATATGTACTTCCAAAGCTCTTTGTTATGTCATTTAAACGCCAATCATTTCGGCGTCAGCAGAATATTGTCTAACACTAATCAAAGAAATGTCTATAAAATCAAAATTCCTTCAGCTAAACCTAATTTCCTTCACATCGACAAACTGTATAATGCTGCCTTAATAAACACTTTATAATAATACGCAAGAAAATAATAATTGGTGAATCGGGATAATTATGATTCTTTTTTTAACATTGCCAAATATTTAATTGGTTGCAGGTGAAGAGAGTAAAGTGTATCTATTTGGTGTCATTAGGCTTCTGTAAGTAGTGATTGTTGCAATAACTGTGTTAAATGTGTTATCGTGTCTTTGAGTATTATTTTAGGACTTATATTATGTACTTGTATTATGTTTGTTGACAATTCATTTATCGAAATTAATATTTTAAATTGTGTTTGTTTTTTAAAATGATTGATATACGTATCACCTGTGACTGAAAAAAGCAGATGAATCGATATTCATAAGATTGTGATAAACTGTTGCCGTATAAAAATATGTTGATTGTATCGGTTACATATTATTCCACGACATTAAACTATATTAGTTTAAATTATTAATAAGTATATTCAATGATAAATCGGATAGATTTGACACTGTATGTTATTTATGATTATAACGAACGTGAGTTGTGTATGCTTAATGAATAATATGATGCATATGGTTTTGTGTATACCTTTTGAATACAAGAATTTCAGTGTTCATCTATATTTGAGGGTTACCCTTGCATGAAGAATTACATGTCAGTTATAAATTATATAATCATCAAAAGTGTGTACTAGAATCTTTTTAGTTGTATTTATGTTTAAACGAGTTATAAAAATGTTTTACAATCAGATTTAAAATAGAAAAGGTCGACGAAACTGCATTTATCATCGATGCAACGATTGATGTTTGTTTTGAAGCAAGTGGAGCTTGCATTTTCTCCTCCAAAATTCTGAATAATGCAAGAATACCTAACGTCTTCTGTTCTCATGGATTTGGATTCCAGATTCCCGGTAAATATGAAAAGATAATGGTATAAATTTCACTAGAAATGTTTTAGAAATATAATGAATTGTGTAATATACTCGTCTACGTTCAATGTCACAAACTGTTTTGCTACTTATTTAAATATGAAGATATTCAAAATCCTAAATAGTTTACAAACAAACTAATTTGATCATGGAAGCATATTATTGATTGATTTCAGTACTTATGTTTGGAAAGGAAAGTCTCCTTAATGTAAAAGCTTTTTCGCTTAACAACAACAAAAATGTATGAAAAATAGGTTAAGTCTTAGTTGTAAGACAAAATAATTTTCTTTCCAATATGTAATCATTTCTTATAGACGCTTTACAATTTATTTGGCAGGATTTTCTCTAGATGTGTGGTTAAAGAATAATGGAATACGAGCCGGTGAAACTATCGGTGGAGCACTTCTTAGTAACTTATTCAGTGCCTATGGTATTGATAACTACCTACAGAGTGATCAATGTGTATTGCAAGATTCGAGATTCGATGACAAGCAAGGTCATTATGAAAATATTTGAGAGTTAAAAACTGTATATATTGATATATTAATGATTATGAAGAGGTAATTTCATGCAATTAGAACTTTATGATTGAACTTGGTGTATTGCCTAATCGATGCTTAAAACAATTCTTTTGTGTCTTTGTATGTAAAATTTTAGATGGTAAGGCTGAATCAAGTTTAATACATTTATGTTTGAATTTTCAGGAAATTGTGCTTCAATTCTAGACATAAGTGACATACCAGGCGTGGCGTGTGCCCTGTCGGATACATGCCTTAGTATGTCTTGCTGCATATTTTCAAATATACTCAAACGTTCCTTTGAACTTAGTTTCGAAATAGATGTTTGCCGATATGTTCTTGAACTGCAGATTGAATCTTATAAATCTACCCTGTTGCTTGATACCTCGGAACTTGGTGATTGGAAGTTCTTTACTCTTCAGGGACTGCTAAAGATAAGGTTTGTATTACATTTTTCAATGTATCATATCACTGTACATGAAAGCAAATGTTATATTCGTTTTAAACTGTCATTCGTAAAATTACTAGTCTAAGACTTACATTTGTGGTTTGATAAATATCTAACCACATTAAACTTTCAAAATGTTTTAGTCATTTCAACAGTTTGTTTCACTTCCGATACAGTTATCGCATGATAGACTTATTTGAAGATAATATCTTTATCATCAATGAAACTGTCAAAACGTTTTTAGTCATTTCAACAGTTTGTTTCACTTCCGTTACAGTTATCGCATGATAGACGTATTTGAAGATAATATTTTTATCATCGATGCAACTGTGAAACTATGTCTCTCTGATAGCGAATCATGTGTGGTCGATATTCCAATTTTACAAAGAAAAGTGGTTACAAAACCGTTTTGTCAATCTGAGATAGGATTTCAAATACCAGGTAATCGTATAACATTTACAATTTTCACAGACATGAAAAAAACGAATAAGTAGCATTTACAGCGTTCCAAAAGTGACTGAACATTTATTAATCATACCGTCATATTGTTTACCCAATATGACAAAATGTATTGTTTTATTTGTAGCATTCAAAACCTTTTTGCCGTTTTCTCCATGTTTATGCAAGAATTATTGGAAGAAAGGTGTTAGCTTTTTGTATTATAATATTGACTTATCCCTCATGTACAGACTCAATCAAACCGAGTCTGCAAATCTCGTGTAATTTTGTTGTGATTAATGCTTCCGAGGGATCACTTTGTTTCCAGATTTTTTTTGATTTTTTTTTTACATTGTATATCAAATATATATGTTTTACTTTATTACAAAGAAATCCGATAGTTTCAATACTTCAAATTGCCTCATACTTTTAGATTTTTCACTTGCAAAATGGCTTGAAGATCAAGGTTCAAACAGCGCAGTATCAGTCCTGCCTAAGGATATCGTTAGCAAATTACTGGATGACTTACACATTTCAAAATTCCTGAGTCTGGGTAGATGTACGGCATCTAATCCTGCATGGAAATCCGGTAAAATTTTGTTAATTAAGCATTTGTAAACATTACTCCTATCAGTAGAACACAAACTTGAAAGATTTCTATAAAGAATGTTCTTGAATATTTCTGAATCTAATGTGCATGAATTTACCTCTGATGCAAAAAACAAACAAACATTTTTTAAACTTTAATAAATGAAAGGAAAATATGTTAAAAGTACTTAACACAAGTTTTTGCAAGGAAGATATATAGAACATATTTCAAAAAAAGAGATGATGATGTTTTACATGTAAAAACGCGCGTTTCTTGTAGATTGTGAATTTGTCAAAAGCGAAGTTGTGTTGCCACCTGGATTATCCTGTAGTCTGGACAATTCATGTAAAAATATTGCTTGCTGCGTAGAATTTGCTCAACTACAGTTAATGTTGGCGTTCAGCTTCAACTTTGATGTGTGCAACTTGGAATTTACCACACGTATAGAAGATATAACAAAAACTGAATCAATCCTAAAGTTTTCATTTAACACCGAACATATTATGGACCTATATGGAATCTTGAAATTAAAGTAAGTTAGAAAATTAGATATTACATAGATCTTAAAAAAGTTTATTTTCAAAATACCAGTTTAATATGCGTGGAAATTATTATGATGTTTCATACTTTGGTGAAATAGCACTAAGTCTTAAAGCAGCATGCCTTCAATATAATGCTTATCTTTATAAAAACTGTGAACATGTATTTAAAAGTAAAATATTGTAAAGTGAACAAAGAATGCAACTTACACATTTCATACTCTACTTTCAACCCCAAGTTAATAACCAAACAGAGGTCAAAAAATGTAAAAAATAGCCCTTATTTCGTTAGTCACGCAGTAGTTTTTTGGAAAATACTGCAAAATCAGTCATTAATCGCACAAAACATATAATTACTAAATAATTACTTAAATCTTTCATCATTTTGCTTCTCTAAAATCTCAGTAAATATTTCTCAAGTTTTATTTCTTGAAATATTTTTGCTCATCCAGAGGCGTGTCATATTCAAAACAGTTATGTGTCGAAATGTCTTGTATACGTGTTTTATCATTAAAATTATGATGCAGGTATAAGATATTCGAGTTGAAAGGAGCTGGACTATTCTCAATTGACGTAAACTATAGAATGTGTTTAGACGCCTTAAACTGTACCACAGAAACATCAGTGTTTAACAACCTTCAGATACCCAAATCTGCTTGTGACTGGAATTCCAGCATGATATGTAAGTATCAAAAGTGACTTTTGTTTACTAAGAATAACACGGTGAAAATGTTCGTGTAATTGTTAATCTTTTAAACGTATGCGTTTTGCCGTTTGTTTACTAATGAAATTTTTTTTTGCTTTTTATTCTCTTTCAGCTTAATGTTTAAAATTTATGTAATTGCAGACGAATCAGTTGAGGACTTCTTTCAGGTTATTGATATATCGACGGCAGATGTTTTACAGGGAGAAATTATTGATATGTTTCTGCATAAAACTGGACTCAACATTTTCATGTCAGACGAGCCCTGTGTTTTGTCATCGTTGGCCATTACAACTTTCGAGCATGAACAAAGTAAGGCTTTAATGTTCTGGTTATTACTCTGTACACTAGGCTTTAAAAAGTTACAAGATGACAAAGTTTGCATTACATGTGATGAAATTAGTCGCCACATTTACTTTTGTATAATCTTATAAAACTTTATTAAGTGGTAAATATGAATTTCAGAATGTTCTACAATACAAGTTCCTGTGGGTATGGAAAACAAAATGACATGTGTATATGACGAAAGCTGCACCTCGATGACGTGTTGCTTGAACGCTGAATTCATACAACGGACAATTTCATTCGGATTCAAAATTAATACATGTGCTAAGAAGTTAAATATCTATATTGAAAGCCTGCAGTACGATTATGAGTTTACCGACGATATGTATGGAAGGGAACATACAATAAGCCTTAAAGGCATTATTGATCTTAAGTATGTATCTTTTTCAAACAAGACAGGGTCCATGGAAAATGTACATCCTTTCCATACAACTTTCAATATCAAAGTTGTTACTTATTTTAACAGAAAGGAACATACAGGGTTTTCCGTGTCATTATATTCTATATATTCAATTACAAGCATCTTATTTACAACAAAATTTAATGTCAAAAGTACGACGGGTCAGTCAGATTCAATCTGACAAGTAATAATTTAGTTTGTTTTGTTTTTTAAATTATCAAACTGTTATTTAATAACTGTACAACATATGAGAAATGCATAAATGTTTCTTAGAAAGACTTGTGTATATGTATATGTGATTAGTCGTTTACATATTGTACTATTTTATTTGTATGGTATGTAAATAACAAAAACAATGTAAATAAATGTTAAATCAATTATCATAATGATGATTATGTACACTTGTAAAACATTTCAAGTAAAAATCTACAAAAAGGCTAACAAAAATATAATTTTGCATTGGTTCAGATACTATGTGCAGCATCTTATAGATACGCTTCAAAATTAGTTAAAATTAATTTACAAAATGATCATATGTTAACATAACGTTCAAGGGAGACAACATGAATGGTATTTTAATGTAAAATGGCAGTATAACACACATGCCTTACCTTTAAAGAAAACTGTTGATTTCGGAATTACTCAGCACCATTATTGCTATGATCACATTTCATTTTGGCAAATTGAATATTTTGCTCATCAATCATTTTTTTTTCTTTTCAGGACAAAGTTTGACTTTATTTCTGTAACTAATGTATTAGTTATAAACGTTGGTGTAAAATTATGTTGGGACAAAAGCTCGTGTGTCATTGATGCAATGTTATTAGATGGAGTAAAGTTATACGTACCATTGTGTGATTGGGACAGCAACATTCTTATTAACGGTAACATAAACTCTATTACTTTAAGTAATATTAAAGAAACTTTGTCACATTAAAGAGTCTTTATGTTTCTATTGCAGCTTCTACTTCTTTACAATCTTTAAATATGCCTGTTACAATATTTAAAAAGAAAGCCTATAGTTTTATTTTCATTTAAGCATCAATTTTTTTAATTAAAAGTGTGGCTATTTTTATGTTCTTGACAGACTATGCATCGGTGTTGCCGTTGTTTTACCTGTCCATTTCACAAAACATATTAAATTAAAAGCTACTGAATTTAAAGGTGTTATACTTGTAAAAAATATCAATGTAATTATGTTATAATTTCAAACGGGTAGATTATCTTAAAATTTACTTCTTTGTAACAATCTTTGTCGGGTTACGCCGATTTCGTGAATGAAGCCAAAGGTTATGCTGGTTACCTCATATATATTATCTTCTTTCTCAGTATTACCTGACATTTGTACTTCCCCAAATGTATCAGTCAGGTTTGCTGAACATTAAAAACAATAAAGTTTCATTTGTTTTATGTTAGTACTTTATATCAAAGAAACACTATCGCTAGCAAGGTGATGTTGAACAAACAAAGACTGTCCTGAAAATATTTGTAAAGAGAGTAAAGAAAAAAAATTACATTGCAGCCGTATGTGCTAAACTTTCAGTTCATTCAGTATTTGATTGTTTCGATCATAGATGTGCACACATTTGTAATTTATGCACAATTCCTGAGGTTATTTCACCCCCTTGTCCTATGGGATCTACATGTGTTTTTTTTTATATCATCAAACACCGAGAAAAGACCGCTTTAAATCTAAAACCAATAGAATTAATACAAAATAATATTTAAACTTATTAACGCATTGTTTACGCGTTTTATCCTGCAGCTTACATTATGCGATCCATCATTCGAGAGTATAACAATTAGCATAAGTGCCATGATTCTGTTTTATCATAATTATCTAAAAAGGCTTTTTGATAAAAACATTTATTTAAATATACAGGATTTTCGCTTTTAAACTGGAAGGCTGATAATGGTTTAGGCAGTGCTGACAACATAGACGGCTTATTGTCTGATCAGTTATTTGAACACCTACAACTTGCACAATACCTAGGGGCGCAGTGCGATACCGATGATTTTGGTAGTTCAATCACACCAACAGGTACGTGTACAAAATTGAAATCTTAACCAAACCGAGTCTGTTATTATTCATACAAAATTCAAAATAAATAGAAATAGTCTTGCTTAAATCTATTCTTTTGTTGTGCTAAAATGTGATTAATCGTTAGAAATGTGTAAATGATTTGATTAATATACTGTATTCCTAGAAAAGATTTCGCGCATTTTAACTTAGCGCTTTTCGCGGTAGGCATGATTTCGCAAATCTTTATAGCCGCGAATATGTCACTTATAACAAATCCGCGAACATTTCTAGCTTCAACCAAATAAAAACATAAACGAGCATAACATTTATTATAATCTACTTACACAAGACACTTATTAACACAGGTGCTATAAGATTCAAAGTTTTCAAAGTTTATTTCAGAACTCGATTCATGTATTTCGCTTGTAAAACTGGAAGGCTGATAATGGTTTAGGGCAGTGCTGACAACATAGACGGCTTATTGTCTGATCAGTTATTTGAACACCTACAACTTGCACAATACCTTGGGGCGCAGTGCGATACCGATGATTTTGGTAGTTCAATCATACCAACAGGTACGTGTACAAATTGAAATTGAAATCTTAACCAAACCGAGTCTGTATTATTCATACAATATTCAAAATAATTAGAAATAATCTTGCTTAAATCTATTCTTTTAGAGGTTGTGCTAAAATGTGATTAATCGTTAAAAAATGTGTAAATGATTTGATTAATATATGTGAAACGAAATGATTTAATCTGAACAGATTGTGCCCTTGGTTTACCAAGCTGGTTTGACGATAACGCTGAATTGCAGTGCGGGTTTCAAAACTCTTGTTCAAATATTTCCTGTTGTCTTATGATGAAGCCGCTTGGCCGTTCATTTACAATAAACGTTGACATTCAACCCTGCGAGTTCCAGATCTCGATTTCAATTGAAAAGTTTAAGAAGGTCGTTTCACTGAATGACTATCAATGGGATGCTAGCGAAAGAGTCACTTTAATCGGCATGTTATCTGTGACGTAAGATTTTTCGTTTATGATCTTCATTTAAATTTCATGTATTTCTTGTTTCATTAAATGGCATGACTTTGTTAAATTCAGTTAAATTCATTAAAAACAGTTTATACCAAGAACTTTTACCTGTGAAAGAGCTGTAATTTTCAAAATGCATATTATGCTAGCTTATTATTTATTTAGACACATATCTGTTATCCATGTAACATAATTTAACCGTCTGCATTTTTACTGTTTTTATCCATGTATATCCAAGAAATCTCAAATTATATCGTATCTGTTTTACAGATATGCTATAGTTGATGTTACTGCAGAAAATGCCTATGTGGTTACTTTGAAATTATCATTATGTCTTGACGAATCTGATTGCCTTTTCGATGATACTGTGTTAGATAATCAAATGATCAAAAAGGAAACCTGCCACTGGGAAGATTATTCACTACCATCAGGTACAGTCATGTGTATACAAAAGAAAATTGAACATTATTAAACTATTGGAAAGTTTACTAAACCTGTCATATTGTGTTTAAACAGACACATTAAATGTAATTATACCCCGACCTGATAATGTGGAGGGTGCTATACTGGTATCACTTTGTCACGTCTGTCAAACGGTCAGTCGCCTGTCTACTTTATTAATCATATTGAAGGATTTTCTTTAAACTTGGCTCACATATGCGTGTTGCCGACTTAAGGTCAAGTTTGCCCTTGAAGGTCAAAAGTCAAATCAGACAATACCGGGTCCACTCTACCATTTTTAAGCCCAAGAAGTATTTTCTTCGAACTTGGCTCACACGTTCGTAATAACGAAGGAGATGTGCATAACCCAAGCCATCGCGGTGCCGCTCAATGTCACAATCGCCCTAGAAAGTCAAATGTTAAATATCACACGACTTAGAGGCCGTTGTAAAAGGGATGGCATAAATATCTCGAAAATAGTGATCCCTCGGAAGCATTCAAAACAGCAAAATTACATGAAAATTGTAGACTTTGTTTGATTGAGTCGATACATGAGGGAAAATGAAAAAGTGCAACATCCCTCACGACTTTTAGCATCGGCTTGAGCGGTACACAACTCTCAACAATTAAAAGTGCTGGACCCAATGATACCGAAAGACAAGAAAAATATAAAAACACGGAAGTGAAGTACAAGGCAACTTTTAACGCATGCCACACAGCACTTGGCACCTGCTGTTGTGATGTATCAATGTCTGGAACAAAGCGATCTCTCGGAAGCATTAAAAACTGCAAAATTACATGGATGTTGCCGAATCGGTTTAGTTGAGTCTGTACATGGGGGATATTAAAAAACAACATGCCACCTCTGTACCAGCTTATCCTATTCCAATCATATACCCAATGTTGCATTTTCTTCTCACCTAGCTAATGTATTCAATGTTTATTTCAACAAAGCAATGTGCATAAACATTTTGTCATTGATTATATCCAATTTCTTGAAGGACAAGATTCGAACATTTTTTGTCTGCATCATAAAGTGTAAAATTTTGAAATATATGTTTTCAAACTTAACCAAATTGTGTCTTTAGAGAACAATTGCAAATTGCACTAAACAACACGCTGTGCCATATAATAAAGGTCGGGGTTGGTCAAGTTCTTTTTGACATTCTAGTTTCAAAATGTAAATTTTTTAATGCTTAATTAACAAGGTTTTAGAGAATGCATAATTTAGTCTGTGAATGCTTGAGCACTTGTGTGTTAAATAAAAAATACAAAATATTGTAACAACAAGAACGCTTGATTTTAATAAATAAAATTATTATGTAACCGTAGATCGTACTTTAAAAGTCCGGTATGAGTACCAATACATTGATTTATAAGTATTATGTTATTAACTAAAATTATTGAAAGTAACAATGATGTTAGCAATAACGTATTCATTTTTGTATTCTTTTCAGAGTTCAGTCTTTCTGAATGGGCAGAAAACAGAGGTTTAGACCCAAGCCAATTGTTTCAAGACGGAACACAATATCTTATGGAAAAACTCGCTATAGACAGATTTCTCCTGCAACCATCATGCAGTTTACGGGATAATATCTATTTGAACGACGTAGTCAGTTCAGGTGAATCTTAGTATTTATAATATGTTTTTTTTCTCCCGGATAATTCAATTATAACTCATGTATTCTATATGAATAAAAAATGTAGGCCATCTTTTCCAAAGAAAGCGTAATAATATAACTTGCATTTATTTTATTTCATCAAATAATTTAGACTTGTGTTATTTTATATGACCATTCGAACAGTTTTATATTTGATTAGACGTATAATTTATCAGTTATGCTTTACACCCCTTTCAGCCTTTTAAGATTGTTTTGAGTTTTAAGTGATGTATTTTACATATCTATATTACACAACACAACTTTTCTTACAGGTTGCTCACATGTAGATACATTTACATCGCTATTGCCTATAGCTGCCTGCCGATTGTCAGATGAGTGTTTAAATCTAGAATGTTGTATAGATCCACCAAACATCAATCGCCGTTTTAAAGTTCAATTTAAATTTGATCCATGTAACTACAAGTATGAAGTAAACATCGAAAAACTTACTTTTGAAAATAGTCTGTTTGATGTTGATCTTTCCACCGAGAAAACATTTTCGTTACATGGAGTTGTAACCATTAGGTAAAATTTTATATTTAATTTTTATTTAAAAAATCCAAACAATTTACATTTATTAGATTTCAATCAAGCCTTCACATTAGTTATCTACTTTATCATCAGGTTGATATAGATCAATATTAATGATTTATTTCTTAACTCAAGATATGGAAGTCTACACATGCTTGCTGCTTATAATGTATATCCAAAAATCAAGTTTACAGATGCTCATACCACGTGACTTCTTGTGCACTTTGTGGGAAGGGAAACTGATACAATAATGGTTAAGGTTGTATTTTCTACATGGAGTAAATTGTAGACCTGACCCATTTTATTTATTTGAAGGATTTCTTTCATAGTTCTTTCATATAAAGCGAATTTCTGAATATTCAAACATGTTGTTTCACTTTCAGAAGAAAAACCGAGTTTTTCTTATAAAATATAAAAATTAATATGTATTTATTATTTACTCGAACGAGTTGACTTTACACTTTAGACCATATCAAATTTTAAATTATTTCAAGTTATAGTCTTAAATGCTACCTGGACCGTTTATTGTTTTGGTTTTTTTCCCACTCAGACCACAAAAACCCATGTGGTTTAGACACCTTAGATTCACTTTCATTATTTTTATATTATATTGATATGAATATATGTGGAGTCGTTAAATATCAATAAATTCACATGAATTTATTTTGTGCTGATTTGACTTATTTTCTTTTCAGATACCAAGTAGAAGATTTCGCAGTCGATAATATTTACAAGGTCAATCTTGGAATAAAAATATGCCTTGATGTCGTCACATGCCCAGTTGACGAGCAGGTTTTAGACAATGCTCTGATAACAAAACCAACATGTTTCACAAAACTAAAACAAGACTACAAAATAAAAGGTAATTTTAAAGTTTCCTATCGATTGCGATAATTTCCTTACATTCTTGGAATTAATTTGAATATTGACGGTGTACAATATGAGTTCATAATTATGACAGCAGTCATGATCATTATGTTAATGTTGATCAAACAAGAACATCGTCTTAGGCTATATCAAAATCACTTCACTTGACTTTACCAATGGATTTCTCTTTTTAAATATCTGGGCTTTAGTTAAAGGTCGATTTAGGACAAGAATGCTATGATTTTCAGTTCTCAAAATCATTTTATTGTTTACTTAGTTTCCTGCTATAGTTTCCGAAAAAAATAATCTTATTGGCAATACAAATAAACAATTCTTTTGATGATTCTCCTCTATAAGTACAGTCATAGTGCTAAAGTAGTTGTTATGATTGTCAAAATTCCAATGTGTTACCACTAAGATATATAACTTCACATTTTGAACTACTTACTTACTTTAAATTTTTGTAAGCGTCTATTATTAATCTATTATAATAACATTACAAAACATATGTTTGTCTCTTTTTTCGGGGTGCCTTAAATGGCAATTAATGATAGATTTTGAAAACGACTTATAGGTTATTATCTGTCACCAATATGTTATGCACATTGTATAAGGATCAGAAATCATTTCAGAATTTTCGCTGAATAAATGGATGGATAGATATAACACAAGTTTCTCAAAGAACGTTCAGCTTATGCTAATGAGTGACCTCGGTATCACAGATTATCTTAATAACGACGAATGTACAATTGGTCAGGTCGGCTGGAATAAAGGTAAAAGATAATACAAAATATCTCCTCCGAAATAATGTTAATAAACCATTTTAACAATTAATGTTAATACTTTCGTTTATAATTTTTATGGCACAAATTTATCTAATCAATGTCTTTTTATTCAGTGATAACTTTATTATGAAGTATCCGTATTCCTATGTTCTATACTTACATTATTAGCTTATCAAGGATGTTTGGGTAAATGTTTGTAGCTTTAATTGTGCAACTATACAGTTATCATTGTACATGTCTTTGTATTTATCATGAATATCATTAATTACAAAAAAGAAATACGATAGTTTTTGTGATATATAACATGTGTCTGTGAAATACAAATCTTGTTTTTTTATTAATAATAAATAACGAAAAGGCCCCAAAAATAAAATATCATTTTGAGTAGGTTTAAATATTATATACATAATAATACAACTTTAATTAAGATTGAACTACCGATTCTCAATTGGCAAGTGTAAATACAATTGATGTTGACGTAATTAACAGGTCTGATTTTTAACATCGATTAGGACTAAATTTTGAATTTTAGATAAGTGTGCACTGAGTTTGTCTTTACTTGAGCAGCAGCTCTTCGACATGTCATGTTCGTTATCAGCGAAGTGTACAGAGTTTTCTTGTTGCGTACCAGTACCGTTTATCAACAGAAATGTTGGAATTGATGTAAATGTTGATCCATGTGCATTGACGATGGATATAAGCGTCGAAAGGCTTAGATACTCTTTCAGTTTGATTGACTATAATTTTGGAAGGCCAGAATACGTTTGGCTTTCGGGAGTTTTACGACTTACGTAAGTAATTTAACAAGTGATATTCTATCATCAGAAAGTTTAAAAACATGTATTACTTTTACATGTTAAAATTTTAAAGTGTGACTTTTTTAAAAAAAAGCTAAATACTTAAAAAATGAGATATGTTTTTTTTACTTCTGTCTTAATTTGATATTCAAAGAAATGAAACGTTTATAAAATGCAATTTAGAAATTTTAATAAATTAAATTGGCTTCTAATGTATTAATCAAGTCATATCGATTCATGTGATACTCGATACAGCAAAGTTTACATTTTATCATCTACTAAATAAAAGTATGCAGAATGGATTTATTTCTTACGCCAGCAAGCTTAATTTTTCTCTAGGTTCACAATCCATGACATTGCTCAGAAAAATGAATATTTATTGTCCGTGAACTTCGAAGAATGTTGGGAATATAACGACGTTTGCTCAAAAGAATACAGTATATTAACAAACCAACGTTTACCAAAGCAAATTTGCAACAGTACAAGCGGCTTTAATATTCCAGGTAGAAACATTTTGACATTTTATTGCATTTGAGAATGACATTATTTGTTCAGTAAGTTAAAGAAATAGTCACACTTAATATACGAGGTATGTTCAAAAAGTTCGTGGACTATTGCTGTCAATTTTTATATGGTTATATAAAATCAACTTGGTTGATATGTATTGAAAGTGTGTTTTTCTTTCTATAAGTTAGTTATAAATTTATTTTAAAATTTTATTTCTTCCACAATCTATGTGCATTTTAATAACCATAGCAACGCAACATCGGCGCAAGCCGAAATTTTCATACAACGTTTAACTTTAAACCCATACTGAATTAAATTTAGCGGTTACTTTCAAGTGAAAAAACGGGAAAACGTCAAATAACATTTATATGACGTCATATCAAAATGTGACGTAATTTCAACGTTCTAAACGGTTAGAACCAAATGTTGTTCATTAGATGAGAAATCAGAATATCATCAAAATGACGTCAAACGAAAAGTCTGAAGTACGCGCCGTAATAAAGTTTTGCTCAGATCTTGGTAAAAAACTCCAACACAAACCTACAAAATGATACCAAACAGCTAGAGGAAATAACTCTGTGCCACGTTTCATTAGTTTTAAGTGGCACAAACGCTTTTTTTGATGGGAGAGAAAGCACAGAAGATGATAATAGGTCCGGAAGACGGACGTCTATCGGCGCGTCAAAGCGTCGAATGTTGGATGACGCACTGAAAAAAGATCGGCGCCTAACGGTGCGGGAGTTGTGTGACATAACTGGGACTTAGTACAGGAAGTGCACACAACATACTCACTAAGCAAATGAATATGAGAAAGTAAGTTGTTATTGTTGTTGTTATTTTTGTCTTTTTTGTTCCTTTCTTTATTTAATGTTGATATAATTTAAATTATTTTCCAATTGATAATAAAAATTCCCGATGCAAAATGAATACTTATTAAATGTTAAAAACACGGAAAATTTTATGCATAATGCACACATCGCATATAAATTGAATCTTTATAATCGGTGTTTAACATGCATATTGAACATTTTGCCTTCATAGAACAATTACTAAAAACACCTGGCTATTAATTTATGTTATTATGTTTATTTTCAGGTTCACGCAAGATGGGTACCACGCTTATTGAAAGATCACGAGATGGAAAAGAAGAGTAATAGAGTCAAGAAAGTTTCTGAATGAGTATCAGCGTTTGGGTGACAGCTTTCTAGACTCAATCATCCACCACTGACGAGACCTGGCTTTTTCTACACGACCCAAAACGAAAACGCAGTCCGCAGTATGGCGTCGTTCAGGCTCTCCTCCACCCATGAAAGCCCGTGCGATTACGGTCTGCAGGCAAGCAAATGTATGTGATGTTTGCTGACAGGAAAGGAATGATCCTCTGCCATGCTGTTCCGACACACACGCACATCAATGCAGATTATTATTCAAAGGTATATATTATATTTTTTATTTTAGTGCCTTTATTTAATGTAACATGCTCAAGTTTAATATCACATGATGACAGTTTATGTTTTTATAATAATGTCAGGAAATTAACGTACGTAGTGTAGGAAAATAGATAGATATAAATATTTATATATAATATTTAAATCATCACAATAAATAATGTTTTATTTATAAACACGTGTTGTATTATTTTTAAGAAGAAAAACAATTTTTTTCACATTGATATCTGTAGCTGAAAAGTTGTGTATGCTTCTTTATTTCAACAGGTGCTACGCCGCGACTTAGTGTACGCACTTCAAAAAAAAGAGGACCGGGTGTTCCGCTTGAAAGTTTCAGGTTTTCATCAGGATAATGCTCCACCGCATACGGCTGCCACCACAAGACTGGAGCTCGATGTTCTAGGTTTTCAACAATTAACCCATGCTCCCATATTCACCTGACTTGGCTCCTTTCGACTATGCTATAATTCCCTCACATAAAGAACATGCTTAAGGGCCATCGATTTGAGAATTTGAAAGAATTAAATAAACAGACTGTATCAATCATACGACAGATAACAAAAGAGTGGTTTGATAGTGTTTTTAAAATGTTGATTCATCGGCATCAACGATGTATAGAGTGTAATGGACGGTACTTTAAAAAATTGTGAAAGAATGAACATGTATCGGTCTATATTTGTCGACGACGTCAACGACGTTATTTGTTGACGTGATAATTACACCGTATTGTGCGCCGGTAATATTATATGTATGTTAGTTCTGTTATCCTTGTTGATGTAGTTTTATTTTTGTAGTTCATATTGGTATGTATCTGTTGGGATGATAATGGTCTATCCAACAATGTATGTTTTATGTAATTTCAATAAACGAGTTAAAAGTTATACGGTTTGTCCACGAACTTTTTGAACACCCCTCGTAGTACTATACGTTTTTTTGTACTTAGAAATAATTCCAATATATCGCACTAAAAAAAACAAGAATCAATGCAGCACACATGAACTTATTGATAAGTTTATTATGTTTTATGCATCATATTTATGTGAGTTAAATAACAATAACATTCTGTCGTAAAATTCTTTCGAGAATATACCAGAAAAATATTGTTACAACATAATTTTACCGTTTTTAAATATGATAAAATATTTCATGAACCTTTAAAATGAATATAAGCTCTAGTTCAAAATCATGTAAAAGCCAATTCGGGAATACCCTGGAGAACAACGATAGTGCAGTTTAAACGGCATACTTTGAATTATTTTGTTGTTCATTGGAATGGTAAACACATACTTTCTTTATATGATGCAAACACACTTATTTTCAGAAATTTTCAGATATAACGTGAAACAAACCTTTAAAAGTCATGATGAATAATTTATTAAACACCTATTTCTTTGTCTTGTTTTCTTTATAATTCTAGAATTTTCTCTTCAATCGTGGATGTCTAATCATGGACATAATACAGGTGATGCACTCAATGAACAACTACGAAATCGTCTTCTAGAGGAATTAGGACTTGTTGCTTTCTTGAATGAAAATGAGTGTCATCTTGAACAAACTACGTCAGCGCAAAATGGTTGGATCAACGGTAAGTTAGTCCTGTTAACACGTACGGTATATGTAATTGATATTTAATGTTTTAAAGTGTTTTTACATTCAAAATTTATTGTATTGTCTGTGAATAACATTTATATTTCTTTACATTACAGAATGTTCTCATACCATTCAGTTGCCAGAATTACCCGGCGGAATAAAGTGTAAAGTCGCAAGTTATTGTACAGCTATCATTTGCTGTGTATCCATGGATCAGATAGGCTACACATTTAGTGTAGGTCTAAATATAGATCCATGCAGTCAAGAGTTGACAGTTCAAATTGAACGACTTCAGAAGGAAATAGCTTTAATCAATATGGAAGATGGATTATTTGATGAGTTATGGCTTTTTGGAATAGCAAATCTGAGGTATATTTTATAAAAGCTGTTGATGCAAAGTATAGAACATGTTTTATAAAAGTGTTCTAGAGAAAAGTATTCATTTGCAGCTGACGAACCAATGGTTTTCATTTTATCGGAAGAAAATTGGAAATATTTACACTGATTTACCGGATCCGAGTTGTTAGATTTTATTTTGAAACACTTACACATAATTCGTGACTTACAGTTTTTTATAGAGTCTGGACGTTTGTCCGTATCAACAACTTAACCATTTTGATGTTTGGTTTTATGTTAGATATCAAGTTTATGACTTGCACGAAGAACGGAAATACCTTCTGACATTGACTATCGGCATATGTTCTGACTACAACTCCTCTTGCGCTGACTATATGGTGTTTAACAATACCAAGATTCGTAAAATCCAATGCGACTGGGGGTTAAACACTGCTACAGAAAATGGTAACAGGCTCTATTGTTTCAGAGTTACAATGCTATTACCCAGTATTTTGAAATATAATAGAAATCACTGAAATGCTAAACCATGCATAACTGTTGACAAGTTAAGAAATTTGTTATGAGAAAGAAATAAAAACGCATGTTTTCATCATGTTAAACTACGTATTACTTTAATACTAAATATAAGTTTGCCATACAATTCAACTCAATACTTTGTTTAACTACAACTTTATTTTATATTTAAATTAAATTATCTGTTTATTTCAGTGTTTTCAATTTCTAACTGGATGGAATATTTCAATGTTGATGACACTAGAAATCTACCAGCTTATGCAGTTGACATACTTTTCAACGAAATGGGTGTTGCTGATTTCCTCTCGCAAAGCCAGTGCATAGTCAATCAATATCCTTTCAGTATAGAGGGTGGAATCGAGAACGGTGAAATTTATTAATTCATTTAATTCATTTGAAATAATAAATACAAATGTTTGCCTTTTTCAGACACTTAATTGTCTAAAATAAATTCTTGCATTCTTTTTTCGTATTTTAATCAAATGAAAGAATGTTAACGAATAATTTATTACATTTTAGGAAGAAATTGAAACCTTAACTGTAAGTAGACTTTTTTAAATATTCTTAACAGCTGTATGCAAAATATAGTAATATTTAGTTCTTTCATCTTAGTGTTGAATATGAATAATAAATAAATCAATTGTGAGATGCATTATTATTTTCCGTTGTACATGTTCACAGAATGTAGCGAGTATTTGCTGGTTGAAAGTGATCTTGGCCCTGTGTCCTGTCATCTGAGCTCTTCATGCATGTCATTAGAATGTTGCATCAACACTACAGCTCTTCCCCGAAGCATACACGCATTCTTCCAGATAAATGCTTGTGATGAAAAGCTTACAGTCGGAATAGAAAAGTTTACATTTGAAACGAGTCTTGTTGATTATGACTTTGGAACAAAGGAACACTTTTGGTTAAATGCTTTATTCCGTATCGAGTAAGTTCTTTGTTTGCATAGAACATAGCTTATGATCTCTTTTCTTAAAAAATATATATACATCTATAGACATGTTGTAAACAAATATTTGATTCTATTGAAGTAGATTGTTAATTTATAATGAAAATATGCGTTACCTTAAACAATTTTACTTTTTATTTCAGTTTCCGAATATTCGACCTAAAAGAAAAAGAAGGTTATGTCGTTGATCTTGAAGTCAGTGTTTGCCTTGAAAGTGGGTCAGAATGTATCGTGAAACAATCCATATTGTCTGATGCTGTACTTCGAAAACCTCAATGTTCATTTAAAGAAGGATTTAATATAAACAGTAAATACATTTTAACGTTTACCAGCCGATTACATTTAACGATATGCAGATGATAAATTGCTATGTTTATATAAGTGACAGAAAAAATGCATACATGTTAGACAAAATAATCTGTGTTCTTTTCATTATTTTATCTAGATTTTGCTTTTAAAATTTTAAGGTTGTATCAGTAAATCAAAAGTATTTTTGATTACAATTATATTATTCAGTACACAATATTTCTGTTTTAAGATACAAAATATGGTCTGATCTCCCTATTTTTGTTAACTGTCTTAATTTGTCTGAAAAAAATATTTGCGGAAGGTAAATAGTATTGTGATAGTGTAGTATTGTCGATAATCCTGTGTTAGATCCGCAAAGTTCTCCGATAAATAATTCCTTGTTCTACATGAATTGGAATATTAGTAAACTATCAGGCTGTTCATTCATGCTTTTATACTTTTCTAAGAGTTTTAATAAGTTTATTCATTTTAAGATTTTTCTATAACCGAATGGATGCATGTAAAAGGCTATGAGCTGCAAGAAGAATTGTCGGAATTGGATTTGTCATTTTTGATGGCTGATCTTGGCCTACCACGGTTTCTACAGAGCATTGAGTGTGAACCGTCAGACTTTGTCACGAATAACAAGACATGTGAGTAAATAATTATAAGATATTGGTCACAATTGATTATAAGTTGCCATTATTTCTTTTACTTAACCTCAATGTTGTTACTAATGGCAGTTTTAATATAATGGTAATACTAATAATTACAATCAGATAAAACTTATGATATTATAAACAAATAAATTTGATGAAGGAAATGTTTTTGTTTTCAGCATGTTCCTTAAATCAACTCTTGGTGAATCTTCCACAAGATCTAACATGTTACCTTCCGACGTGTAATGACGTGAAATGCTGTCTGTATGTAAAACCACTTAGGAGAAATTTTATGATTCTATTAAGTATTGACCCTTGTCTGCAAGTTCTGTCAATTGAGATAGAAAATATGAAAGTGCAACTTGCCTTCAATGACTTAAAATGGAATGAAGAGCAGTCGATATTTTTGAAGGGTGTCGTACGAATAGTGTAAGTATTAATGATATTTATTATTTTGTCGATATTGAATCAAATGTTTTAATGTATTGTTATTATTGTCTTATTTTGTCATCCATTAAATGATCTTTTAGTAAAAGTAGTTTCTACAAACTGTGATTAATAGGACTTTTTTAATTTCTTTACTAAGGGCACGTAGCATGGAAAACATGCTTCTCAATGACATTTAAAGCCATTGTTTTCAACAATTGTATCTTGGTTATATTTTTATGGACATGTGTTTTTAATATTTTTTTTCTTTTGTAATCTTATTTTTTATAGATTCACATTAGAAAACCTAGATGGACAAAATGCATTTGTGTTGTCACTTGCTGTAAATGCATGTTTTGAATTTAACACGGAGTGCTATTTCAAAAGCACTATATTCGACAAGGCAATATTTCATAAAAGATTTTGCGAATTTTCAACGTCGGAAACTTTCCCAATTAAAGGTACATTAATTTTGTCTTAAAGCTATATTTTAGAAACACCTTATATTAAAGTAATCCATGTCAATATAAGGGCATACTTTTTTACTATCCGGCAAGTGGATTAAATAATTTTATTTACTGGTTGAAATTGTGTACACTAGATCGAACTATTTATAATTGCTTATAATGAATTAAAGTTCTGAAATACATATTTTGTTATTCAAGAACATAACGTAACATTGATGTTAGGTACATTGTCGTTTTCATTTTTGCTGCAAAACATGATTTGATATCATTTTCAATAAGTCATTTGCAGTTAAATCTGCATTAAATATGTTATAGTATCACAGCTTTGTGTGTACAGTTTAGTTTTGGTCAGACACTCCGTTTATCGTACACAATTTTAGTTCGGAGGACCAATGCTATTGTTGTGCTGTTTTTTTGTGGATGTCCAAAGTACATTAAACTCGTGATTTATTTTTTGTTTTACAGACTTTTCTCTTTTGGAATGGAAGATGGATAATGATCTTCATACAGAATTGCCACTAGAAAATCTTTTTTCTGATTTATTGCTTGAGGAATTGGGCCTTTCCATTTACATAAATGATCCGCCATGTCAAATGAATCGGAACAAATCAAACTCCGGCTGGATAAACAGTACGTGAATGCTATTGAAATTATAGTTTTGATGTTCATTTAAAGCAATGGTTTGGAACTTTTCCTTTGTTCTTACTAACAAATTATACTCCGTTCACTTTTAATGAACATTTAAAAACATTATTGATATATAGTAGTACAGTTTTTTCATTGATTCATATGGGGAAAAAACTACCGGCTATAAATACTGGATGAGTTTTTTTTTTTTTTTTTTTGTTTGTTTTTTCACAGAGGGTCAAATTGGGCATCTGTAACGAACATTCGGAATAATTCAATGAAATACAAATTTTTTTCGCTAAAACCAAAAGGTACATCCGCTGAATGAATTACTTCCACTTGAAAAGTCCTTTAATCTTGAATCAATATTACTTTCGTCATAAGGTATCAGTTTACAATCCCTCTCTAAAATTTGACGCCTTTGAATTTTTTTGCTGAATTCTGTCACAAAACAATTTTTTGAAATTGTGATAAAACAATTACAGTATATGACACGCGTTAGTTACGGGGGTATAACACTGGCTGGGGCGACATCTCGGGATGTTTCTGCAAAAAAATCGTCTCGGACTAACGGCCTCTACCTTTTTTTTTTGCATAAATATCCCTTGATCTCGCCCCAGGCAGTGTTATGCCCCCGTAACTAACTCGTTTCATATACTTTAACTATAACTTATAAATGAAAGATTTTTGTTAATTTTAAGAATATATATTATTATCATATAATAAGATGCATCAACATATTTGTATATAATTCAAGTCTTACCTTCAAGAGCATTTATATAATCATGATTTGTTTCCAGGCTGCCCATACACATTAATGACAACATTACCAACAAACATGGTTTGCTCTTTAGACAACAGATGCCTGAAGCTAGAATGCTGTATATATGTCACTGCAATAAACAGAAATATAAAAGTCCAATACGACATCGATGTATGTGGGTCGACGGTTGAAGTCGGTGTAGAACAGCTTGTCATGAAAAGAAACTTTCTTGATTTTTCCTGGGGTAGTATCTGCTCTGAACCCCTTCACCTTTATTTAAAGGAATTTTGCTGATATTCTTCCATAATAACGCTTAGTTATTACTAACAATTTATTTGTGTTACAATTTATTTGTTAGATTTACACTTTTCAATGTTTTTTTTTTTTTAAATCATGGCTATAGAAACTCTTACATAAATAAGATGAATAAAATATGCATATTAAAACAATTGTTTAAGAGTCTACATTATTATTGCAGGTGAAACAAAGAGGATGAACTTCGGTGGCATTGTTCGTTTTGAGTAAGTATTTATTATGGAATCTTATCTTCTAGTCATAAAGTTTACCCTGTCGCTGCACTCTTTCGTCTATCCTACTGATGGTGAATCTGGGACAGTTACGATGAACTTAATTGGCACTTAGATAACAGTTAAAATACTGTGTATGTTAATGTAACTCTATCTCTACATGATATGTTACATACATAGTGGTATTTATGAGCCATTATAAATCGTATATATGGGTTAATACATTAAGGGTAAGGATGCGGCAATAACTTCCCCCTGCAAATAAGAGATACGGGAAAAATTGCAAATTTAGCCCCACCCAAAATGCTAAAAAAAAAAACTTGGGAAAATGAAATTGCTAAAGAATTTTTCAGACAAAAACCTACCTTTTTTAAAAATTGTTGTAACAAATTGTTTGGTTCTTTAAAGAAAAAAAATATTTTGGTTTTATATTTGTAAAAATGCAACTTTTCCTTTTTGAAAAAAAACTACGAGGGAAAAAATCCGTACTTTAGCAAAAGGTAAAATTTTTCGTACAAGAAATTAATTTGGCTGTTTTAAATGTCATTTTGTCTTTTGTAATAACGACGATCAATTATGCTCATAACAAGCAATTCTCTTTTTCTAACTACATTCTCTCGACTCTCTGCACAGAATATTCAAGGTACTTTTTCTGTATCTGCCGTAAATTTTGTCAATTCTAAGTCGTCAACGTAAGGGTAACTGTCCTAGAAAAGAAGAAAACGGACGAATAAGTGCAGCAATATAAAAAACTAAAAATGTTTAACGAATCTATACAGTTTTCTATTGTGATATATAAATGTCCTTATTTTTACAGTTTTTCATTTTCCAATCTTGAAAATGGTGATCAACTTATGACAAGTGCAACTATTAGCCTGTGTTTTGAATCGTCATCACCTTGCGATTTACAGACAACTTTACTTGATGGACTTATTTTTCCAGAACAAATATGTAGATGGGATAAAGGCTTTGCTTTAAATGGTATTCATTTTAATTGTTTACTTAGAAAAAAAGAAATTATTTAATTATTATAAACATTGGACAATTCCTTAAATATATGCATAATTCGATAAATAAAATCATTTGAAATGCATTAGAACTTGTCTATTTTATCAACTTATTAAGACCTATCATTACAATTACTAAATGAATTAAGATGATGAACATACTCTTTCAGTATGGTATTTTCCTATACTGAAAAGTAATATTTAATATATTGTTTAATATTATAATACCTCGTTAATACACAGAAACAAGAACGGAATTATCTAATACCTTGTAGCAGTTCATTTAATTCAGTTCATTAGTTTTTCTGGTTCCTTTGAACATTTGATTCAAGCTTATTTATTGTTGACAATTCTATACTCGTAAGCTGGTGCTAGGGGCGTGAGGGTGTTGCAATTTTTACCATTTTCTCATATAAAAAGACTCAATCAAACTGATTTGAATTTTTTTAAATATTTTTGTTTTTTTATTGCATAAAAGGGGTCGCTCGTTTTTCAGACAACATGCTACTTTCAGATTTCTCTTTGCAAAAATGGATGTCAGAGGAAGGGTTGATTCAAAGCATGCCGTGGACAGAATACTATACTGCTAAACTGTTAAACTTACTTAACATTTCCCCGTTCCTGCTTGAAGACACCTGCATCGACAACGAAGGAAATAATTCATGGGTGTCTGGTAATATGTCTATGCTTTAACTCTTATTGCAGTTGAATGGAATTCTTGTTATTACAGTATAAATAAATATAAAATATATACAATAATGAATTCTGCTTAAACCAGTGGTTGTGGGCATAGACAGTAGCTTGTTTTTACCAGTACTGTCCATGAATCCGAGCATGAAACATTTCAATTTTGCCGTTTTAGGGATTCAATGTACTCTCTCTATTTTATCGTCACATCGGCCTAAATGTCATCCCATACAATCAATCAGAGATGTTATATTTCCGATCCTCGGAGGACGTTTGGTTTGGCAGTGTTGTGTTTATTTAATTTTAGTTTATTCTAATTTTTCTTTTTCTGCTGATGTTCAAAATTTAAAAAAAATGTTCTCATTTCATGTTAAATGAGCCGGAGAGAGGTTGGACGGTAGCTAGAATTTACCAGTATTGTTTATGAACATACTCAACATGCAGAATGTTCCATTTTAGTGTTCTTGAGGGTTACCTTTTTGGATTATTTCGGAATATTCCAGGTTGTTCGAAAGAAATTGGAAATGGTCTTCTACAGCTACCAGAAAGTATACACTGCGCTATTGGACATAGCTGCACTGATGTTGAATGTTGTGTTTGGGTAGACCAATTTAACAGATCATTGAAATTACAAGCAAACATCGATACTTGTGCATATGAAATTACTCTTTCTATAGAAAGATATCAATATAGAAAACACCTGTTTAATTACACATGGGGAGATATTGAAAATATATGGCTTTTTGGTGTTGTTCGAATGAGGTAATGCCACCATTTTTACTGATATTTATATATAAATTTCATAGAATTTATAACATATCTTATTCAAATAATTTGAAGTATTTTAATTCCTTTTGTCTCAGTATTAATTACTTAAAAGAACATTTGAATGCGCCAGGAAAATGGACCAATCAATTTCGACTAAGTACATAGTATGTACCAGTAATTCGTAAGCTTAAACCTTATTTGACAAATTTATATTGTTTCTTTCAGTCTATCAGTATATAACTTGGACGGAGAGGGGAAATATATTCTCAACATGAATGTTAGTGTGTGCCTTGAATCAGATTCAATCTGTCAAACTGATGTACAAGTTCTAAGCGACGCAGTTCTCCCAAAACTTGAATGTGACTGGAATTCCGAGTTCGTTGATCCGAGTAAGTTTGTAACAGTTTGTTAAAGCTAATAACATAATGATTTATTGCTCTCCTTGAAAGGTGTTCATGAGAAAATGCACAACATACCTTTGTTGTTTTTCATTTACAGATTTTGACATGGGTGATTGGCTTGAAAAGCATGAAATATCATCAGGACATAGTCTTACACTAGCTGAAACCACAATACTTTACAACGACCTTAATTTATCTCCTTATATAGGAGATGAATGTTTGATCAGTGGAAAGGAATTAAACATTTCAGATATAGGCTGGGCTACAGGTACTGATATCATTTTTTCTGTTGTTTTCGTCTTTTATATAAACGTCCTTAATAAATTTATGTATGTTTCATGTAAATGTTATTTGTAATCACGTCTTTTGTAATCAGTGTTGCGAAAATGACTTCATGGCAAGATTTATTTTAAATGGCACCTTTATCCGTAAATTATGCTTTTTTTTCAGAATGTCCGTTTGAAACGGAATTACATAAGCTTCCGGGGTCTACAATCTGCAGCATCCCGTCGTTTTGCTCTGGTGTAGACTGTTGTACAAAAGTTGAGCTACTTGATCGAAATATACACTCGCATTTGTATATTTTTACATGCTTGAATCGGCTTGATATCGGCATTGAAAAAATGAAATACACCATTGATTTAAATGACTTTGAGTTTGGAACCGAAAAAACCGTCAGTCTTCAGGGTGTATTTAAACTAAGGTAAACATGGAAAAAGTACTAACAATGTAGCATTCCAATAAAAGGAATAAGATTTAATTAATTTGATTTTTGTTACCTTCTTAAAACAATATTGTTATGTGATTTCATAGCATGGATACTGGCGCCTACTCAAAGGTAAAAAATCATTGATAAAACATCGTAATGATACATATGCAATATATATAATATGCTATATAATATAACTACAGGTTTGTGATCGAAGATTTAAAGAATGAAGGTGTCTTACTTTTGACGTTAGACATACAAATTTGCTTCTCTACAAAGACAGCGTGTTCGGAAAATATTGAAATATTTAAAAATACAAAGCTTAGCAAACCGATTTGTGACATGAGCACAGGATTCAAAATTAAAGGTACTTATGCTTTATATTAGGTTGCTTTTTTTACCTTTCTTTTTAAGAAGTAATTTATGTTCTTAATATAATACTGATAAATTTTGGCACGATTAAATTTGCATTTTTATCATCCTCATTGAACAGACCCAGTCATGCCGAGTATGCCATTCAAATATTTTTTCTATGTCTCTATTACCATCTCTATGTTTAATTTCTATTATTGTCTTATATTCTATTTTAATAAGGTTTGTGTAGGATCAAAAATGTCTTGTAAACGTGAGATCCATAACATTTCAGATTTTTCCATGGACGGATGGCTAATGGAAAGAGGACTGGTAGCCGGAAATATTGGAACTCTTCCTCTTTCAATTTTATATGAGGAACTTGGAATTTCAACATATCTACAAGAAAATGTTTGCACTATTCCTAAAAGCAATGGAACATGGGAAAATGGTATTAACTTTTTAGCATATCTAGTCTAATTAAATCGTAATAGTGGCTTGAATGAAAGAAAAACATGAAAAAATATGATAAAACTTTGTGTTCTTGAAACAAGAATATCAACCGAAGCTAAGATTTAAGCACATACCGAAAACATATAGGCTTGATCATTTGTAAAAGTATTTCATTTTACAGAATGCCAACTAATTGATGATCTACCAGATCTGTCAGACAACGTGTTTTGCTCTCTTGAAAAATATTGCAATACTATAGACTGTTGTCTAAATTCTGAATTGCTGCAGAGAAACTTTGCTTTCAGCGTTAAAGTAGATCAATGTGAAATGAAACTTACATTGACTATAGAGAAACTGAAATTTGAACTTTCTCTTTTCGATTATGATTGGGGTAAGTGATTATTAAATTAAATATTTATTGTTTATTTCCATTTAATTTATTTCAACACAATAAGGATATTAACATCAAGCAATATTAGTAATACACAAAGTTTAGATAATTCTTAAAAATTGACATAATCTCAAAACATTAATAGAATAATATATTTTTATACACTATTGTATATAATTATAAATTATACCAGTTTAATATTTATTCAGCTACGTTTTTCATTAATGAGCTTGACATGTAACATCCATTATTTGTTGTTGTAGGATCAGAAAACATCATTGACCTGTTTGGAGTACTCAGAATCAGGTACTATTTCAGAATTATTCAAATGTTTAATTATCCTACTAACAAGTTATCCTCAGAAATTTACTAACGTATGTTGCAGGCGTTAAGCATTTATTTATCTTGAAAATAATATTTAGGTCGATTTATGTACTTTTAAAGTCATGAAACAATATTTGCGGGAACAATTTTGTTGGAGTTTATATAATAATTATTGCAATTCCTTTATCAGTTAAGAGAGTCCTGCAAACTTAAAAAATGCTATTTTATACAAACATTAAATGTCAATTATTGCAAAACAGTTATTCGTTTGTGTTTTAGTTAATCTTGTGTTATTTACATATTATTTCAGGCTTTCAGTTGAAAACTTATCAAACGCTAGAATGTACCTCTTAAATTTGGAAATAGCAGCATGTTTAGAATCAAATGACAAGTGTGAAACTGCTGTAATTGTTTTTAACAATACTCTTCTAAACAAACTACCTTGCCAACTAGATTCCGGATTTATTTTTCAAAGTAAGATATCTTTGTCTTATATATCTGAACTTCAGCACGCCCTAAAAACGAGTCATACTCCTTTAACATAAGTGTTGCTGTAATTTTATAACATTATGTTTAACTTATTAAAATTAAAGCTTTTGGTCAGTCAGGAGTAGCCACCTGCTGTTTTGCACGAACTTATACCTTAATTAGGCACAATCAGGCGCAATTGTTTATTCGGTTGTATACGGTGCCCTTTTATGTACCATTTTGATGTTTTTAAAGTCCTTATAAGCTTCAATGTCCTTACTTTATTGCGTTTGACTTATGGTCGTACAATACTTTTATGATGTGTTTAAAATCATTTCATTTAAAGTAATTGGAAAAGTCTTGACTGCATCTACATTGGCAAAGAGACAGATCAAAATATTATTGCTGAAAACTTTGTCACTTGTTATTCTCACCATTCCTTTTTCAAATTCCAGATTTCTCACTAACGTCCTGGCTTACCTCAAAAGGCTATGAATTCAACAGTTATTTAGGGTTTGATGTCACTTCTGAGTTACTTGAGGTTTTAGGTATCGTTGGATATCTTAAAGATGAACAATGCGATAGAAAATCTTCAGCATTTACCCCATCAGCGTATGGATGGAAGAAAAGTACGTTGCGCGTTATGTTTTTCATCAATGAGAAATTTGTAAATACAAATTGACGCCTGTAGAATAAACTTAGCTCTTACGCAATTTTTTGTAGGCAATTTTTATATTTAATAAAAAGATATTTTCCCTAATTGATAAAAATCAAAGTAAAGGTTGTAATTTGTTATATTATCAAGGTTGTCAGCTAAGTGTAGACGTAGATCCTCTATCAAATATCATGACATGCAACCTTGGAGAGTCTTGCTCATCAGTAGACTGTTGCATTGACGTGTACCTGTTGGAACGATCATTCAACGTTCAGTTTAATCTTGACCCTTGCACAAATATGCTCGAAGTAAGCATTGAAAAATTGACGTTTGATGTACCACTCTCCGATATCACGTACGGTAAGTAGAATATTTTAATACCATATGATCCATTCCGAAAACAGTTATGATAAGGAAAACATAACACTTTTTTAAGGTAACAGTTGTAATGTTAACTATGATTTGAGTTTGCATATGCAGTATTGTAAATAATGTTGATTTTTTAGTTAAGGCAGGTTCGGTTTTACTTTATATTGTAGATCGTATAGACGTTTTTTGATAATATTTTTTATGTACATAATCAATGAACGCTTGTTATTTTAGGAACTCCGTCAAGATTCTGCCTTTACGGAATGGTTTGCATAGAGTAAGTATTAGTTACCTTGTTTTTGTCAACATTCCTAGTTCATAGATATTATTGATATTTGACGTTTACGTTTGACTGAAATAGTTTGCTAATTTAGTATTATGATTTTAAGATGTTAATAATTTGATAACGATATTAGTCTTTTTTTCAACATTCAACTTAAATTGAAATTCTAATTCGATCATATAGAGCTGTTATATTTCTTTCCAAACAGTGTTAAATAACATAATAACTAAGCATGTTTGGAACTTGCTCTTTGTGGTTCAAAGCTGAAATAATGATTTTTTATAATCATGTGAAAGTTTGTAGGAAAGAAACATTCAAACAAAATACGATATGCGAGTGTTTTGTTTCTTTCAGGTATTCTATAAAGAACATGCTTTGGTCAGAAATCTACATTGTCGATCTTAACATCAGCATTTGTTTTGAATCCTCAAGTCCGTGTAACATTCAAAGCCAAATTTTCAAATCTACAATATTGCCTAAAAAGATATGTGGATGGGTGAATGACAACAATATACAAAGTAAAAGCTTATTTCATTAAAGTATTAATTCCTTTGTGTCAACATATTTTGTGAAGAAACAAATAGAATAAATAAAAATCCAATGCAATACCTAAAGAATGGTTCATTTCATACAAGTTCATTGATCGTAAACAATGCTTTATAAGTTAAGTTATTAATATTTCATGATTCATTTATATGTACATGATGTATACTGAATTTAAACACAATATATTAAGTGTCATTTTGGCCACACAAAGGTAGATATTGAGTGAACAGGTGAAAGTCAAAATAAGTTTACATTTTGCAATAATTCTTTCAATTTTATAATAAACTTCCAGTGAATGATAAATAACAGCCGAACCCATGGAAATTCTGTCATTATCCATCGGATTTTACATGTGACGTTCCATTTATAAAATGATTTGGGTAGTCTTTTATATTTAAGGCAGATTTTATGTTACCGTATAGTACTTTTTTTCTGCGGGAACTTTATTTCTGCTATTTCTGCGGTTTATAACGACACCGCAGATTTAAAAACTGCAGAAAATTAAGCCTTTTGCTATGTCTACATGTATGTCCGATTTGTCAACTACCTGTATTGCATAATTGCATTACCATGTACCGTATCAGCTTTTGTAGATGGGAATTTTTTTTATGTATCCGTCATGAATAAAATATTAGAAAAAAAGTTACTTTACTTGTTATAAAAAATATCATGTTTGTATGATTTTCGCTCACCTTAAGCTTGATTTATTTTTAAATAAAACTATTATAGTTTGACGGGTGCAATAAACGTACCATTTTGTATTTGTACAATATATTGTGTCTACGTGCGACTTTACCATAGTTTATTTTTCACACTTCATTTTTATACACATGCAGTATTACAATTAATTGTTGTCATTGCACGGTTAATTTTGTAAAAATATCTTTATTAAAACGCAGAAATAAAAAACATCAATTATATATGCGAGAATGATGACACCGCAGAAATAAGAAACGCAGAGATTTAAAACCCCTTATTTTAACCAAAATCGCAGAATATTAAGCCCGCAGAAATAAGTACTTATACGGTATCCTTAATATTTTCAAATATCAATTTTTGGTCAAGTACTACTTTGATAGTCAAACATTTGAAATATGTACTCATTTAAGTTCAACTTGACAAAAACAATAAGCAAAATGTCACTTTGCTTTCTCATGAAATTGCTCATTTTTATTCAGATTTCACGTTAGCCAGCTGGTTTAATAATCGGGGTATCCCGGACATGGCGAATCTTCCATCGTACTTGGCTAACACACTTGAAAATGATATTGGTCTCTCAATGTTTCTTAACAAAGAACAGTGCCAAAGAGGTGTAACTCCCTATCTGTCGAATTATTCCGGTTGTGCGTCAGGTAAATCAATGCGTATAAAGAATCAAGTCTTAAATATCACTTAAACATAAATTAATTTTTCGATTACGAGAAAAGTTTAATATAATTATCCTAAGATTAATATTTTATAAATAATAGTACGGTGGTTCTTTCCTTTACGGTTGTTTCTTTCCTTTTATGCATGGAAACATTTTTTATACATTATAATTATTTATATTATTAATACAACACCAAGACACATTTTTGTACCGTTTTTACAATTCATCATATTAATTATCTTCTCATACAGATTGCCCGATGGAAACACATGCTCCAGTAGGAGACGCAAATGTGTCATGTTATATCCCTGACTACTGTACTGCTGTTGATATTTGTGCATATATTCCGCTTATCAATCGAAATGTCCACGCTTTTCTTCGGCTGAGGCCTTGTGATTCTCTGCTTGAGATTGGAATTGAACAATATCAATTTACGGTTGGATTTAATGACTTCAAGTTCGGTAATGTTTGCATGAATATTAATTAACAACTTTCCTGTGTTAATATAAGCGATGAAATGCTATCAACATGTTTATATGGCAAAAATAAGTAATAAATGTTATAATGTATTCTCATGCACTTTTAGAAGTTATCTTAACTAGTATTTGTAATCATTGATAAAAGGATAATTTTATAGCTTTTGTACACTGCGACATTCTTATTTTGTCCCCTTCAAAGAAGTGAGGGTATATTGCTTTGCATTTGTCTGTCTGTCGGTCTGTCTGTAGACCAAATGGTTTCCGATCAATAATTAAAAAACGTTTAGGCCTAGGAACTTCAAACTTGGTATGGGGATTGTTCATGATCGAAAAATGACCCTCTTTTGATTTTTTGGATCAAGATGTCAACGGTCAAGGTCACATTGTGACCTTGTAGTTAAAAACGGTTTCCGATAAAGAATAAACTTAACAAGCCATGGTCCGTTGGCCCTCAAACTTCGTAGGTGCATTGCTCTTGGCCTGAAAATGACCCTTATTGATGTTGGGATCAAGGGGTCAAAGGTCAAGGTCACATTGACCTTGTAGGTCAAAACCGGCTTCCAATCAATAAATTGACAACCCATACGCCGTTGGCCCTCAGACTTCGTAGATGCATTGGTCTTTGCCAGTAGTTGACCGCTATTGATTTTTGAGTCCAGGGGTCAAAGGTAAAGGTCATATTTTACCTTGTAGGTAAAAACGGTTTCCAATCAATAACTTGACAACCCATAGACCGTTTGCCCTCACACTTTATAGGTGCATTGATATTTCCCAGTAAATGATCCCTTTTGATTTTTGGTCAAGGGATCAATGGTCAAGGTCTCATTGATATTTAAGGTAAAAACGGTTGCCGATCAATAACTTGACAACCCATTAGCTGTTGGCTCTCAAACTTCGAAGGTGCATTGGTCTTGGCCAGTAGATAACCGCTATTGATTTTGGCGTCAAGGGGTTAAAGGTCAGGGTCACTAATTCAAAACAGTTTCCTATTGATAACTGGACAACCCATGGACATTGACCTTCAAACTTCACAAATGCATTGCTTTGGTTGGAAGATGACGTCAATGGATTTTTGGGGTCAAGAGGTCAGAGGTCAATGTCACATTGGTCTTATAGATAAAGACGGTTTATGATCAATTTCTTAACAACGTATGGGCCCGTCAACCTAAAACTTCACATGTGCATTGGTCTTGTCCAGTAAATAACCGCTATTTATTTAAGATTAAACGGTCATAGTCAGTTAGTCACAATGACCTTGTACGTAAAAGCGGTTTACAACCAATAACTCAACACTTCAAGTTTCTTTGGTTTATATTTTTTATTTAATTCAAAATTCGTTTGGAATACACATTTCAAGGTTTAATTGTAATATAACAAAATGACTGTCATTAAGAAGACCTACATGATTCATAAAATGTATTCATATAACATTTGGTAAGATTTGTGATAACTTTGTCATAAAATTGCTGCACACAACCTTTATGGTCACAATGACCTAGTGACTAGTCATGATAAGTAGATAACCCCTATTGATTTTTTTGGTCACAAGGTCAAGTCAGTCACAATAACCTGGCCACATGACTATTTGCTGCCAATAGGGGGCATACGTGTTTTACAAACATATATTTTCTTTTTTAGGTGAACACAAGACACTGCTGCTAAAAGACGTTTTCAAATTGGAGTAAGTAAAATGTTTTGTTTTTATTTTTCTTTTAGATTACATTTAACTTTAATTGTATTATACTGAGTGGCAGCTGGTGCCGATTCCATCAGCTAAGTTTAGAAGTCGCCTTTTAGTTGATGCAACATAAAACCCGACAAAACACGAATATTAACAGTCCTTTATTCCTGTTAGTATGAATAACATTGATGCATATTTATGTTTCTTTTTTGATACTTAATTTGCTGACAACTGAGCTTTTCTGCAATTAAAAATACGTTACCATCTAAACTATTAATGTATATGTGGTAAATTATTAAATGATTTATTTTTATTTCAGTCTACGTATAGATGACTTAAATTTCCAGGACGTTTATGTTGTTGACTTTAAGTTCAGTACATGCTTTGTTGATTCAAGTTGTGAGAAATCTTACGCTATTTTCGATCGCACAGTATTGACAAAAATACCATGTTCATGGGACATGAGTTTTAAAAATGAAAGTAAGCAAGCATATTTTACTTAATGATTAAACAATTTTAGTGCTTTAATATTTAAAAATGTTGCCTTTCGTATTTTCGTAAATGAAATCAATGTTGACGAAATGGACGAAATAAAACACAAAACACTTAAACAGTGTTATCACATAAACCGCGACGCAGGAGTGTAATAAAGCTATTTAATAAAAACGATATTACACTAGTGTAATAACACGTGACGTCATTTGTGCTTTATATACATTACGTTAAGGCGTGCTAATGTAAGCGTTACACTATAGGCGTGTCATTGAAAAATTACTCATTTTAACAGTTTACTGTTCTTATTTTATATATGTGAATATATTAGAATATTATATTCGTGTAGATTTATTGAACTCGTTATAAATATTATTCTCCCCAGAGGCTCGCATAATATGATTTTATTCAGCTCGTTCAATACATTTAGTATTAAACTACACTCATTCAATATCCTCTATTTACGCCATGTTCATTGTGAAATAGTTTACGTAAATTTAGTTAATTTTGCAATTAATTATAACTTATTCTTCATATCAGATTTCTCCCTTAATGAATGGATGGTTGATCGAGGAATTGCAAGAGAACAATTTACAAATGTGCAGCGCAATGAATTGTTCGAAGTTCTTGGTCTGGCAGCATATTTGGACAACAGCAAATGCTATCTTACGGACGTACCATTCTCGCCGTCAAATGATGGTTGGAATTCGGGTATGATATATTAATCTATTGATATTTAGATCTATGTGTAATTTGTTGACACAGATGAAGTATGACGATAAATACCTTTTTTCTCTTGCATTTTAATCAATTAGTTTTGTGTTTCTGGATATTAACCTTATTCATTATTTTTTTTATGTTAAGTGTTATACAAAAAGACTGATTATCCTATTTTATACGATTCATTTTCAAATTTAAGACTGTCCTGTGGATATAACGTTACCGTCCCTTCCAAGTTATATCGGCTGTTATGTGTCTGATACTTGCACCTCCGTTCGATGTTGCCTGGAAATAGACATTATTTCAACGTCAATGTCCTTCTTCATAAGTATGGATGGGTGTGAAAAGCAAATGACAGTTGGAATAGAGCAACTGACATCAACAATAGATATTGATGAATATAAATTTGGTGAGATAAAGGGAATAATTTCCTGATTATTTTTTTGCATTGTTAAAGTAGCATTTTGAAACACACACATCTTTTATGAAACTTATCAAGTGATTTTATCAATTTCAACTTTAAAGAAGTAAAGAGAAATATACTTTATAGATATACTTTGCTCAAATCTGATATTACAACATATCGATAATTGCTACACATTAATTTCTTTAAGATAAACATGTTTTGACACTTAAACACTTAAAAAACAAGATATGTCATGTTTGAAATTCTAAACACTTAAGGTGAACACAATCTGACTATATAGTCACAGTGACAGTTTTTTTTCAGGAAAGACTGTCTTTATTTGACCTGTAATATGGACAACAGCTTCCCATACCTAGTTTATTCATTCTTTTATTCAAACTAGACATATTTAGTTAGAATTTCATAGATTTCAATCATTTTTTTGTATTTAAAATACTTTACTCAATGATGAGCATAGTATATGGTTAAAGAAACGGAAGCAGTAACGATACAAGCAACAGCAGTAATACTCACAATAATGTTGTTTTAATATTTAAGGTTCTTTTGATCGATTCTACTTGTTAGGAGTCTACAGAATAGAGTAAGTATCGATTACCAAGGAAATTTATTATTATTTAATGTCAATTGTCTAGTATCAAAAGACTAGTTTGCATAGTTTGGTTATGTTATTTTGCCGCCTTGAATGTCCATGTCCTATTTATCTTATTGCATTTATTGAACTACGCTTAATTCTTACACAATTTGGGTACCGTATGTGTTGCTTATATTTACATATATTTTTGACTTTTAGCTTGAAACTGCATTACATTGTTCACTTTAACCGTCACAATATACTTGTAATATCTTTAAAGCTACATGATCGAATACCTGTATGGAAGTCGTAAATTCGTAGTTGATATGAACGTCAGCGCCTGTTTTGAAAGTCACGGAGAATGTGAAATAACAATACCAGTTTTGCATAAAACAATCTTGCCTAAAGTAAATTGTGACTGGTACAACGGATTTAATAATGAAGGTAAGCATGCCAAGTTTGATTTTGTGGTGGAAGTATTGTGATTTTCCTTTAATCATTATATTTCAACCTGTTGAAAACTGAAGAATATTTGAATCATATCAATAAATTTTTAATTGCATTAAATTACAAACTGATCAGTAATCTGAATGCGAGAAGAGGCAGGCTAACTAACGAAATAAATATGAAATAATATAGGAAGGGTAACGTTTTGTCACCGTGGTTGCTCAGTTGTTTCTTAATGTTGAATATGGGACGATTTGTAAGCATCATTAAAAATGTACCTAGGCATTCTTATATTGTATCTTATATATAGCATGGACTTGACTATTATCAACATTTCGAGTGCTCATAATTTTATATCTGCAGACTTTGCGCTCGAAGAATGGAAACGCATAAACAATATCAGCCAGAGTTTACCTTTAAATCGGGACCAATTTGATTTACTTGCAAACAATCTAGGCATAAGCCAATATCTCCTTGAGAATGAGTGTGTCTTGCCTACAAACAAAACTACAAGTGGATGGGATAACTGTAAGTTTTTACCACTTTCTTCTTTCGCCGCTATCGCATATAATAAGATCTTAAGATTAGTTCTTTCTTGAAATTCCTGTCAGACAACACTTGAATACATGCCCTAAGAGAATGCGCCACTGATTAAAACTATTTCTCAGTATCAAAATTCATAAATGGAAGAACGAAAAGGAAATAATGCAGTTATAATGATAGATCTTTTCATTTAACAACATAATATTTAAGCTCGTCGAATCAAACAGTCAAGTGTATTATATGTTCAAGTAATGAAACAAAAAAGGCTTCACGTAAAATTAAATTCATTTGTACTTTAGCAATAGTTGCATTTAATTTGAAACAACAAATTATTCGAAAAGTTGTTTAAGAGTATATATCACAATTTATGTTGGTTTTATTGTTGTTTTCTTTGTCTTTATCTTATACGACCATGTATGGATCACTTTGACGATAACCCGTCTGTTTTGTGCCAGTGTCGGTGCAAAAAATATCGTTTATGCTCATTTCAATGTGGCTTTATTGCTTCTTTTCAACAAACATCTGCCTCACCCCTTTCATCTGAATTGGCTTGTTAAGATCATGTTTTGTTTTTATCTGTATCTTTCAGCGTGTCCCCTTGATATTTATTTACAACCACTACCAGATAATACAAGCTGTAAGATGAGTAGCGGATGTTTAAATGTTGACTGCTGCATGTTTGTTAGTGATCTCAATCGGAGTTTTAGCTTCTCTTTACACGTTGACGAATGTAACTTTCAAATATCAGCAAGTATCGAAGACCTGGAAATTACAAGAAAACTCTCGGCATTTGAATTCAGTACTGTTTTACCATATAACTTGAATAAGATTACATTACATAAAATATTGCATTGTTTGAGTTATTACTTAAACTTATATAACATCATACTTTAACATTAAAATTTATTTTAATGTTGAAAGACATGGGCTTGAGTAAACCTAATTTAACTTTGAACAATGTTAATTACATATTTTCATTAATCTAAAATTAAATGATCTATATTGTTAAATGATTGCAGACAAGGTGATAGAATTTGACATAGATGGACTTATTTCACTGCGGTAAGCCTTTTATATTTTATATTAAGATAAATTATGAAAAACAGAAAAGTCTATTAGGAACCACCTTATACAATGAAGTTAACAAATCTAGCTTGTTTTTATTGTTGTTCATGCATTAGTTGTTTTTGTACTCTAAGGATTCAAAGAGATAGATATTTTTTTCTGTTTCTTTAAGTCTACTTAGACAAATTATGTACATTTTAAATAATAAAAAATATGACATTTGCTGGTACAAATTCAATCTGAACGTCAAATATTTGCTAATATTTAGTAAATTAAATGTTTTGACAGGTTTGTAGTGTTGAATATGGAATACAGGAACACATACATGTTAGACCTTGATGTATCTGTACACTTGGAAGCTAAGGAGACAGCAGCAATGACCGTGAAAGTGCTTGATGATATATTGGTACCTCGCATTCAGTGTCAGCAAAACGCAGGATATGTTAATAAATGTAAAATATATTTGGTGCTTTGTCTCAGGTGTTTGGTTATGTAATTGTAAAAAATGTAGGGATAATTTGTTTTCAAGAACATATTGGAAATTAAAAATGCCAATTAAAATATTCACCACAAATTAAGACATGAATTATAACGTACTAATCAATATGTAGTCAGTACTTGATTACTTAAAATATAATTACGGTATTTATCAACATTGTTATGAGATGTGCTTTTTTGTATACAGCGTTTGCGTTGGACAAGTGGAAAGAAGACAACAATGTGACTGCTATAGATGAGTATCAGACAGTCAAACTGTTAGAAGATCTTGCTATTGCTCCGTTCATGTTAACCAACCAGTGTGACATTCGTGATGATTTTGTAATAGGTAAATTGAAAATCAATTGTTGAATGTAAAGTAACGTTTGAAAACGTTTGAATCAATTAACTTTTTTAACGTTTTATATATTTGTCTAATTTAACAGAACATCTTTTGGAAAAGTAAAAAAAAATGAAACAAATCTTATCTCATTTTTTTGCTTAAAGCATAGCATTCTTTTTACAGACACAACTGCTTGCCCAATCCAGGTGAATTCGTTAAATTTCTTCGGCCAAGGCTCGTGCTCACTAACTGAAATATGTTCCGGAATTCGCTGTTGCCTCAAATCGTTGGAAATATCGTCAAACTTTTTTATGGAAGTAGAAATTGATGCTTGTAAGGAGGAAGTCAAAGTTGCGATTGAAAAGCTTCAGTTCCTAATACCGTTTAGAAACTTTACGTGGGGTAGGTTGTCAAAACAATAAAAATAACACATTTGTTATCATAAAGATTGCATTAAGCTAGACGAAAATAATAATATTATTCACAAACTCAAGTTTGCATTTGTATTATAGATACGAATCAGCTAGTTTAATCTTTAATTTTTTTAGAGACACTTATGCCTCAGAAATGAATATTTTTACTTTTTGTAGAAATGGCAAAGATCTGTTTCATAATGTTTCAATAATGAATTAACAACATGTGATATGTTTATCACTTAAGGAAAATATAAGTTAATGTGAAAAAAAATTGTAATAAAGATAGAACGGTTAACGTTGACTGTATACAACAATTCGTGCACAACAATAACGATCATAATATACTTTATTTACAGGAGAAGTACAAAGATTTAGTTTATACGGCGTGTTCCAAATTGAGTAAGTGAATAAATAAAACAATACTTAACCTTCTACAATGAGCAAACATTCCATAAGTATTTTTATATATTAATGAAAGCAATAAACGTGTATCATTTGAACATTTTTAACGGATTTATAAGTTATTCAGTATGAACCTACAACATTCATATGGTATTCTGTTGTAGTAAGTTGTAAATGCTATAAACGTAATTATATCTTGTATAAAAGACCCTTAATTATGAAGCAATTTCATTTTAAATCTTTGAACACCATACAAAAAAAGCCTAATAGAATTTCAATGCATTTATATATAAATGTTTTATCTTATTTCAAACAAATTTTAAACCAAAACATATTGCATTTCAATTCAAACTTGAGAAAAACGCAAGATTTTAAGAAAAGTAAAAAGGCAAACAAGATTTAAGATTCAAGTAATAAAATGTACATGTTATGTGCGATTAAGGACTGATTTATAAATTATTTATCATAATTTCTACTGCCTGACTAACGCAGAAAAGAATATTGTTTCTTATTTTGACTTCTATTTGGTAATATACTCGGATTGCAATTGCTGTTTGCAATGTATACATTATTTACCTTGTTCATTTTACAATGTTTTACTTTTAAGTAATAAAAACATTTTTAAAATTTTTACGAAAATAAACATGAATCTAGTGGCACTGTGCATTAATTGCAGTATACATATTTACGTACTTTTTATAATAAACCTTTATGTATTTAAGGATTTCAATTGTGGAGCTCGTGAAGTCGCAGATTTATACACTTGACCTTCGTGCAAGTATATGTCTAGGACAAAACGAAACTTGTAATTATACAGATCATATTTTGCAAAATGAATATATGACCTCAATTCCATGCAGCTGGTCTTCAGAATTTATAGACGCAGGTAAGAATATATGATCTGCTTTTAAATATAATTTACGTACATCAAAATATCATAAAACGTACGAAATGTGCCTATAAATGCGATAGCTTATCTTTATGTCGAATGTTTTGAAGTACAAAAGGTACATAATCATGAATATGTCGATTTAAAATTATTTTTTTGTCAAACAGGTATGTGTAAAACTTTGCTATGAGTTGTGTTATATTACCTTCAAAATGAGTGATTGGTAAACATTCATTATTGGAACTATTACTTAACAAACCTTTTTATATTTTCCTGTGAACTGTCAGACTTTGATTTCGACCAATGGAAGACCAAATATGCATACAGTCTACAGGGACCTCTTCCAAAAACCGGTGTTGAGTTTTTCTTTACCGAAATTGGTGTTGATTCGTATTTAAATAAAAAAATGTGTGATAATTCAGCCGCACCTTACACAAGCGATACCAGCTGGACGTCAGGTATTAAAAAACTCTAAGACATAATATATGTACTCACTAAATAGTTTCGACATTAGTTTTGCTTTTCGTTTAAATTGTCATTTTGTAAGTATTCAAGACTTTTTAACCACATTTTTACTTGATTATAAAATAGTTTGGTTAATAGCAAGAACAATACTTTTTAGCTCACCTGAGCTTGCTCAGGGTGAGCTTTTAGGATCGTTGAATGTCCGTCGTCCGTCGTCCGTCCACACGTGTTTGTTAACACTCCAGCGGTCACATTTTTGCCTCAATCATCATCAAACTTGGTCAGGATGCTTATCTAGTTGATAGTTCGGATGAGTTTGAACATGGGTCATCTCGGCTGAAAAACTAGGTCACAAGAGCTAAAAATAGAAAAACCTTGTTAACACTCTAGAGGTCACATTTTTGCCTCATCATCAAAGTTGGTCAGGTTGCTTGTCTAGGTCATAGCTTGAATGAGTTCGAACATGGGTCATCTCGGATGAAAAACTAGGTCACCGAGCTAAAAATAGAAAAACCTTGTTAACACTCCAGCGGTCACATCTGTTACACAAGTGTCATCAAACTTGCTCAGGATGCTTGTCTAGGTACTTGCTCGGATGAGTTCGAACATGGGTCATCTCGAATGAAAAACTAGGTCACAGGAGCTAAAAATAGAAAAATCTTGTTAACACTCTAGTAGTCATATTTTTGACTCAATCGTCATCAAACTTGGTCAGGAAACTTGTCTAAGTAATTGCTCGGATTAGTTCTAACATGGGTCATCTCGAATGAAAAGCTAGCTTACCGGAGCTAAAAATAGAAAAACCTTGTTAACACTATAGCGGTCACATTTTTGCCTCAATCATCATCAAACTTGGTCAGGATGCTTGTCTAGGTGATAGCTTGGATGAGTTTGAACATGGGTCATCCTGGATGTAAAACTAGGTCACCGGAGCTAAAAATAGAAAAACCTTATTAACACTCCAGCGGTCACATTTTTGCCTCAATCATGATCAAACTTGGTCAGGATGCTTGTCTAGGTGATAGCTCGGATGAGTCCGAACATGGGTCATCTCGGATGAAAAACTAGGTCACCGGAGCTAAAAAAAGAAAAACCTTGTTAACACTCTAGCGGTCACATTTTTGTTGCCTCAATCATCATCAATCTTGGTCAGGATGCTTGTCAAGGTACTTGCTCGGATAAGACCGAACATGGGTCATCTCGGATAAAAAACTAGGTCACCGGAGCTAAAAATAGAAAAACCGTGTTAACACTCTAGTGGTCACATTTTTGACTCAATTGTCATCAAACTTGGTCAGGAAACTTGTCTAGGTAATTGTTCGGATTAGTTCGAACATGGGTCATCTCGAATGAAAAACTAGGTCACAGGAGCTAAAAATAGAAAAATCTTGTTAACACTCTAGTGGCTACTGTTTTGATCCAAATATCCTGTAAATTGGTCTGAAAATTTGTTTTGATGATTTCTAAGTCAAGTTCGAACATGGGTCATCTCAGATGAAAAACTAGGTAACGCCGCCCAAATATGGAAAAACCTTGTTAACACTCTAGTGGTCACATTTTTGACTCAATAATCATCAAACTTGGTCAGGATGCTTGTCTAGGTAATTGCTCGGATGAGTTCGAAATCGCATGTGAAACTAGGTCACCGGAGCTAAAAATAGAAAAATCTTGTTAACACTCTTATTGCTACTGTTTTGATTCAAGTATCCGGGAAATTGGTCTGAAAGTTTGTTTTGATTATTTCTAGGTCAAGTTTGAATATGGGTCATCTGGGTAAAAAAACTATGTCACACTGCTCAAATATGGATAATCCTTGTTAACACTGTAGTGGTCACATTTTTGACTCACCTGTCATGAAATTTGGTCTGAATGCTTGTCTAGGTAATTGTTCGGATGAGTTTAATGGGTCAGGCGAGCCCTCTTGTTTTATCTAATGCGTTTATTTTTGCAGACTGTGGTTTAAGTGTCAGCGTCACAGATTTGCCGAACAACACTAAATGTTTCATAGATGACAAATGTTCCGACTTTGAATGTTGCTCTTATGTGGACACATTGCAACGATCATTCAGCATTCAGTTTAAACTTGACACATGCTCTCAAACTTTATCAGTTGGAGTCGAAAGAATATTGCAGCACATACCTCTATCAGCTCTTGAATTGGATGTCGTTAACAAATTCTATCTGAACGGTTTTATACGATTGCAGTAAGTTACCATTGGTTATTAGTTTATATCTTCAGTATACTGTTTTGAATTAATTTAAAATTTCTTTAACGATGTCTTGCGAGAAAAAAATGATAGCAAAGAACGTTTGTATACCTTTAAATAAAATACAAATTATTATGATTACCAAAATGCATTTAGAATGATATTTTGTTTCGCGTGATACAAGGTAGCGACGGCATATAGGGATCACTTCTTATTCGTCTTTCTGTCCGTCAGTCCGTTCGTCTGGGCAAATAATTTGATTTAGGGGCTATCTAACGATAAACGGACAAAAAATGCAATAGACCTTATTCCGTAACAAAAGAATAAGGAGCCATTGCCTCCTGTTAAAACAAAAGGAAACAAAAAATAGCCCCTTGTCAATAAACGTGGCGCGTTCGTCTGCCCGTCCGTCACAATATATCCTTGACTAATCTTCAAAAAAAGTACAGGTGCAATTTTATCTACATTTTACGGAACGACCAGTACCAAGTGTAGTTGTGTAGATCGTCGGCATTTTTAGTTTTAATATTTTTTATGGTCCTTTAATGATTTTATTTTTTTATAAATTGTCACGTTTAGGTCTCTTGTACAATTAATGCAATTTGAAACTGTGATCGGTAACAAGTACTTGCGCATATTGAACGGCTTTTTGATTGAATGATTCTTTGGATGAGTTATGGCCCTTGAATGGCCTTTTAATGATGTTTGTGTCTCCTGCTACACATTAGCTACAGCATGCTACATATTTGCCGCGACATATAGAGAACCAACTGTCCAATAATCCTCAATTAAACTGCTTTATTGCTTATCATCAGCCGACACACTTGATTACGAATCGCTCATGTTCATGATTATATTTACTTCTTTATTCATTTTAGATATATGCTCACGAATTTACCAATTCAAAGGACTTACATTACAAATTTGAATTTAAGCATTTGTTTTGACGATAACAAATGTAACGTTAACTTAGAATTACTTAAGAATACGGTTGTGCCACATACAGTTTGTGAATTTAACCCAGGATACTCAATGGAAGGTAAATATGTAACTTAACGTATTTGTTCTTACTAAATCAATTAGCATAATTACTTTAAACAGAAATAGAAGTGTTAAAAAATTCAAACAGATAAAGCTAATCGATTGGTGCACAAATCATACATATAATGTATTTTAAAATCTCTGATTATTTCAGACTTTTCTCTTGCTCAGTGGAAAACGAGCAAACATTTACAATCACTGGATGATGTTCAACAGATTGAACTGATGACGGATTTAGGAATAAAACCTTTTATCAGAGAGGTAGAATGTAAAGCAGCAAACAATACTTACAATGGAGGTATGATATCATTTTGATTTAATTACATAGATTACTTTTTTTGAAATATCTGTAGCTGCGCTGCCGAATGGTTAACGCGATGGATTAGTAATCTAAAGATTGCAGGGCGTACTGGTAAAGAGCAGAAAATTTTGAATTTTTTTTTCGATTTAAGCGGAGAGACTATAAATAAAAACAAGCACACATTTAGACCTTTTGTAAAACTTCTTGTCAGCAATTATTATATATGATAATTCTTTGCACTCGCTACTCAACATCTTTAAAAATTATAAACAGAAACATTGAAAGGTCAATATGTCAGTCTAAAATCCATGAATTGATACGTAAAATCTATACCAAAGTAGCGACGACATATAGGGATCACTTCTGCGTCGTCTGTCCGTCCGTCATGAAACTTATTCATAAAAGTCAAAAACTACTAGTGCAATTGCATCCAATCTTAACAGGAATAGTCAGTACTAAGCCTAGTTATGCATATCGTCGGTATTTTTAGTTCAATTACTTTGCCAGATTATTTAGTTTGGTACTTATTTGTCAATTATTTTGACTTCAAGTACTTCAAGTGCATGCTCATATTTAACGGGGTTTTTTATGCTGAATGATTATTGCTGAGTTATAACCCTTAATGGGCGTTTTTGCCCGTTGATGATTTTTTGTGTTGTCTGCTACACAGTAACTGCTTTATGTTATAAAGTAGCCGCGACATATATGAAACAAATTGTCCAATCAGTTCTTAATCTATGTGCTTAATTGGCTATCATTAGACGACACATTTGATCACTGATCATTCGTTTGTTTACAGAATGTGGTGTATTAGAAGATTTTCCGTCATCATGCAGTTTGTCAAATTCCTGTACAAAAATAAGTTGTTGTCTGTTCTCCGAAGTCCTGCGTCGAAACATCTTCTATGAACTAGACTACGATAAATGTAACCATCTGATCAATATAACTATTGAGACTTACAGCCGATTGATGTCCTTGTATGATTATGAATACGGTAGGTAAATTTAGAGATATTGGTACAGTGTTTGCAAGTAAAACTTGTCCATATCTTAGGAAACCTATTCATTTCTTTAGAAAACGGAACATGTTTAAGATTTGCTTCAAATCTTGAACTGTAATATTTATATTGTTAAATAATAAATCAATTATGTTGAACATAAAGTAATAAGATTATATAAATGCCGTTATCAATTTTGTTAGATATCTTATGCAGTGTTTGTTCAAATATGATTCAAATAAAGAAATAAAACATATCATAGCCTTTGTAATACCAGGATTTCCAAGACAATAATGATAATAAGTAGTCCAAATGAGTGACTTGCTCGATTTGTTGTACATTTCAATTCTATTTAGAAATAGTACAGCTAAAAAGTTTGCATTGATATTAAAAACGAAATGCCATTCTTTTTAAAAACAGTACAGCAACATTTCTAAGACATAATGATACTATAATTATCTATTTTCATTGACAGGAAATAACACGGTCATGTCGCTGTATTCAACGTTACAGATTAAGTAAGTTGATTGTTTCAGACAATTGTGCATTTGTAGTTAAAACTACTTTCATCAGTCTGAGACCTAAGTATAATGTTATATATTGTTGTTTGTCGATATTTATGTTAACATTCAAAAGAAATGTTAAGATAAGGCACTTAACTAACATATACTATACAACTAGTTAGAATACAATTCACCTATCGTATTTATGATAGGAAAGAATGTTTCTTACCAGACAATTGACGAATATTTCTTTTGAATAAATTCAAAATTTGTGCTTTTTTCATCTGAACAGTTTCACAATAGACTACCTTGTCATGAGCGATTCTCACGTAATAAGTCTGAACATTAAAGAATGTTACGAGACTACTGGTTCGACATGTGCATCAGAAATAGAAGTTCTGACTGAAAACAAGTTTCCGTCGGTTGAATGTTCAATGTATAAAAATTACAAGATAGACGGTAGTTATCAAACATACTTTGGTTATTCTATACTATGCTATAAATTAAATAAACAAGATTTTCAGACCTTAAATTTTAATATTGCATCGATAAAAATATCCGTTTTATTACAGCATACTGGGACACTGTACTCGATGATAAATTTTAAACTTACAAATGAACAATTATTTACTTATCGTGTATCTTAAAGCAGAAGCAATTTTAATCACAGTTATATTTTGTTTTTGACAAACCATTTAAATTTTCCACATCTTAAACTCAACAGATGACTGATAATAGATACTTATATGTATGTATATATAAGTATATCACATTGCAATCTTACTAAGACGTTGTTTATGTAGTACAATGATCCAAAAATCACCGCTGTGATGATTTAAGAAAAATTAAAAATGTTGAATCATCTTTATGTACCACGTTAAATGTATATTTTAAGATCGTTTAATATTTTAATGTTGGCATCAAATCTCACGTCGTATTCATTTTGATATGTTTTTTATTTTTGCATGTGTTTAGCATTTTCCTACACTGAGTGGTTAGCTGAAATGAAAATAAATGCATCAAGCTTACCGATATATGCAAAGAAAATTCTCCATCGTGATTTAGGAACAAGCCAGTACCTTCTTCTGAATGAATGTAAAGTTGAACAAATAGGCTGGAATTCAGGTCTGTGTAACTCATATATATGCAAATAATATTTATATTTTTATGACTGCTATGATTTAACAAACATTTGTCTCTTTGAATTACGCTGATAAGTTATGAGTCTGAAATTTAAATAGCGTTTTTTTCCGGATCGTAAGTAGCTGTTCTGTCACTCAGTATCGCTTTGTATTTATACACCAATTAAGAAATAGTAATGAACATTAGAATGAGACAGTAATTTTTCTATTGACATTTTAACTAACTCGTATTTTTGAAGATTTGTAATCCTTTATTTATCAAATGTAATAACTGCTTGTCACTTTTGCCCTGCCTTTAATCATGTAAAGATTAGTAAACAACATTTCTATTATGTTTAAAAAAGGCTATGTAAAAACAAATTCAAATTACCGTTATGTTGTCATTGCGGGTCTTTTTATCATTTTAAGTTGACAAATTGTGTACATTTCATTCATAGATTGTGCTGAGAACATAACAATGCTAAACATTACTGACAACAATACAACAATAGCCTGCCATCTACATTCATCCTGCTTAGATCTTCAATGTTGTCTCTACGTTAGTGAAGTTCAAAGGTCATTTCAATTCCAAATACTGTTCGATCCGTGTGAGTTGAACTTTACAGTCGCAATAGAAAAGTTTCGGTATGAGTTATCACTAAAGGAAGTTCTTGTTGGTAAGATATTTCTAAAGCACGATTTTTTTAAAGGTATATTTTACAAAATGGATATTCGAAACTGTTGGGGTTTTTATGCATGTACCTTTCAAACACAATTTAAACACAAATTGAAAAATATGCTACGAAATATCTTTAAAATATAAGACATTTTAAAGTGAAAATGTTGTGTTTTAATAAAATGATTACTTTTCTTCTTTTTTAAAGTCGTACATATTTATTTTTTTTGTTTGAGACAGTCAAATAATTTTGATCCTTTTTCAGGACGATTTATTACAATGAGTCTGAATGGCATATTACAAATTGAGTAAGTAATTATTTTCAAATACTTTATCATAAAAAAAGAAACCATTTCGACCATAAAGACCATCATTTCTTTAAAATTTAACAAACAATTTTAAAGTATATACCAAAATCTTTTACAATAAGCTCTAAAAACTTTAACGTCTGAACCTGAAAAGCAGCACGTCTACAATGGCATGTATTTCTTCTAACTAAATAAAAATATAACACTTTGAAATTCAAAAGATTGACTTAGATATTTTTGCTGATGCGATATGTAAAAAGCATGTATAAATATGACACACATGTACGGTACAACAGTGTTAATGTGAATTGAAATGTTTATTATCATTTTTATTATTTGCAATAGATTGTCATGGCTATTTTTGAAAATTTGAGTTTCGACAAGTCAAAATTGAACTTCATTATAAAATATAATTTCATTTTATTGATTTATTTAGATTTATGTTAGAGGAAAATTCTGATGATGAATATGTCCTAAGTGCTCGACTAAAAGTGTGTTTGGAAAGTGTATCTGAATGCAATCATGACATAGAAATATTTAATTATCAACGTATTAAGAAGAAGGAATGTGATTTCGGACAAAGATTTCATGTTGCGGGTAAGTACTTTGATATATATCATACATGGAATTAAAATGTATATTTTCAATTGTTGTTTTCGATGTATCTGACCTTTTTACTTTTTAATCTAATTGTACAATAATCTTAATGTATTAAACATGAACATTAGATTATTATAAGCGGATTATGTAGTAAATCAAAAAACAAAAGAATGTGTTAGGATTATAGTTTGAATCTTACATTTCTTTGTCATCCATTATGTTATTGTTACAAATGATTGATAAACACTATTCTTTTTTACTTTTAGATTTTTCGCTGAAGGACTGGATGACCAAAAATGGCATTGCATCACATGATTTAATGTCTGAAAAAGAAAGGGATTTTCTAATGAAGTATTTAGGTCTAGAGCTGTTCCTATTAAAAGACATATGCACCACAAAACAAAATCTTATTGAAGGTATTGTGAAGACCATCTTGGATTTTGAAAAAGTTAATGTATATTTTTACGCAGTAATAAAGACAATCCAGTAGCAGTATTTAGATAAAAAATAGTAATATTCAATTTAAATCATACATATTTAAAAACATAGCATTTACAAATATTGTAAGCAACTTGAAAATGTTTGAAACAACGTAATGTGTATCTAAAAATAGACGTTAAGTTTATTAAAGTTTGATTAACTTGCTCTGAAATGTTTAATATTTTCATCATTTTTACTATACTACAGTTTTTCATATTTAAACTTCATACAAATATAAATAAAAGACTAAACTTATCATTAGAATGTAAAGTTGAGAGAAATGTCGGTTAATTTTTTTATTTATTTTGTTATGTGAATTATTTTAGATTTAATATGGATTTTAACTGCAAAAAAGCTGAAAAAATATCATATATATTTAGTTTTACTCTTATATAATTCTCAGATGGTTTTGTCAATATACCCAATGGATTGAATGAAACATGTATAAGAACTAAAAATGGATACAGCTTCGATTGTTGCGTTTATTCCGAAGTATTGGATAGAAATTTATGGATGAATTTCACGTTCGATGCATGTAATTATCGCATGGAAGTGAACCTGGAAAACTTGCAACAAAGTTTTCATTTACTAAATTACGAATGGGGTAAGCACATTTTGTCAATTGCTCATAATATGTTAACAAAGTATACCTGATGAAGACTTTTGAGTCGAAACGTTGTATGTTTTTCAAGTAAAATAATTACATTTTTAAATTGAAACTGGAGTTGATTTCTATATTCAAACTTACATCATAATATGTAACTAAGGTAAATGCCTTAGCTAATAAGTAACATATTATAACAATTTTAATCAGTTTAGACTTAAATTATCTAAGGAACACAAAGACCAAAGAAAAAAGTTTATTCTGGCTCATAAAACGGTACATGTAGAATATATTTTGATTAACAATGGGAAGCAAAATTCATTTAACGCTGGTCCTGCAGCAAACACAGACATTTTTATATGTGTAAAATAATAAACAAGTAAAATGGTTTCCTTCGGTGAACATTTTAATGAAATAAAGATATTTCATTTTACTATTTTCAACATTATTTGGGGGGGGGGGATAAATAAACGTTTGTAACAGGAATATGGTTGACAATAATCGAACAATATAGAAGAAGGTCTTTGGAAACGGCATGTGACCGTTAAAGACCGGAGAAGGTCGAACATAAAACAATTATTTCTTTTTAAGAAAATGATTAAATAGGCCTACCATTTTATAAATAATTCCGAGCAAAAAATAAATAAAGTAAACACACAAGTTAACTCAGAAAATATCTCTATTTATTATGGCAGATGCCACTACGAATATTTTAATTTTGTAGATTTTCAGTAAAAACAATTTATTGTTTGTAAAATTTGAGATAGATATTAAAGAAACATTGATAATTTTCAAACACATCATTCAAGTTTTTCCACCTTAAACGGTAAAATAATTATAGAAAATTAGAAATATCACGTAAAAGATTTTCGTTCTCAATTAGGTATAATTCGGACTAATTCCCTACAGGTAAATCCGTAACGTACCGGCAAACGGTATTTAGCTGGGTTTTCGAAAAGTTCAGTTAACCAATCATATACGGTTTACAGATCACATGCTCCTCCATGTACCGAAAACAGGTCACGTGCTCCTCCATGCCTCAAAAGTTAAACGCGTACCAATACCCTGCGGTCTCCAGACCGCAGGGAATAATGTATCATTTTAGTTTCACATATGTTAGATATAAGAAATTGATGTCAACCTCAAAAAAGAAGTAAAATAGATTTATTTTTATTTCAATGTATAAGCTAATACAAATTATAATTTTGGTGATAATGATTTTGGTAATGGTTACTTTGCAGGGAAGATCCAAAAATTTACTACAAAAGGTGTCTGGTGCATAACGTAAGTACCATAATATTACAACATATGTTTTATGTCATTCATTACTCGAACAAGAATTTAATAAAAAAAACTCAACGTTACTTATTGTTTTTTGCCTTACATTTGCAGTACGTGTTATATGAATCTTAAATTAACATTTTCAACGAATTTTTTTAACTTTGCGTGCAACCGTTTAATATGATAAGATAATTCAACTGATTATGTTTTTACACAAGCTACAGTTTAAGTGATATTAACAATAAAGGTTGCATAAAATTTCACATCAAAGCTCCAAATATTTTGATGAAAATTACAGGTTCATGGTGACAAACGTTCAAACGGAAGGCGTGTTTTCTTTAGACCTCACATTACAACAATGTTTTGAGTCAGGATGCAACTCAGATATTAAAGTAGCAAACGATTTTAGAATACCTTATCCATCATGCGAAAACGTTACAAACAATGACACAAGCCAACTTTATTATGGTATTCTTTTTTCATTAAACAATGGTCTTAGTAATTATGAATAATCATAATAATCAAGATAATCATTTCAAAAATTATCTTTTTTTTCTGCATATATCGAAACTCCTTGTATTTTTCAATTCACATGAATCATCTTTTAAATTTGAAATCACTCTTCAGATATTAAATGTTGTAATGATTTGATTAAACACGATTCTCTTTTACAGGGATATCTTTTGATTTTTGGAAGCAACCTGGGTGCACGGCGGAAAATTTGTCATCTTCAATAGGTATAGCATAACAAATTAAGTCGTAAAAGTCTATACCCTAATTTAAAGATTTACTACATAGCTGTTTATATTTTTAACAGAGGTGAGATGCTACGGAAATATAGATATAGCTAATTAAAATTTAATGAATAAGCAATAAACCAAGCTTTTAGAAAGGTTTAAAAAATTGTTTTACTAGAAACATTTGTACAGGTATAAAAGATACGCGACCAATCAATATTATACAAATATTAAAAGCTTTTATTCTTTTGCCACATTCTTATTTACTTGTTTCCGAGTGTTTTGTTGGATTCATTGTTTATTCTTAAAATGCCTTTGGTCTGATTATACTAATTTGAATCTATCAGCACGTCACATCCATTCTTATTGAAACGATATGCATAGGATTTTTCAACGACATAAGTAAAATGAATATTGATGTATAAGATATGTGTGAGTAGTTTTCAAAGTGTCACTCAAATATATGTTTTGTTTACTTAAGATTCAGATACGTATACGAGTATATATCTACTGTAAATTTAAATAAATCGGATACATTAATGTTCATATTTGTTTCAGAATGTGATGCTCTACATGATGATTTGATTAAAGTATGTAAATGGGCAAACGAATGTAGAGGAATACAATGTTGTACAGAATTTTACTATAGTGAGGATAAACGAAATGCAGAAATTAATTTCTCGATAGACTGTGACAAGAAGCAGTTGAAATATAGTATCGAAAACAAAATGTGGATTAAACCGATAATCAACGGTACATACTTTTTCAAAAATGGAAAATATTATTTGAAACGTATCGCAAACATCCATTTTATATGTTTATTTTAATGAGTTATGTTGATAATGTGTTCATTTAGGCTATACAGGCTTGTTATGCTCCCCGAAGGGAGAAAATATAGTCTCCACTTTTTCAGTCCGTCCATTGAGTAAAAGTGCAGTGCAAATATGCTTGTCTCTGGGAGAAATTGCCTTTTGCTCATTTTTACACTTTGAACATTGTCCGGGAAATAACTCTAAAACAACAAGAGATATAAACGAGACATTTTGCAGGTAGATAGATGTATTTGAATAAATATGCAGTGCAAAAGAACCATAACCCGGCCTAAACTTATTTTATAGTTATTACCCTTTGTTTATTTTACACTTTGAACTTTGTCCGGGACATAACTCCGAAACGGCAACAGATATCAACAAGAAACTTAGTAGGTAGATAAATCTTCTTACGCTGAAGTGCAGTGCATAATAACTGTAATTCAACCTTGCCTTATATTGCAGTTATTGCCATTTTTTAATTTTACACCTTGAACTTTGTCCGGGAAATAACTATGAAACTACAAAAGATATCAAATATCAAAAAGAAACTACTTCTCTGTGTCAAAACGCCTATTCGGGTTCGACCGACTTTTGACAATTCTTTAGATAAAAAGTACTTTTTAAAAGGGTGCAGTTAACAAATGAATTGCACATTTTACTTTTTCTATTTCACTTAGACATGAATATTATACATGAGGATATAGCTGAGACAATTTTACTTGACGTTAATGTTTCCTATTCGGTTGAATCAAAGTATAAGGTGATGGCTGATATACGGGTGTGTACAGGTACACGTAATGCGAATGACTGTCAAATGAATTTCCGCATGTCACAAACGTTTCAATGCCAAACCAGTAGAAGAAGACGGCGGCGACGACGACGAAGTACTACAGATTTATCGTAATAACGGTTTTCGTATTTGCTTCCAATAATTGCAATTGATTTCGTTCATACAAAAATATAAGTATTTTCGAATGTTATTTTAATTAAATGACATTATAATGTCATTATATATCACTTTTTACAGAAATATGAATGTCTCATTAAATTAAATTAATTGTAAGAATTGGTTTGTTAGTCAAGTATATGACTTCTTTATTGATAGTTATAACTTTTTTTTCGTAATTGGACTTGTTGTTAATTAAACGTGAAATATGTTTAACTCGTATAGAATGTCTTATAACAAAATATAAATATTTTCTCATTAACTAGTAAGCTTATTAGAAAAATAATAGTTGCACTTGTTTTGTTATACGTTGAAATGTGTCCATAAAAACCTTAACATTTTATATCCGACACAATAGATACGTTTTGACATTGTTAACTTATCTTTACGTATTAAACATGAACATAACTATTGGTATTATTTTACCATAAAACTTTCAAGCAGTCAATCGCTGACAAATACAGAATAACACATTTACAGCAAAATAGTTATGATGTAATATACTAGTTTGAACAAAGTTTTTTGCATCGTTTCTAAGGTTAATGTTTTTAAAACGGTTTCCTAATAATTTGAATATTATATATACGAAATGATGCATTGCAGTTTATTTAAATGAAAAATATTATTATACTTCTTCTATAAGTAATCATTTGCATTTCATATGGAAGGCCAGATATGGATATCAAAGAGCTTGTTATCGAATTGATCAACCAAGGAGAATCTTATACCGAAATACATAAATTCATAGACAATGCTTTACAGTATCAGGTATATAAATTAAATATCGTTATCTGTATATACTTAACTTATATTGTTTATGAGTGTTTTTTTTTTTATTTTCCTACCGTTATTTAAAAATATGATTGCGATTTATGTATTGTTTTGTTCTTTTGTGTTTAGAAAGATTTAAAATCCCAATTTTGGCAATCTGAAGCATTGAGCGATTCCGACTCCAGTACTGGGTATTCAGTAGCTGTTAAAGCATTGGGGGATAACAATCCGCAAATAATAAAACATGGTGGTCCTAGAGGTTCAGTAAATCTACACATAGAAGGTGGTAAGTACATATAATGCGTTTTTGAATTGTTTCCTCCGTTAAAAATAATTTAGTGTAATTATATACATGTACATGTATGTTTTATAACTAAACCGAGAAATCATTTTTTTCTTGAGTACACAGTTTGACCTAACGGATTAAATTATTCGTGGTAAATGTGTTTAAGCTACAAAGTTCATTTTACTGAATGATAGCATTTACATTGTAAGGCATCTTTGATTAAAAAAAACAGTTTCGCAAAATGTAATAAAAAACCTAAGTATGTTATTGTCATAAAAGAAATACTTGTTTGCCATTTGACCTGTGAGTTTAAAGAACTCTTACAAAGATTGCCTGTCGCTCATATAGAATTATATAGGAATGAAATTTACCAAGGTAGGTTAATTTTTAGTGATACTATGTTTTATAGCTGAACAGATCTTTGAAATGACGGGATATGTAAATGACATTGTGCAAAGAGCTGACCAGTTGTTCGTGGTCGGGAAAGGCCTTTCAGAACAAGGAACAAGACTCCTTGCAGCACAACTCGCAAACATGGCTATCGGTGATATTGAAGCACTTCTAGAAAGTAACAACGTTAATCCAACGCAAATAAGAAAAGTTGTTGAGAACTTCATAGATTTAGCTATTGCATTGGTAAAACTTTTAATATTGTTTAACATACTGAAGCATTAATAGACATTTTTTTACAATGAATGCGATATTGCCTAAGATATGGAATTAACATTTCACGCATGCGCAATTTGGGAAAGGGAAAAAGGTGTAATTTCGAATACCAGCAGTAGAATTGAATTAAAACCTCTCTTGTACTTGTGTGTAAATTGGATGTTACTTCCTATAAAATATACTTTGTAAAGGTGTATGAAGGTTGGCTAAGGTCATAAAGCATTTTGAAAAGTATATCATCAAGTATCTTTTAATTAAAACAGCGGGTCTTGAGGATGAAAAAATAATTATATCACCTGTGAATCATATAATATTACATAGTCTGGCACTATACACTTGTTTTATATTGATGATTGCCATGCGTGTTTACAAGTGTCATACAGGTTAGCAAATGGCCAGTTGTTTTAACAGCTATAGTATAATTATACAATTTCGTTCATCCATGGCGTTCTTGTATTATAGTAACTTTGAATGGAATTATCTTGGAATAAAATATGTGAAGTGACCACAATGTAGCCTGCATTTACCAATAATTTTCTTTTTGACTGTGTCAAATAGCCTGATTCAAAAGATTAAGTGTAAAATATTTGGTAAACTGCTAAAACCTACGACATATATTCAAAACAGATATAAACTATATAATGTAAATGCATTAGTATATGACATTAATAGAATAATAATTAACTGGTGGTTAATGTTTCATATTTTTGGTAAACTTTATACTTATTCATGGGCCTAGATTACATGATTTTATAGATATACTTTGTATTTAAAAAAATTAAAGAACAATATAATAGACCTATTTTCTTGATAATAGATAAATTTCGATCGTAAAAACGATTACAGCGCTCAAAATGATTCTCGAGTCCAATGTGGTCTCAAGTGGGAATTCAAAAAGGAATTTTTCCTCCTACCCATATGTTTTATGTCAGAGTTCTTCTGCTGCTTATTTGTAAAAAGATGCTTTTTGATACAATTTGAGACTTCGTATTTTGCTGTCACACCTTTGTTATGAAGATGAACTACACTTTTGTACAAGGCTCTACGCAGATTGCGCATTCGCGAGAAACTATTTCTTACGGTTAGATTTGCATAGCGTCGTGAAAAGGTATATAGTCGATAAAACGCGCAAATTAATATACAATATACTCGAATTTCCTGAAATGGCATGCTTTATGAAAATCATGGACGAATTCAAATACATACATCTATTTAGAGGTGAAATGTGGTGTACTTTTTAAAATTAGATTACAATGCACTGCCATTTAAATTAATTGCATCCATTTAAAAAATATTTAAGAAGCATTGTCCGAAAATGTTATTACTGAAACTAAAAGCATTTTTAATTATTTTTTTGATATTTTTATAATTGTCTCCACAATAATTCAAAATTTTCTTGATTTTCTAGTATTCAGATACAGCAGAAAACCTCTACTCAGGCGATGAAGGCAATCCATTCAGTTCGTTTGAATTTTCACTCCGTGGAGACTATTCACTCCCGAGAAGAAATATTGAATTTTTCGACCCCATATCGTTTGAAATTACATTAGGAATCATAAACCCTATATTCAGTATGTTTTTATCAATTTACTTATATATGCATGCTTCCCTGATATGATACTATTGTAGATGTTTATTTGTCATTATTGTTTTTGTTTATTGAATATGTTATACTTGTTTGTTATGCGTTCTTTCGAACAAAGGGAGATTATGGTTTTGTAAATGTATGTATGTCGGTAAGTCAGTCGGTATGTAACTTCTTAACGTTCATTAACTAGAAAAGAATTTGACTCGCAGTCTCCCATGATGATTACCCTCATTTAGTAAATTACCCGTATTGGTTTTGGGCGAAGATTTGTTAAGGTCCATATCACAGTGACATTGAATGTGAAAACCATTTTCGCTCAATAACTTAAGAACCATTTGAACCTTCATAGGGTTATCACCCTTTTCATTTCATTTGGGCACAAATTCACAGTAGCTTTACATGTGAAAACCATTTTCATTATATAACTAGAGACCCATTTGACCATCAGTATTCAAATTTTATTGGATGATTACCCTGTTTAAGTAGAAGATAATTGTGTTTTAGTGTCATTGCGTTCAGTTCTAAGCCACTGTTATCTTGAATGTGAAAACCTGTTTTGCACAATATTTAAAGCAATACTGCTCAGTATCTTGAAAACCACTTGACCAATAGCTTTCAAACTTCATAGGATCTTACGGTCGGTTAGTGAAAAACGTTTTGTTCTTACAAAGAAATACTTGAAGACACTTACGGTCACTGTTGACTTAACTGTAAAACGACTTTTCCCAACTGACCCATAGCCTTCAACATAGGATGATCACCCTTATTGATTACAAAAGTCATTTAGTTGAATTTCAAGGTCACAGTGACCCTAGCTGTTTATTCTCAACAATTTAAGTATTGACAACAATTTAAATCACTGTTTGTAAGTTATGAATAAAACTCAAGTATAACATTATATCTTTTTTTAACAATTTGTGAATTAATAAGATATAATTGAATTTAAATGTAAAATTAAAATGAATATGAAAACTTTTCATATATTTTGACTTGTACGACTTTACCCCCAGCAGATCTATTCAAAAAGTGTCTTTAGTACGTTTGTTAGAAAATACTTTTAAATAATTGTAATCTTCTACGTGGATTTATACGTTGTCTTGTTTATGCCAATTTAATGACAACTATTGACATGCAAGAATTTTTTCTAAAAATCGTGTGTCGCCTTTTTGTATTATATAGATAAAGTAGCGTGATTTTACATTCTTGCGTGAAACATTGAATTCTTTAATCCTAGCAAGTGTCAAAATGCAAAAAAAAAAAACAATTAACCTTTTTTCTCGTGTATTTGTTTCGAGACTAGCTTTTACAGAAGAAGTGACTGTAAACAATCTCTTCCAAAGAGAATGTTTAATATCGTTACTTATCTATTAACAAGAGCTGCCAGCGTGCTTGGCTATTCTCAGTGCTTGATAGTAAAACAAGAGCCTGGATAATGTAGTAGTTTAAAAAGGGACAGAGTTCAGACAAAATTCGTTTAAGAGTTATGGGCCTTGGGTATTATCTTTTTAAATCATGCTCTCAAATTAGTGTGCAAAGTGGCAACTTATTCCCTTCAGTAGTTTTGGGAATGCAAACAGACATTGACGCCTGGGTGACCCTATTCCGAAAAGTTGACCTAAAAAGTTATTTGGTCGATGTTAATCTAAACAAGCGACATTTTGCTTCCTCAACCAGGACACCATAGAAACGTACGGAAAGATGTAGCAAACTTGATTGCGTAACTCGGGGGTAAAAAACAGTTTTTCAAGGTCACAGACGCTGTATATCTACTTGTCTTCAGGATAAAATAAACCATTAACCTGAGATTCCCTGACCCCCACCCATACACAGAAATCAATATCAATTGGTATTTTTATCATTCATTAAACATACGTTAAAAAATGAAAACAAATGATTTGTTTGTTCGAACAGCTCTAGAATATAAACAAGCTACCATCTAAAATTATACTTGATATAAGTATTACATAAATATGTGTTAAAATTTGAATCGTTTAATGAATTCTAAACTCCCGGCAGTAAATCATACCTTTTTATCTGCAAGCTTTGCCTGCTACATCGTCAAAGCCCTTAACATTAAGTTACGCATGCAAGTAGGGAAACTTACCAAATGTGTGGTCCAAATCATTACCCATATAACATTGATACAATTCATGTTCAGAGTCGGTTTCAACGTTGAACGAGTTTGATCCGACGTAACATTTTTAATAAATATGACTATTAAAGGCAACATTTTAACATGTTTGTAATGAACGAAAGTGATTTCTGTCCGACTGAAGTAAGTGCACGAAAATTCCAGGCAAATGTATTTTGTCTATATCTTACATTTCCTTAACCTTTTACCCCATGAGCATATTGCGAAAAATGGCCGTTTTCATTGAAAAGCCTCCTGTAACAAGTTCAAACTTCTATGAAACTATGAAAAATGCTTCAATACTGATGAAACTTGGCACAAATGTTGACTACACCATAGCCTCTGTAACAACATGCTCAATCGTAAATTTTCTGTTACCATGGCAACGGGGGGACGTCTCAAAATTGCCAAAAATCACTATTTTACATTGTTTTTTTTTTCCCATCACAACTGATTTCAAAGCGCTGCAACTTCTCAATGAATTGAGATAGAGTAAAAGGCTTTTCAGCGTCGGTAACTTGTACCCTAAGATCGACCTGAGGCCATTTTTAGCCTGTCACATGTCCAAAATTTTCTTGGCGATGAGGGGGACTCCGCCCCCCCCCCTTCAAACTGAAGGGGGCACATCCCCCTTCTGGCAACCCCCTGATGTAACATTTGGATGGAGGACGGCGCCGAAAAAGTGGTCACTTTTTTAACAACATTTCTCAAACGAAAACCAGTGTTTGGGGCCTAAATATGGCATTTTTCACTGTTTGAGGCCTGAAAGGGGGGGGGGGCAAAAAGCCGTCGAAACATGCTTATATAAGGGAAAAGGTTAAGTAAATATTTTCTATAGGTTTATATTTTCAACAGGATTACATACGTTCATTTTCAATAAATTTATGTGTTATTACATGTGTTTATTTATGTTTCTGTTCTTTACTCTTATTTATCGTATAAGTCAGATATAATTACTCTATTTTTCTTCAAAAGTGTCTTCTTACAGATGTGGAAAGACCATCACTCTCGTCAATTTGTTGGGTAGCCTAGCAAACGTCTTTTATGTTTACACTTTTGGAGAAAAGCCTGTACTATATCAATTACATACATTGCTGGCATTCACAGTTTAACTGTCAATCATATTTAATGTGATTTATCGATTGTTTTCTTGATTGCATAACAAACTAGCTTCAAAAACATATTAAAATTATACAAAATATAGGTGTGAAAAACCTTTATCACCTTTTTCACAGTTAAGTTTTCACTTATATTTCTTCCTAACCTGTGGGTTCGAATCCCGAGAGGGACTTTGGATTAACTCATGTGAGGAAGCTATACAGCTAGAATACGGGAAGTCGTTGTTTCTACTCAAGTGCCTGTTCGTGCAAAAATATACACCGAAGGGTACCTGGGGCTTTCGTCACCAGTAAACCTAAACTGTGTTGTTGTGACGTAATACCCAAACAAACAGTAGAACAAAACTTATCATTTATTTTGTGTTTCATCAGTTTGCAATTTAGCATGATAAAATGATTGATACGATGTTACTCATGTGTGCTTTTCAATACATTTTTTGATATTACACTAGAAATGACTATGATTGTTAAAATAAATAACTTTTTGTACAATTACTTGTGTACTTTTTTCTATTGAATCATTATATAATCAGTTTTTCAGTGATAACGGTAATACACTTTTACTACTCATTAAAGGTAAGAAGGATTGGGCATATGCGCCATATTGACATTTTTTGTAATTGTTGTTGTTTTCACGTTTTGAAAATCTGGATTTATAAATGTACCGTTAAAGAATGTTTTTGTCAGTTTCAAAATCATTGATATTTAAAGCATTTGGAGCTGGTGGATATTATGGTCTTGACCTGGGCTTGGAGGGTAAACTTATAGCACAAACAGCTGGACTGACTGTCGTTCCTTATGGGGGTTTAATATGTTGGGGAGAACTTTCTGTTGGCTACGTGTTGTTTGTTGGACTACGTTTAGAAGGACGCATTCTTGATCTACGATTTCCTGCACGCGCCGAAATAGGGTTCTCGAAATTTCCATTGGATGTAACGTAAGCATTTACATATTTTTTATTTTCAATACATCATTGGCGAAGAAATTCATTAAGATTTTGTACCCAATATCATTATGAATAAACGCACTAATTGTATATTCATTTGTGTGAAATAACTGTTATAACATCTCAACTAATTAAAGAGATGAAAGATATGATTAACAAAGATATGCCTTTATTCCATATACATTATCAATAATGAAACAAGTATCATAAACATTATTTTATCATTTAAAGATTGCAGATGGACCTAGAGTTGACACCAGTTTCATTGAAGCTGTCAGCAATTGTCACTCTTGACATAGACTTAGCATTTTTCAAATTTAAGAAGGTCCTTTTTAATGCGGATCTATGGCGCTATTCTACACCAACCATCAAAACAAATATGATTGATGTTTCGACAAAAGAGGAAGATGAATCGCCCCCGCAATTCTCAGCTGTTATTGAGAATAAACATGTACGTTAACTTTCTTGAAAACTTTTTTGTTTGAACGCAACTTTAAAAACTTTTAATAATAAATTTAATCAAATTAAAGATTGAGGAACTAGGCAACTTAAAATGCAATGTACAGAATTCGAAACACATTGCATTACTGTATAGATTTTTGACGATTTTACTAAAAATTGAACTGAAAGTGAAAATTTATCTTTTCTGTATGAAGAGCAATCTCAAATCGTTTGGAACAAGAGCTGTGTGTGACATCAGTCAAATAAAAAATCGAGATTACACTGAGCCGGCATTTGAGATATCAGTAGCAGCGGCTGATGACAAGAGTAATCTAAAGTTTTTCCTCGATGTTGGGACATTTCCAGCAGGAAACAACGTAAAGAACAACCTACAACTCGGTGGCCCTTCCTCAGTTTTAGCAACGGTATATTGTATTACTTATTTTTTATTGAATTTCTAAACATAATGTGCTGAAACTTGAATGAATGCTTAAATGACATATAATTTCGTAAACTGTAATTACATTGCATTTTCAAGGAAGTGATCAATCTTTTAATGTATAACAACCTTTGAATTTTAGTCCGTAGACGAATACCCATCAGGATCCCCTTTATATTTCACCGTCTATGCAGAAAATAGTGCTGGTTCAAGAGCAAAAGTTGCATGCATGCTACCTACTTATGACACAACAGAGCCTACTGCTAGAATAACACCTGGATTTTTGTCAACAAGTAACCCAAATGTTATTAAAGCGTCTATATTAGTACACGATGACACAGAATTAACAAAAGCGTTCATCGGTGTTGGGTATGGCAAAGGCATTTACGGAGATCAACTGATATCATGGACAGTGCGGGATTTAAATGAAAGAACGCCTCTATCATCAAGTAAGTATTCTGTTTTAAATTAAGTTTTTACGTATTTAGTTAAGCAAGTAACTAAACAAAACAACTAAAAACACTTTTATAACAACACTAATCATCGTTAATATTTTAAGAAAGTTAATGTATTGTTGAAAAATAGATGTTGTGCATGATTTTTATTGCAGGTACTACTGCTTTGTTCTCATTATAACGCACTTTTGGATCCTGAAAATCAATATAAAAATCCAAAATCCTATATAACTTTAAACACAACTTTATTTTAAGCACGATGGATGATGAATGATCAATAACAGTACATTTATAATAACATATGCAAATTATAAAATAATTGCATAAGAAGGTATTTAATTAAAGCTTATATTGTAATATTGATGGTATGCATTGAAAATATTGCAGACTAGGTTTGATTGAGCTTGTTCGCGGACTGTTCTTAAATTGCAAGTTACCGTATACGCCCGTAAGCAGTATTCAACATTTAACATAAAATGGTAAAGTTATGAAATTTGAAACGTTCGCAGATGTGTTTATATGGCGGGTATCATAGAACCTATAATATGACACGTTCAAGCTATTCCATGAAAGCAGCGTAAAATCCTCAAGGAAAAAAATGCGTGTGCCTTAAACGAGAAGTTAATGGGCAGAATTAAATAAAATTGATTTTTGAAAGGTGGTTAGCGGTTGTGAAGTCTGAATATCACAGATAAACTTTCAAAAAGTAAATTTAAAAGTGGGCAAATATCCTTATGTTGATTCAATTACTGCAAAATCATCATTATTATTCGTGGGGCACGAATTTTCGTGGTTTTCGTGAGTAGGTCCACGAATTTAAGATACGACGAATTGTCATCCCACCAAAAACTTAACCAAGTCTGTATCCTATATATTACAAACATGTGTCAGGGTCTTTTCCGGGCGGTTATTATGCCATGTAGGTGTACATATAATCAGGTTAGTGACAGATTATATTTATAAATAGTTTGTTTTCAATATTTAGGAAAAGTCGATTTTTCAATTTTCTGTCACGAATCTCCATCGCATATACACACCACAGGGACTACTTGATCGTTATAGGTTACTTGTTTGATTCGCCTAAGTCGAGTAAATATTAGAATCCAGGTCATTAATTGGCACCGATAAAAATTGCCAGTTTGCACCAATTAATTGCCCGTCTTATTGACTTATTAAAAAAGTTTTTTTTTTTTTTTTTTTTTTTTCTTTTCTTGTTGTTGTTTTTTTTAATACTTATATAGATAAGAACTATATCATCAGATGAATAATGTGCTTATTAAATCTTTATTGATTGATTCCCCCAATATTAACATCTTTATCTATAAATGTTACTGAATCTTCATTCTATTTTGAATTAAAACACAATTCATCAGCTGATAAAGTACTATCGGAAGTTTGTTTATAATATTGTATCTGTTTATATAGTATATCCCCATGTTGTATTACCATATACCCTGGGAATGAAATAAAGAGATATGATGGAGATGAGTTTTGAAAATGTGAGTAAAGTACACAAAACAATAAAACAAATCTCGATCGCTACAATAAATGACTGTTTCATTCTTTTGTAGCATATAAACAAGTTTGTAAATGATATAGTTTACATGAATTTTAATCTGTATTTGTGTGACTGCTAATCCGTAAACATCAAAGATACCGCCGACTTTGTTTTCTACACCGCTACATACTCGTGACATTACTCGGTAAACTTTTATTTGAGTTACGCCCAGAGGCAATGATTAAATTTAATGACCAGCGTTGCGTGATACGTAAAGATATGTACACTGGGTTAGAAAAAATATCCCTGTTTGTTTTACAAGAAAATAAATATCCACGAATTTAAGATCTAACAAAAATGCCTGTTTTGATAAAACCACGAAATTTCATGCCCATGAATACAAGTGATTTCACAGTATTAAAGTTAGGAAAACTAGAACAACCAAACTTTTAAAAAAGCAAAATAGAAATAACTACCACAAACACAACAATAATGTCGTATTGAACGATCTTCAAAGAAGTTTAGAAATTTGTCTCTGATTAAATGTACGGAGCGACTTGCTACGGCCTCCACACTACACAAACAACGCTAATGTGACGATAAAATAGAGTGAAAAAAGATGCACAAATGTAATAAGATGCACTGAAATTATTTGTTCACATCATTTTTGTGTACCCCTTTAGATTTGTTATAATACTTGGCAGACGTGCATATATGTTCTATATTCAGGTAGCGACCCCTTAGCGCAATTTTCTGATCTAGAAGATGGCAAATTTGTGTCCACGCCATTTATAAAACAAACAGAAGTACATACAGCTACTGCATGTGCACAACTGTGTTTGAATCATGACCACTGTACAAGTTTTAATTATGATTATGGTCCCGGTGCAATATGTGAGCTTCTCCGATCGATTCGCCATTATGATGATGTTTTAGCCCAGGTACATTTTAATAATAAGAAATAATGTCGTTTATGATACACTTTGCATCTCTATCAGTAATTTGATCTGCTGTATATGCTCTGCTTTAAATATTTATACAATACACTTTTAATTATATTGGTTTGACCTATAAAAGAGCTTAAAAATAACCACAAAGTAGCATTTTGTATTATGTTTGACAATGTAATGTAACGAATTTACGTACACGACGTTTTAAGTTGTATTTTAATAAAAATCGTTACTTGCTCGTTTTCCAGACCGGTTTGTTTTGTCATTTCGAGAGATTATCTACGGGACATTCGATTGAGGTCAATCATAAGAACCTAAATTTGCAGCATAACAGATTACATTTTGTTAATATAGATCTAACAAACGACCTAGGCTACAGATCTATCGTTCCAAGCTTTGGAATATTGACTGATTATACCTGTCCAGAGCCTGGTAAGAGTTTCAATTCATTTTCATTGACAAATCTCTTTGAAGAAAAGAAATATAAATCAAATGAAAAATATGCTGACAGTTTCAGTGTTACCTTACTCCTTTAGGCAAATTACGCAACGAGATATTTTGATTTTTTAAATTGTTTTGTCCGGGTCTTATGTCGTTTTGTTTTGATTTTCGCTCTCGTTTTAATTAATACTTACTATTGCAAATGGTTCATGTAATATTGTTTTGAATAAATTTAGACCGTTGTTTCAAGTATTTATGATTAAATTTACATGCACATAATGCTACTTTTAGATATCTATAATTATGGATTCGAACATGCCAAAATTGGCATTTTGTCAAAAAGTATCATATGTGATATTGTTTTTTTAGTCCTGAACAATCATTTCAGGTCCGATTGTTAACTCATATAAGGATTATCTAAAGACAGACGATTGTATAATTTTAATTCCCCCTGATCGTCCAGATCTCAAACGATTCTGCACGGGAATACATTCCAAAAGGCGAAATCATAGGTATATTGTTATTGTCATTTTTTTGCCTCAGAAGGGCGGTATATTAAAATTGCACCGTCCGTCTGTCTGTCTGTATATCTGTCCGTCCGTCTGTACTTGGCATAACTTAACTTGGCATAAATGTCTGCCACATCAAGACGATGTGTCGCGTCTAATTACTAGGCCCCTACCTCAAAGTTCAAGGTCACACTAGCTTTTTTTTTTAAGTTTCACATAATCGCAATTAGAGTTAATAGCTGCACACATTCGTGTCCGGACTGTAACTTTGTTATGCATTGAGGGATTTTAGAATGAATAGGCATATATGTCTACCACATCAAGACGATGTGTTGCGTCCTACCACAAAGGTCAAGGTCACACTTACATTTTGAAGTTTCACATTATCACAATTAAAGTTGATAGGTTCACACATGTGTGTCCGGACTGTAACTTTATCATGCATGGAGGGATTTTAAAATAACTAGGCATAAAGGTCTACCACATCAAGATGATGTGTCGCGTCCAAGAATCCCTACCTGTAACGTCAAGGTCACACTAGTACTTTGAAGTTTCACTTCATCACAGTAAGAGTATATAGGTTCACACATTTGTGTCCGGACTGTAACTTTGTTATGCATCGAAGAAATTAGAATAACTTGGCATAAATGTCTATCACATCAAGTCAATGTCTTGCGTTCCAGATATACCTACCTTAAAGGTTACGGTCACGCTACCATCTGAAGTTCACTTTATCACAATTGGAGTTTATAGGTATACACATTCGTACCCGGACTGTAACTTTGTCATGCATGGAAGGATTTTTAAATAACTAAGAATAAAAGTCTACCACATCAAGACGGTGTTGCGTCTAATAACCATATCCCTACCTCTAAGGCCAAGATCACACTTATAGTTTTAAGGTACTCATTTTCTCGAGAGATTTTGAAGATGCACATTCATGTCCGACCGGTAACTTTGTCATGCATAGAAGGATTATTAAATGATTTGGCACAGCAAGACGATGTTTCGATTGCTAAGGTACATGTCCGTTTGTCGGTCCGTTCGTCCCCACTTACATAACAATCATGTCCAGACTATAACTTTGTCATGCATCGGGGGATTTTGAAATTACTTGGCACAAATGTCTTCCAAATCAAGATGATATATTGTTTGTAAGACCCATGTTCCTACCTCCAAGATCAATGTCACTCTAATACTTTGAAAGTGCTCATAAAAAGAAATTGAAGGTACACATTATTGTCTAAACTGTAACATTGTCACGCATTGATTTTAAAATAACTTCCACACTAAGATGATGTGTCGCATCCAAGACCCCTGTCCCAAGGTGTTAAGTTTGCTGTAAATAGATCTTCATTTCACAAGAACAATATTAAGCAAGTCATTCTCTTTTCTTTTCATAATATCTGCATGCTTAAGAAACCTTTTCTTTCGCATTCGTCATTGCGTGACAGCTCTTGTTCTTGTTCATTTTCATAATTATAGTATCATTACTTTAAAATGTTGTTTTAAATCAAACTATTTAAGCGACTCCAAACATCATGAAATAGTAAATTAATAATTTTTGTTTAACTAACTAATGACGACTTGAATGATTTTGTCTACGTATCATCTAATTTTGACAAGTGTTAAGTTGCTGGACTAACGTGTTTAGACGTTAAGTAATTGCATAATATCAGGTTAACACATACTATTTGGGATTATCTGGATATGTGTATTTATCGCATTTCCATATACATAGGTTCGTGGATTTTTATAAACATTCCTTTACACGAGTAAAAATATGAAAACAAATGTCAACAAGGCAATTCGACGTTTACTGAACGTATATACCGACAACCCGGTCAGAACCAAGCAGGTCACCGGAAAATGTAACAGAAAAGGACATAAGGGAGTTGTAAGGATTATAGTTATAAATGATTATAATTAACAAAAGAACGGTTCCAAGGCAAAGTAAAAATGATATTGTTTTTATCAATAATATATTATTTTCTGTATGATATCAATAAAGAGGACAAACGTTTGCTTTGGTACAGACGGTTAAAGAAAACGAATAGTATTAAGATTATGTATATTTCTATCATTAGGGTCATAATTGATGGACAAGGTTCTAAAACCGTTTTCAATGGTGACAAGCAGATGCTAGACCTCAAATATACAAGAGCTAATAATTTCATAGCTGGTATGCATTTTTATCACAACATAGTGCACAACAAAAGTGTCACGAAGTATAAGTAGTTTATGTTTTAAAGATGATCATTTGAATGATGCCTGCTAATGAATTTTACAAATCAATATTTGTATCAATTTCAACATTAAAACGTGCGGAAAATAATTTGATTCTGATCGTTTTGTCTTATGCAATGTATTTAATTAAAGAGAAAACATACGGTTTCATTACAAGTAATGTGGTAAATGTAAACACTGTTGTAAATTTACTTTGTTAAAATAATAATATCAGAGGGTGGTGTGATATTACATGTACTTATATATATTAAATTAATAAGGGAGAAATGTTCAAAATCTGTTATTTTTTTCTAAGGAAACTGGGATGGAATAATGGATAACGAAACAGACATCAGAGCATATGCTTTTGCAGTTGGAAGACAAATTTGTGAAGATATTATTCATCCGCACCATGATCCACACAAGCACCTTATGCATGAATCACAGTGGACACACATGTCAGTAATCACTGCCTCAGACAACTACAATTCCTTCCCGCTTCCTTGTAAGGAATAATATATGCATATACTTTAATAAACTTTAATACTTTAACATTTTATATCACCTACCAGTCATGTGTATAACATGTGACGAAAGTAAATGTATATTGAGTTTATTCCATTAAAAGCACGTGATCACAGCGATGTTATGATATCGATGAAGAAAAGCATAACATATATATCAAATATGATGTCTTAGATGATTATTAGTACGTATTAAGATGCACTCGGTTTGTTAATATGAGACGTAATAAGATTATGCAATAAAATATGAAATAATAAAAGAATTTAAATTTAAGCAAGAAAAGTCAATTTTCTATAAAATGGCAATTTTATTTTTTTTTGCGTTCGAATGACATAAATAACGTACGTTTGCGCGTTTATGCAACACTTAATTCATATGCAAATTTGATATCTTTCAGCTGGAAAATATTATCTCACTGTGAGAGCAATAAACAAAGTTGAATATGGAGGACCTCTTGCGCTAACCGTGTGCCATAGTACACCGTATATTATTGATATTACATATCCAATTGTGTACGAAGTATTTGATATCAAGTATGACGAAGAAAATTACGTTTTAACCTTTGAGCATAACTCAACGTAAGTAAACATATTCTCTAATATTTTAATCAATGCTCTTTATCTTTACCTTACCGTGTACTTATAGAGTGCTATATTTGTACGCACGTTCGTACAAATTTTCTGTTTTTTACCGATTGGTGAAATTAATCAGTCTTATACAAACCTTACAATTTAGTCAGCCTCGAAAAAAAAATAAACAATGCGTCAAGATTAAAGAAATATAGGTTCAATATACAGGCAAAATTATTTTTCTGAATTTTCCATTCAATATCCTTTTTTGTCCTCAAAATAAATACACTAAGCTATCCAAGGTACAAAAATATTTCCTTATAAAGAAAGAAAAACGGATTCACCGTTGTTTATAACTTGACCCATTTTAATTTCGTGTAACATTCGTATATCTTTACGTTCAAAACCGCATCATATATTGTTTATATAGACAAACAGTCTTAGAATTTTAAACATTTAATTAATGACATGATTTGAATAAATAAGATCAATTTGATTTTTGTCATTCATTTGTCTATGGATCCCCTAATATATAATGGTGAATAGGTATCTGATTAAAATGTAAAAACGACTTCATGGTTACATTTACATAAAACACGTTTTTAAATGATTGACAAGAAAAAAAAGAGAAAGAAATACCGAATACGAATAGTTGGAAGTTTTATCACATAATACACTTTAATAGACTATCATAGCTGTCATATATGTTATTATGCTGCAGGCTTCCTATATACGTTATAATTATTGTTTCATTGCAAATTTCGATTATTTTTACTTATCAATCTTAGTGACGTAGAGTCAGATATTGAATCTGTGGATTATTGTATTGGTAACAACCCGAGGAATTGTGACTTGCTGTCATGGACACGGAAACCAACGTCACAATATATCAATGATACACATCACATTCCAAATGGCGTCCCTGCATGGATACGCATACGTATAACTAATAATGGTATGTAATGCATTTTCATTTGATGCAGTGTTTTTATTACAGAACCTTTTTCGTTTAGTAAATAGAAAAATATCAAACCAGTTGAAAGCGCATGTCGAAGTTTTACTGTTTAGCTCACCTATCACAAAGTGACAAGGTGAGCTTTTGTGATCACTTTTTAAACGGCAAGTCCTTATAAACCGATAAGCCAATTTCATCCAAAATTCACAGGAATGTCCTTTGGAAGTCACCTTTGAAAATTGTTCAAAGACTTTAATAACATGCAAATCTTAAAAACAACAAAGAGCTAGAGCTTATATATTTGGCATGAAACATCTTCTAGATAGTGTCTACCAAGTTTGTTCAAATAAAAGCTCTGGAGTCAAAATTGATTTTCCTTATATGCACGCATCTTAAAGAACTGTTGATTTCCCTGAGCAATAGCAACCAGTATTGTTTATACACATGCACTTTTTTAGCTACAAATATGAACTTTGTGGTATCAGTTTAAGATTTCGATTTTATATCTACTTTTGTTAATAATTTACAATATGACTTGTTTCTTGTCATGGATTTTTTTATATTCAGACGAGCGATTTCAGGGCTATCATGACCCTTTTGTTTTCTCATCTGAAGTAAGCATCATCACTATTTAAGGTATATGAAAATAGGCACACAAGGCATGTTTAGAAGCAGATATCATTTATGGGCGCATATTATAAAAGTACCACCAAATTATAATTTTGATAACCGTGTTCGCTTTTTTAATATCAGATGTAACAGTATTTATGCAAGTTTATATCATTAAATTTGTCTTGTTAAGATCGTTTTTTGTTTTCATTGCAGTTGAGTTACACACTATTGAAAGAGCTAATCAAGCTATCATAATAGACGCGACTCCACCAGTACTGGGAACTGTTTATGATGGCCCCTTATTCAAAGAAGATCTGCAATATACAAAATATTCCCAACAGGTAAAACACCATTACGATAAAACTATGTCATGTAATGTTTATCATCTAAACAAATAAAAATACGTGTATTACACAATATAAATATTAATATTTGAAATATGTCATTAATAAATATGAATTAGTACTAAAAGAATACGGATTTGCATAGAGCAGACACTGTTAAGAATGTTTACAGCAATATGCATTTTTCTAGTCTTTATAGCACAGATTTCAATTTAACATGTTTGAAAGTATACAAGATAAGCGTTATCTTTTGTAATGTGTTTTTTATCATCTTAGATATGCTTGAATTGGTTCAACTTTTACGACCCAGAGTCTGGAATTGCCTCATATGAAATTGGAGTTGGCACATCGGCAGGATTAACAGATGTAGTGGAATTGAAAAAACTCAAGCATACTGAACATAACTATTGTTTGACATTAGATGAGAACTCCACATTGATTCATAACAATGTTTATTATCCAATTGTGTGGGCGCATAATGGAGCTATTAATCAGAAAAATGTTTCTGGTGTATCAGACGGAGGTAGGTTCTCTCAAAAAAAATTCTTAACCACTGATTACCTTATTATCATTATTATCATGTTGTGCAATTTCAAACAAAAAAGGTTTGCTGTTATTTGAGTCTACTTTTTTAAAAGAGAGATTTCAAGTTCATGTAATGCAAGTTTGATAAAGTTTTCTACATATTTATAATAATATAAATATTACGAAACGGTTTTTATAAACATTTTTATCTGAAAAGACTTTGTTCTTGTTTTAAGTCCGTGTTGATCTAACAAAACCAGAAAGAGGGATCTCTGTTGACGGAAATTTTGCAAATTTCTCAGACATGCAGTACAGTTCCTCAAAGTCTACGGTTCAATGTCAATGGGACCATTTTTATGATCCAGAGTCAGGTATACGAGAATACGACGTGCAAGTAGAGAGGAAAAGGTAATATAGCGCCATCTTTTTGCATAAATATGAACAATTGCTGAATTGCTGATATCCAAATAGTAGCAGTAGTAGGTCCATAAAGGATTATAATCTTTAACAAAAGTTCTTTATTTCTTTGTTTCATTGTAAAAATGACAATTAAATTATGATTACATTAATCTGGGTCTTTTTATAGACAAGGAAATGACTGGACTATCATAAAAGAATGGACAAAATTTGCAAAAGCAGAGAGGACAGCTGAATGGCGAAATTTCCATCTTGCCCACAATGACAAGATAAAGTCATCAATTAAAGCTACTAACGGTGCATTAAATGACATTGACACTGAAAGTGATGGTTTCCTTATTGACTTAACTTCACCATTGCTTGGATATTTGAATGATGGACCAGACAACCAAAAAGACATACAGTATCAGGTGTGATATTTTTAAATGTTGCCCGAATTCGTACTAGATAGATAGATGGTTAACTCATTTATAATTTGATATCGTTTGTCAGACACTATAAACTGTCCAAATATTTAGGTCTACTGTTAACAAGAATGATTTAAATACCATGTGTAATAATATATCATGGGATTGTTAAAATCAATCACACAATAAAGTTAGTTATTCTTTGTTGCAAGAATTAAAAACTATTTTGATTAGGATTGATAGCTCATCATCAATTTTATACAAAAGATAATAATATCGAACGTTAAGTACATAAGTATGTAGAAAAGCGTAGCCAATTTACTTAGTGATATGTCTTTGAAAAATATTTGAACATTCAAGTAAAGCATAGGCTGAAGATCTTGTAAATTAGTCATTTTCCTGTTGATACATCATAAATGTATTCAAATTAAAAGCTACTGTTATAGAAGAAATAAAATTGTCTGAAGTAAATTTATCATTTATTATTTTAGGTCAACACTGCAGAGGTCTTTGTGAACTTCAACTTCCATGATCCTGAGTCTGGGCTTAAGCAATTACGATATCAGTTATATGAACAAAGTCATGGGATGACACATCAATTTTATCCTGGTATTACTTTGATATTAAGCATACAGATTATCCCTTTATTTGACTTAAATGTTATGACGTTCAATCAAATATAAACCATTTCAAGATAGTTTGATCATCAGACAGGCAGCTTTTATTAAATCAAAAATTAAGTTTCTCAATTTTGGTATAAGTTGTAGTTAGAGTTAGAAAGATTATTTTGTTTTTTAGGAACGAAAGGAGAATGGGTTGAAGTAAAAAGTGTCAATGTAACAGATCATATGGAAACTGGTTTGAAGCTAACTGTTGGTCATAAATATATCTCACGGCTGATAGTAATCAATGGAGCTGGTCTTATATCTACATATGAAACTAACGGATTTAAAGTTGAAAATACACCACCAATGGTAAAAATAATTTTAAATTTACGTCTTTAATTGCGTTAGGATTATTACGTGCTAATCATTTATTAAAGGATTTCAAATTTATTATTTTCATTATTTGTAATTGTGTTATTTTATTAAATGAATCAAATTTCTTCCTAAAGACGCAATTCTACCTACGGCAAATAAATATTTTGTTTAACAATTTTATAGTTTCGTGTATGTTGATGTAATGGTTTTATTGTTATATTTAGATATATTGGATACATGTCGGTGTATTGAGTGGTTTAGAACATTTGATAGATGGATATGTGTATCAATCAGATCATAATGGAATCAAAGTTTCCTGGTCAGCAAGTGACCCTGAAAGCGGAATAACAGCCATTCAGTACAGTGTTGGAACAGATAAAGGTAAAGCCATTTAAAGAAATTAAAATTAGACAAATGGTCATTACTTTTTTCTGACAAAAAAGTGTTAATTTACAACATACACGCGAACTTTGTAATTAAAGAATTGTGAAAACATTTCTTTTATGTGCAATGAACAATTGAGCAAGATATGTGTTAACACGTATTGTTCAATCGGCAAATATCAAATTAGCACGAAAAGTTCGGTGTTAATTGATGCTATTTTTTAAAAATGATGGCTTTAGTATCTAAGTAATATATTCCATTTTAAAGATTATTTACAAACTGATAAATAAACAGTTTAAATCAAGTTTTTTAAGAAATAAATATATATGTATTGGTTTTCGATCAGAATCCTATACCTGATGAAAAGGATTGAACTTTAGCCTTATTTTAAATATCCATTCTTATATGAAATTGCAGGTTTGTTTTAAATTTACATATCGTAAATCATTCATACATCATTACCGTTGAATAAATAAATTCATACACTATTTGTTTGTATATTTTAAACGACAAAATTTTAATTTTTAGGTGCGGGGGACATTTTATCATGGATTGTAAAAGAGACGAAGTCAGACAATGCATACATATCTTGTTCACTGAATGACACAGATACTGACAATTCAAATAAACCTATATATTACGTATCTCTGAAGGCGAGAAACGGGGCAGGCCTCTGGAGCCCCATTATACATTCGTCACCGATAACAGTTGTTCCTGAAGACGTAACAGGTGCTCAGGTTTATATTTCAAATTTAAAACAAGAATTATTTTCCTTACTTCGAAAAATAACAATTATAGAAGAAAATGTCCAATTTAACGACATAAATATTTTGCTTGATATTGTGAAATTAACACAAATGTTTTGTGGTAACAGTTGAAACATCACCTCCAAGAAACCCTGTTACACGAGGCATCATTTCCCCCTATCAAATGCTGTAATAATCCAAAGTATCAAAACAGAATTAAAATTAACTCTCGAAATGCTTCTTTTAATAGTGTTTAAGATCTGTCTTTAAAACGTTAAGTGCTTAAAAACTGCACTGATTAAGATTAAATCTTGAAACCATCCTTTTTAAGCCTTTTATGCATTAATTTGTTACACGAGCTAAATTCTTTAGTGGTCAACGATTATTCTCTCGGGCGTATAAAAAAGTTACCGGGGGCATAACACACTGGTTATATCAATTACTAATAAAGTGATATCATTATATTTTAATTATTATATTATTTTTTATCCATTAAATAATATAGCCTTTGTCATAATGAAAGTTTCCTTATTTTCTGTATTTGAATATTGCTTAAACTGATACTTAAACCAAGAATATAGCAACTAAACTTTTTGACATATTGAGACAATTTAAAGGTTCATAACTCACTTTTATATCTTTATAACAAAGAAGCTTCTGTACTTTACTCGTTCAACTTTTTCAAAAGGCATAGTGCATGACGGTCCATATGAACACCTTGAAAACGATATAGATTATCAAGCTGACACGCATACTCTTACCATTCAATTTTCTGGATTCGAGAGCAGTTTACATGGCATTCTTGAATATGATTGGGCTATTGGTACAACACCCGGTAGTGAGGATGTACAGCCATATCTAGAGCAGGGAATTATTCACAACGAAGAGGAAAACGTCGTCGGCAATGGTATATTGTTTTAATTGTAAACGTGTCCGAACAAATTACCATGGATTAAAAGTGTTGGTACAATGTATAAGCTGAAATACAGTTTTTAGTATAAAAAACAAACATACTCTCGGTAACTCAGTAAAGGTAAGTTTTAAGTTTTCAAAATACGTAATATTTATTCCAATTTATAGATGCTTAAATAAATAAACTCATATATATATATTGTGTTTTTAAAAGCTTTTGTAAATATCTTTTGTTTCTTTTCTGCAATATAAGGATTAACAAGTTCAGGATTTGCTCATACATCTGTTAATCTGGATCACGGGGTAGCTTACTTTTCAACAATAAGAGCTAAGACAAACAAAGGCAATATACTTCAAGCTACTACAGACGGTTTTGAAGTTGATACAACTCCACCGGAAATCATGTTTAATACGTAAGACATTTCTGCACTGTCTAACCAACACATAACTTAATGATCCGTTCTTCAGCGGTGGACTAATGCGTGCTTTCTATTTGAACTGTTTGCATGTTACATTTCAGTTATATGTAACTATTATGTATTGTTCTCCGGCTTATAAAACTGGTCTTCATGATATCGTACATGTACTGGCAAAGGATTTATTTATTTATTGACACATTCTTGCCCTCCCCATTTTATTGTGTTTTTCATCTCGGGTACTTTTTTTGTTTTCCCAGTAAAATTTCTTTGTCAAAGATTCGTTAATTTGTATTTGTATATAAAAAAAAACATTCAGTGATACAAGCATATAATGTATCGGATTTAAGCACTTTTAGACTGATGTTTTTATGTAAAACAATGCAAATTGTAATTCTTATTTTGCTTTTAAGTCATATAGAAGGCGTTGACGTGTGAATCATATTGGTTGTTTATTTATCTGTTACTTATTTTACATAAAATATCTTTTGACTGTCTTTAAAAAGACGTATTTCATGAAATAACTAAATTTATTATATAATCTATAAATAGCTTTGAAATGCCTTTCCCTGATTGGCTAACAAGCAACTTTTTGTAAAAAATAACAAGTCAATATCAGAGTATATTCACTGTTTATTTCCTAAAAATAGATTTTCAGAGTATATTCACCGGTTTTTCTTCTAAAAATAGATATTCTGGAAATCCCTTTACGACGCAAGACTTTGACATTACGTCATGCCAAGTTTGTTGTTATTATTCTGAAAAAAACGTTGAGTGGGGTGTACATAAGAGTCAAATTAGTATATTTTAGTTACCGTTTAACATTTTTAAGAACCATAGGGATCAGCATGCCAATGGAAAGGGCCAAATTATGGAAACAGTAGACAAGCTGAAAAATAATGATTTCTGTCGTATGCAATGGCAGATGTTATAAGCCATTTAAAAGCTATTTATAAATTATATAATAAAACAGATATGTACTTTTTAGCTGTTGAATATGATGTGATATGTACTGAAAAATAAATATTGACCTCGGCTATCGCCTCGGTCAATATTAATTTTTTCAGTACATATCACATCATATTCAACAGTTAAAAAGTCCATATTTGTATAATATTTCCGGCTTTTCGTTCAAATAATGTACATTGATTATATTAAATAGGTTGACAGGTTCCCCTTTGATCGAGCCTGACACTGTTATATATCAAAGGGATCAGTCTGTTCTCGAAGCATCATGGAATTTCACAGATACAGAAAATATAAAACAGGAAGATTATAACAACATTGAACTATCTTGGTTTTCCGTTGGATCCGTACCATATTTTGAAAATATTGTTAACAAAACATATCAAGATATTTTCCAAGGCAATGAAGGCAGTCTATCAGCTGAACAAGTCAAGCCTGCGCTTGCCGGTATGTATGATTTGATGTCAGGCTTAAACAAAACATATAATAGATTAATTATAAATTAGTTTAATTTATCAAATAACAAAAGGCAAAATTAATAAAAGCTATGAGTTGTTTGTAGCAAGTCTGTTTTTGGGTTTTTGTTGTTGTTGGTGGTGGGTTTTTTTGTTTGTTTCTTTTGTTCACTTTAAATTAATTTTCTAATCGTGTATTTGTATTCAAACATTGGCATGAAATGTCTGCATATATATTTTATAACACGTATGAAACCTACATAATACGGCTTATTATAGGTATTTCAAATATTGTTACTGTTGGAGTACAAAACAAAGCAGGTTTAGAACACATGGCAGTTTCAAAGCCAGTTATACAAGATAATACGGCACCAGATTCAGGAACGGTCGAATGTCAGAAATTTGTTCAAGTACGTGAATTTATCAATGTTGTAATTAAAAAGAAAGACAGTCTTTTCCTGTTTCAATAACTTTCAAATATAGTATATGTCTTAACAATAACGAGTAGTTTTAAGCAGAACAATATGATGAATTAAAAATGCACATATATCTATCAGAATAACAATGTTTAATTAATAATTTCGTCTTATCTTATATATTGCTTTTGACACTTGCGGATCATCGTCTTAAATAATGCAAAGGGACTCTGTGATAACTGACTTAAAAATTTATATAATATTTTGATATTTAATGTAGTCGATGTTTACTATTTATTTTCAATGAACACTATGAGATTCCCCGTTAAATGATGTTGACGGGCCTGCGCATCCAAAATCAGTACCTTACAATGTCATTTCATTTAAAGATATGCATAATGGCTCATGAATTATAACAAAGTATAATAAAACAAATGTTTTACGTTACAGAGTCACTCAGATATCAAATGTACTTGGAAAGGTTTCGTAGATAAAGAAAGTAAGATAGCAAAATACTATATTATATTTGGTTCGAGACAAGGATATGATGACCTAAGATCATCTGAGGAAATATCTGGTGATACAACAGAGTTTTCTGCAAAAGGTGAGAAACTGCTCCTTATTTGATTTATTGATATTATAGTTTCGGACATTAGTAGGAATTGTATTTGAGAGTTTAATGATTATTCTACCTATTTTAGATGTGAAAAAGGATCATACAGATATTTTATATGCGACTGTAGCTGCTGAAAATCATGTTGGACTATCAGTGAGTGCATATTCAGAATCCATTACAGTTGATAACACACCACCTTTACCCGGAATTGTTGTTGAATTATCTAGTGTTGCAAATATTGTTCCCAACGATGTCGCAAAAACTGTAGAATTAAACAGAAAAGCATGCTTGACGGAAGAAGGTGAATATGAATACTTTATTTTACGACTGTTTGCTTTAAATTTGAAGTATGATACTTATTATGACTTTAAAGTGTTTCTATTAAAGTTGTATATTACATTTTTCAATACTTCAAACTAAGTTGAAACATAATACAAATATTTCAATATGAAATCAAATGTAAGTGTTTCTAGTAACTCTTAACAAATACCTTAACAGAAAATGATTATTTTAACGTTTATGTTTTGATTGAGTAAATGTATTACTATCAATTAATTTCTGAAAATTATTTTAGAATGTTTAAATATTGATGCGGTTTGCACAGAAGCGCTCACATATCTTGGCGTGGCATGGACACATTTTATTGAAGATGAATCAGAAATAACTGAGTATGATTTATTTCCATTTTGAAATTTATAGAAATCTTTATTACAATTTATTCTAATGTGTGTGTGTGTGACTAACGAGATTGTACGTATTCCTAATGTTTTCCTTGTTCTTATGAGGAATTGAATGATCTATGCCTGACAATGTTAACTACGTGATACAAAGATTTTATTCTTTTAATAACAGTTCATTTCTCAAAGTTCTACCCCGATTGTTTCATAACTATGCCATGACCATGATTACCTGTAGAAATATGTTTTGATCAAGCTATGATACAGTTTAAATAATGCAATACATGTAGTTCTTATATTCTTATTTTTGAAGATATCATTTGGCAATTGGTTCATTACCAGGAGGAACAGACATATCTCCTTTCATTTCAATATCGACTGACTTGAATCATTACGTCGTCAAGCACTTAGATCTGAAAGGCCAGCGACAGGTAAATGTAGGATAGTCCAAAAAATGTGAAAGTGGAAAAAGTCATTAAAATAAAACAATTGAAAGTATATTAAAATAATTATTCATGATGCATTGCAAAGTTTAAAATACGTAAAATTTTACCATGACCTGCTTTCTTTTAGCTTATTATATAATACATATAATTATATACTCGTCTTTCATGCATGCTAATTTTACCAATCTCTCATTTATTGAAAACATGTTTCAATTATTTCAATTTTAGAATTTGCGAATTAATATCTACAAATATTGTTATTTTTGGGGTTTTATTCTACAGGTTTTTGCGACAGTCAAAGCTACAAATTTTGCCGGACTGACGACAACCTCTCATTCAAATGGAATATACATGTCGTATTTGAGTCAAGGCTTAGACCCTTTGACACATGTCGGAATTTATGATTCCAACCAATTGTTTGTTGGTGACGTGTAAGTTTTCTAAAGTTGTTTACAACTATTTATTTCTGTTCTGAAGCCAAAATAAACATTTTCCAGGAAAAATAATTTACTCACCGCGCCGAAAGTCCAACTTTAATGTGTGCGTGTACTGCACATCATTGTTCAACCTTATTATACGACTTTAGCTGCTGAAAGGGACGCGAGACATTAGCATTTTCAATCATCCTTTACCAACAACTGTATAAGGTCAGGCACTACTCACGTTGAAATTTAAAATGCATTCAGGAACCAAACTTGGTGCAAAAAAAGCATCTCTGGCAGTATTTTTAAAACCTTTGTAACTATTTAGAATATTAAAATCTATCTGATATATTATTTTGTTTACAGAGATTTTCAATCGGAAACAAAATCAATCGAGGCAAGATGGGACGTTTCGGGAGACCCTTGTCCTGTTGAGAAATATGAATGGTCTATTGAAGAAACAGATGGAACTGTTCTCCAAAACTTCATTGACATGTATAGTAAGTGTTATATTTTAGTGTGGTGTATTATCATTTGCCTGTAGATTAACAGTTGATTATCTATTTTCTTTTCTTGTATTGTAGTGTCACACTGTCAATAATAATGAATAGATTAAATATCAGAGAAGGTTTTGAGAAGAAGCAATATTAAAAGTAATATCCATTTCAGCTAGTGAATTTGGAAAAGCGGACCAACTTGAGCTAAAGGAAGGTAGAAGATACTACAGCCTTCTAAAGGTCAGGAACGTACTTGGATATGTTTATACTTTACGGTCTGATGGAGTTACAATCAATTCAAACCCTATGCTACCTGGGTTTGTTTATGATGGCGATATCACAGGTCATGATCTAAAGGTTTTGTCATCACGAACTATGGTCAGCGCAAATTGGGAAGGATTCGGCGAATTGCATCAGCCTGGAAGCATAAGTGAAATACTAACAGGTAAGCATTGAAGTAAACACAACCATAATAATCTGATATCAAATATTGCTTGCACTTTAACTGTGCATAACACATTTGATATACTTGATATCAAAATTAAAATAAAGATTTAGAAGAAACTAATCAGAGAACTAATCCTAGAATTAATTCCTTTTTAGAATTACATAATAAAGAAATTTCACTGAATCTAATTCATCTTACAAAAGATAATTAAGATATCATTTTACATACGGAATTGAAAGCTTAATATATTTATAATATCTTTTAAAGGCAACAAGGGTGTCGATGAAGAAACCAAAGCTGATCCGAATCAGGAAGTAGCATATTACGAGGTCGCTCTGGGAACAGACAGACGATTCGAAAAAACAAGAGATAATGTTGTTCCATTTCTGAACGTAGGCCTAAATACCTCGGTCACATTCAAGGACTTAGATCTCGAACCAGGTTTTGCTGTTTATTTTTTCACGGTTCGGCAAAGCATATTTGCGTGCAAATCGTTTTGCGTCGGCCAACATATTTTACCAATTCAAATTGATTTTCTAACTCGTTAGTTTTAAACGGATGGGGATTTGTTAAAACGGGTAAAAAATGAAATAAAATTTTGTGGAAAATTACAATATCCAATTTTTCCATCGTTTAAATATTTTTAACTTCTCCTTTTGATATTTGTGGTTTAGAATTTTCAATATCAAAATTTTGTGAAATTTAAATATGTTATACGGTAACAATTAAGTGAGGTGATAATTTGGAAAAGAAATGGTTTGTTGTCCTAACTTGTGTGACATCAACCCTTTAATTGCTTCTTTCCAAGTTATTTTAAATTATGGGGAAGTATACAAATTTAGAATTATGGCCTTTTACATTATTATAGAAAATAAGTCTAACTAATTAATTTCGATAAAACTTTGTGTATTATAAAGAGGATTTTTTTAATTATTTTTATTTAAACTGACTGGTCCAAAAAATTTCCTCATTGACGGCTTGACTTTGTCAGACCCCGAAGAATGGAATATCAGGGGGTTTTCTCCCAATGTTGTTATATGACTTTTGAAATCCAAATTTATTTGTGTTATTTGCTGTGTTATTACTTTGTCATCAATGAATGATCTCAAGTTGACAAATCCTTGGATGATTGCCAAAAAAGATTAAATGGTTCAAAGTATGTAAGTACTTAAAAGTTAATTTCATTACTATTGTACTTTCTTCTAATGATTTGTTTTTTTTTAAATATTTGCTTATGTGATTTTGGAAGATAGTGTTTTTAAAACTGCCCTGTTCTTAGAGCTTATTTTTATCAAAACTAAGACGTAATTTAAATAACTTTGCAATTGTACAAAATATGTAGATGAAATTGCTTTTTTCATCTTATCAAACTCGTACATCATATCAAATCTCATTCAATGGAAATTTCTGATTTTTTTCAGGCGGACGGAGGGAAAGCAACTCCAGGCGAAATAAACGAGACATTCAATGTTTACCAAGTTACATCAGTTGGTGTCAGTACATTTGTTAGAATAGATGGGCTTGATCTTGTCCAGAACTCAACGTACTTTTTGTGGATTATGGGTTTGTTAACTTTTACACGAATGTGGTGTCTAAAGTATACTTTATAAGGGTTTCATTAAATATTTCTTCTGCCAGCTACGATATCCTGGGTTTCTTATTCTAAAATCCGTGTCAATGTTTGTGTCCTGTTTTTACAAATTTTAAATTGAAATTGCAAATTTATCTAATTTTTATCATATGTATGTGCTTCATTTCCCAAGTTATCGCCAATAATGATGTGTGTTTTTCCCCGAATCCAATGTTTATAGGTGTTGACAAAGCTGGCGAATGTAACATGACTTACCATAGATTCACAGTTGATGTAACACAACCCCTGTCTGGAATGATTACAGCTGGCCCGTACTTTAACATGGTATATTTTTAAAAGTGTTGTTTACAATACATAATATCATTTAGAAAATTAAGACATTTGTATGTAAATGGGTAGTGAAAATATTTATTTTTTTAATTGTTATGGTCTTACAAATGCAATTTATGTACATTTAATTACTTATGCCTGTAATCAACTGCTTTTAATACTACATAAGAACGTTTTCCGATGTTTTTAAAGATATACATAGGTACGTTGTTCTACAATCTGTCTTAAGTTCAGATCTACCTATTTCTGTTATGTAGATCTGATTACGACCATATATGTTTTGTCTTCTTTAAAATTCGGATTTCCCGAGAAAGCTATTTTAGCCATGCAATAAAACCGGTTTTTACATGGGCATTTAAAAAGTATCAAAATACCGTTATCCGTGGAAGTTAAATAAATTGTTGATTTTTGTTAGAAAAAAAATGTTTTTGAAGTAATTTTAACCAATTAACTTGAAATAATAGAGTCAATTTTTAAATTGGCTAGATTGTTTTGCCAGTTTGCCTGTCGGGTTTATGGACAACGGCAATATTGTTCTCGAAATCGTGACATTTTCCTACTCAGTATTGGTTTTCCAAGGCTTAAAATTAGAAACCGCATCGCTTTATGTGAAATATCACCAGAAATAACTTCGTTATAGTCACTGTTTGATCTAATAGCGGAGCTGTTATTAATTTTTAAGTACTAATTTTAAATCAGATTGGCTTGTCCTACATTATAGTTTTTTTTTTCCAAAAAGATATTTTCTGGTGTTTTCATTTAGATGTTGGCTTACACCACAAAAACAACTGAAATTCATGTAAAATGGGACGGATTTGAAGACTACGAGTCCGGCATTGATGTATTTAATCTCACTCTCTGGGAGAGCGGAACATGTTCAGAAGACGGGAATAAAAAGTTGATCTCAAAAGTTGAGATCTTAGGAAATTATACGGATTATTCATTTACCAATCTCAGCATTATAGTATGTTTATCCTAAAAAATTAAAGTAATATAGTTATGAAATGATAACTGATTTATTCTATTACGGTAATGAAAAATATGTAACTATTCAAAACACAATTAGTCTTGAAATATGTATTCAAAACACAATAAGTCTAAACATATTTCATTTAAAATGTGCATGTAGAAAACTTTCTTAATAATAAAGAAAATAATTGGAGCGTCTGTTGCGACTGCTTTTGGTAGTCCTCTTATCTAACAAAATATATTCTTACATATTATCCAAATTCAATTTAAGCTTTTAATATATATTTAAAGAATCATTGCTTGAAATCGCATATATAGAAAAATATAACATTCTATGAATATGCTATAAAGGGGGTGTCGGTAGGCTATTGCAATATTAGATTTTATCTTTTTATGATTGTACAGTCCAATTATCAACATTTCTAATTTTTAAACAATTAATTGGAATTGATATTTGAATTTGCAGCCTTCTAATGTGTACAGTGTACGAATAGAAGCCTACAATCGAGCAAAATTGAAAACAATGGCAGAAACATCTCGTATTGTTTTTGATGATTCAATACCAGCAGCAGGATTTGTCAGTGAAGGTTCAGTCTTCACGGACGACATTGTGTGGTGGGGTTTCTTAGATCATATTGACGGTAAGGTTTTCAAGTAAAGCTGGTATTTTAATACTCATTTAAGAAGATGTATAAATATTTGCCAACTTACCAATTGTAAGTGTAAAAATTATAATTATAAATTTTGAAATCTTTGTATGTTTCAACATATGATATTAAAAGAAGATCAGAAAATAGAAAACAAATCATTATTTTTACAGGTACGTTTTTACACAGCCCTGTTATTCTCGATGATATTTGCCCTTTAAGACATATTTCAATGACTGATGATAATTGGAAACCAATGGAAATTAAACGATTGAATGATCCAGATGCAATCAACTGGAATATAGAGCATCGATTAGAAAATATTCATCTTAATTCATATGATAATGAGGTCAGCATCAAGATATATAGAGATTCGAAGGAAGATCGGATTTATTCTGCGGCCTACATGCGGTACTCCGATATGAAAAATGGCGGAAGCTATCAGGCGAGTTAATGTGTTGATGTCATTTTTATCATACTAACACTTAATCACGCTAATTAAATAAACATGCCAAATTTTCGATCAATACATAACACGTATGTCACACTAAATAACAAACAATACAGTTCATGACCGTCAAACTGATCTTGGTCTGCACTGGTCGGAGAGCGACCAGTTGCCACCAGCGAGCATTTACATTTCAATAGAAAAGTACCTTAAGATTAATCATTGAAGTATTTCATTGCTGCACAATAAGTTTAAATTTGTCTTAAAGTTTTAAATATAGCATAAAAATGGTACTATATGAATGGAAAGGACTAAACATTTCAGATCTCTATTCGGGCTGCAGATGGGAATGGAATAGCGGTAACTGGTGTCACATTTTGGGACGGAGAGAAAGGGGATCTTCATATATTCAATCATCAAGCTAGAATTTGGCATGATATTGGCTTGTGTAGTTGTTGTCTTGAAACTAACATAGTAAGTTAGGTCATAAATTTTATCATTGTATTATAATGAAAACAGTGTTGCTAATAAAGATTTTAATACCTACTTTAAAGTACCATGTTTATAGATAATTTACAATAAATAAACAAAAAAAACATAATTTTTGTTCAAGGCATCTAGAAAAGACTCATTCATTAGGAATATATGTTTATATTCGATCTAGGCGGTTTAATTACTTTATTATTAGAAATAAATACCACACCGGTTTCCCAGAAACTTACTTTCACAGAAAACTGTTTTCTGCTATTTACAAACATGTTGTCACTTGATCATTTGTAAGTCAATATTCAAATTCAAAAATCATAGTTTTCTATTTCAAATTTCGGTATGCATACGCAATTCATACTAGTCTTATTAAGACTAGTCAATGTTGTTTTATAGACATTTGGCTTTCAAAGCACTTATTTAAAAAAAAATAATATTTGAAATGAGCGTTGGTCCATTGCTTCTAACATCGAAATGATTAATGCTATGACTATTACAAGTGAAGATTAAGATCACGGTTAGGAATACATGTCAATTTTAGCATTAGTTACAGTAATGGATATCATTTAACTTAAGCATTAAAATACAGTAAGGGATATCAATCAACTTTTTCATCAACTTACAGTAAGTATAGCATATCAGTCAACTTTAGCAGTGCATGTCATTCAACTTGACTTTTGCACGAAATAACAGTTGGGCATACCAGTCAACTTATAATAATCATTAAATTACAGTAGGTGATATCATTCAATTTAAGCTTTAAATTACAGTAAGGAATATCATTATTCGTTAGCATTGACTTAAAGTAAAACAGACCATTCAAGTTTAGCACAAAATCATATTTAGGCATACTATTAAAGATTTGCAAAGCACTACTTTTCCTTGAAAATCAATGAAAAAAGATACTCTTGTTAGTTTTAAAATGCGGTGCACATTACCTTAAAGCATTTTTTGCAATACTAATCAGTCTTATTTTGATATAGTGAAATGTTTACCATTTTTGTGATACGTGATGTTTATTTATTATTTTGCAGACAGAATGTCTTTGCAATTGTACCGAATACCTACATGATTTGGAAAAGAATAATGGTACGATAAATGAAAACGAAACAGTATTTAATTCGACGAAATACGATTTTGAAGGATTCGAAACTGTTTCTCAACATTCTTGTGGGCTTCAGATATATGCAGGTTACTTTGCTTTTTATATGCGTTAAATTGATATTTGATAGATTTTATCAAAAAAAATTACAACATAAGATTTTCGAATATTAATATTTCAAATTTCATTAGGAAAATCTTATTTGTTTACAATACATGTTTCAATACATTTTTCCCACCAAGTATCTATTTTTGTACTACAAATGTTTAGATGAAAATAAACCTAACAAACATAAGTATTAACAGACATAAGTATTGTATGTATGTAAAGAGAAAAAATAGCTTATATTTGCAGGGAATGTATTCATGGATTGTTGTTTTAAACCATAAATATTATAAAACATTACTTCTATACCTTGTCATCCTACCAGGTGCCGATCCATATACGGTGACGTGGTGTAGGTTTTTCAATAACACAGGTGAACGCATGTCTGTTACAACTGAATTGAACTTTGATCCGTCTGTCGATTTTCATCGATACAAAATAGATTTTCTTGAAATGAAAGACGATCTTTTGGTATTATAATTATAATTCTTTCTTTTTTATTCAAAAATTCAATGCTTCCATCTTATTTATCATCTTTTGTCTATCAATATCACTTTTGTAATTTCATATTAATCTTTTGTGCTTATAAACTCCAATTATAAATCAAATCACATATTTATCTAGTTTTTCTTATACGTTAGCAAAGGAATGTAAAATAAAAGAAACATAACTAGAAAAAAGAACAGTTATCACACGTTAAGTAAAAAAGCTTATTTCACAAGTCTTTGCACGTAATATCTTAACATTTGACTCCAAACATTCGTTTAATGGCATTTTCCTTACATTCATTTTCTTGTTTTTGATTTTTTTTCCCTTGTTTATGATTATTCATAGAAATAGTTTGTGCCTATCAATACTAGCTTCAAGTAATAAATGCAAATTAAAAAATGTTTCATATTTAATTTCAGATAACAACATGTATGAATGTGTTTATTGATGGTGACCAGGTATCGGAATTATGTGGTATCCCACATCTAAGCATTCGGACCAATCTTATTCTTCACGTTTGGAATAAAGATAATATGGTTCCTGTATTAGATGTCTTTAACCTCTGGCAAACAAGAGCAGCTTTCAGAGATCTGATAATGCCACCGGAAGTGAACGCTTTATGTCGCTATGGTGATCCTTTTCAAGGCGGAACAAATGCCATAGTCCAATACGAAGCTGGTGTAGGAACTTTACCGGGTTCTGTCGATATAGTTCCCTTTCAGAAGGTTTTATGAATTATTACAAACCTCTGAATTTAAAAGCATAATAAGTTTCAAGCAAATATATCTTCAAATTGTGTGACTAAAATATATTTTTGGAATATATTATTATGATATCAAACTTCCAGGTCATCATCTATTTTATATACAGATCTGCATGTGCATTTGTCTTATTTGTTAGTGTTCTATACAGAAAAACAAAAAACCAGTTAGTACCTTATATTCTTTTAAATTATATTTAATAAATACAGGACAATACATTTATTTAAAATTTAAATATGACATGACCACAATTGTTTTAAAAGTTATAGAAATTTCACGTATACATGTAAATTCATTTAAACAGTTTGAAAAAAAGCCATTTGCAATGAAATATTTTAACTAGTCCTGGCTCCAAATGAGTTGATATATGAAGATTTGTTCTGTGAAATTTCAATTGGTTCGGGATCTCTTTGTCAGGTGTACAAGCCATGCATACCGTGCACAGATGATTGCTCTAGATTTGTATGTGACACTAATTGCAAATTTGATGGCTATACATTGACCCATTTTACTATCAAAGACACCGCCTTCAATGCTTCATACGATGGACAGTTTTACATTTCAGGTAAACTTATTTTGAACATTGTACATAATTGATAGCTTATGTGACTGATATTTTTGTTTTTACGTCAGTTTTTTTCCATTTTGCATGATATTTAGATATGATTTGAAGAAATGTCCGGTTCATTAGTTATGTCTTCATGCATAAATTCAAAGACAGCAGCTAGTTTGTTTTAGATCTTTTTGTGTATTACTATGTAAACATAAAATCAGTTTATACACAATTTTTTTCTAAACGTCTATTTAAATGTGTATAAGTTTAATGTTTTAATCCTGGTATTTTAGTTAACCCCAAAAGTGATAGCGCTTAAATAATCAAAATGTGGTTCGTACCTTTTATTCAAAAGATCGTCTTGCAAAACAGATATAGTTACAGTAAAAGCTACTATTTTAACACCATCTTATTTTATATGTTTTATATCTCATATTTTAGTGAAGGCTGTTCTGGGATCCGGTAATGAAATTGTTTCGTCATCAAATGGATTCTATATTGACCTTACTCCACCTGAATTCGACGAGGAAGTAATGATGTATATAGATGTTCGGCAAGGAGAGTTTACGCCATCTGACTTTCAAGGATCAAACAATACAATAAAAGCAATCTGGTTGTGCAATGACGACAAAAATGAAATAAAGGTATTATGACAATGAAGAGTCAGTGTTTTGAGTTAAATAGAACTTATCATAATATCAATCTATAAGGTGTGTTTACAAAAGAATTATACACATGTTTTACAGTTTACATTAATTTTTTTGTGCTTTTTTGTTGTGTTCAATGTTCGTGTTTGTGTACAATTTGTTAAGCAGCAGACAAATTGTTCTTTTTTTTTTTCGATAAATCAAGAACATGTATATGAGTTTAAATTTCCTTCTTAACTTGCAAAATCATTTTTTATGACTAGGAATATGAGTGGGCTATCGGGTCAAACATCGGTTTTCAGGACCTTCAGCCGTTTACATCAACGGGAATATATTCAACCGGAATCAACGATACGCTTGAAGGTCTGTTAGAACACAACACAACTTACTACGTCAGTATCAAATGTACAAATATGGCAGGATTAACAACCTCATGGAATGATAGTAAAGGTATATCCATTATGTTTATACAGAATATATTTATTTTATCTTGATTGTGTTGGTAGCTATAAGTTTATAGACGTATTTTCAGTCCGTTCCTAAAACCATTCAGTACTGAGAAATGAGTGTGAAGATTCTTGATCAATGAAACAACGGCCTTTCCCTGATTGGGTTTAAACTTACGAAGCTACTGATTGTCAGATTACTAGTCCACGTGTTAAACTGAAGGCTATGCCGCCATTTCCATTTAAATATAACATTATGATGACACTTGTGTTGCAAATGAAAAAAGTGCATTGCTATTGTGCAATCTATGCACTGAACCATTGAACAAAATGCTCAGAATGAAATCATTTTGCAAAGTCAATAGAAGAGGGGTAAGTAATATTGTCAATTGCTCAAAAAATAGATAAATACAGAATCCCTAAAGAAAGCCCAACACGGCAAAATTGAAAATGTTGCAGGCTCGGTTTGATTGAGCCTGTTCATGGACGGTACTGGAAAGTGCAAGTTACCGTCCACGCCCCCTTGCACCGGCTTAAGCAGAATTCAACATTCAAGACAAGTTTGTTGATAACTACGGCATAACAATCATCTGATACACAATCGTTCCGATATAGGGAATTTTGAAAAAAACAAGATGTATAAGGTTAGGCTTTGAAATCATTTGAACAATAATTTCATTTAAACACACGTTATTCTAATCCAATACCTTTAATTACAGGTATAACAGTGCTTCTTGTTCCTCCCGATGCTGACATCGTTGATGCCGAAGCATTTGATGCTGAAAAGTTTGATGAACAGGTTTACCCTCCTACAGCAGTAAAATCTGAAGATCCAACTACCTGTGGGGAATCATGGACAGTCAGTACTGATCCAAATATAAGACGATATGGTAAACATTTTACGCTCGTATTTGGAAAGCATATGATTAATTTCCGAAAAGACTAATGTGAATTAATTATACTGTCAACGATTATTTTGACGACTAAAAATACTACACTTGATTGCTATGAATGTGAAAATTATTATGGAAATAGTGTTTAATATATTTAAATTAATGGAAAAATGGGCTCATGCCCCCGATTTAGATGTTATGTACGTGTCGAGAAAAAAACAATTTCATTAAAGAAAATTATCCTCTGATCACGCTCAAAATTCATTTTTTAGTTCTACCCATTATTTTGCTTTCTTTTACTTGAGGACCGTCTGTGGATGTTTTTAAATTCATTTTTTTGTGTTTAAATTTTAATTTTGCTTAAGCTGGTGCTTGGGGCGTGGACGATAACTTTCACTTTACAGTACCGCCCACGAGCAGGCTCAATCAAACCGAGTATGCAATAGTTTCATTGTTGTTGTTTTTGGCGTTCGTTCTTCAAGGATTCCGTTTTTCTCTATTTTATCGAATGATAACGATAGCAATTGTAATGCAGGGCGCATTTTGAAGCATTTAATTTCTTAATATTAAAATGTTTATTTTGAATATTGCAGACTTTTGTGTCGGAAGCTCCCTTGAAAACATAGATGATGTAGTACCGTGTGTTTGGGTTGGATACAACACATCGGGGATTGTTGAAATCAAACATGGTTATATTTATATTGATAACACACCATATCATAAGCTGTCTGAGCTCCGTGCTCTTAGCGAAGGCAATTACAATTTTGACACGGCTAATGAAGACGACAACACATTTCAAATGGAGAGCGGTAGAACTTTGTTTCTTTTTATGCGGTTATGTAACAAAGCTGAATTATGCACTGATAAATTTGTGAACTCTCTTCTTATAACGAATGAGAAAGCAGTTTTGTTCAGAAGTGAAACTGGAAAGAGGAACACTTTTCAGTTAAAAGATAAACAGACTGACAGAAGGAAAAGAAGTGTGACCGCACTCAGTATAGAAATGCCTAATGGTAAGTTATATCATCATATTAATATGTTTTATTTGCAAAAGCGCTTTAATATTTACAAGTTATATGTTCCTAAATCGCATGATTACTTTTGAAGGAAATGAAAATCTTACAAAGATTAATAGAGGCAATTTAAATGGAAACATATGTTAATGATAATATCAAAATATAGTCAGAATTAATTTGAAAATCGATATAAAGTGCAATTCATTGTGAGCATTGGGTAAAAAGCGATTAAAATGCTTTGTAATTGAATATCTTTTGGCACAATGAAATGATTATTCTGAAAACGGAGTGAAATGAGCAAATGATCGTATCTTATAATTTCAAAACAAGTTATTGTTGTAGGCCATTATCAAATGGTGTAAAATCTCGAAAGTATATTTTAAGTCCCGTCTTGTCAGAAAATCTCAATAGAGTCATTCTTCAATTTTGTAACTCACATGTAAATAATGCGCGCGCAAAATTAAATATTTGTTTGCCTTTAAAAAAATTTTGTTATGTGTATTTTTGTTTTCATGGTTTTAATATACATGTATAAGGCAAAATGAAAGGTTTCATAGAACTTATTTAAGCCTTGTATGATCATAGAGTTAGCTGCGCTTGAATTTGGATAGAAATTCAAATACAACTGAAGATTATTGAACAACGAAATTTGCGAAAATTCTTCGAAAAACTATTTTCAGGCTCCATAATTGCTTTTTATGAATACAATACGATATATGACGTACAGTTCTTAAAACGTGATACTAATTTTATATCATCTTTTGAATTCAATTCAAGGAACGGTAGAGGGTCAAAGTATTGTTTACAATGAGCTCGCTGAAGAGAACATGACAGCACGCTATGATTCTGTAGCATCAACTTTATTCAAACCTTATATTGTGAATCCTGAAACAACGTTTAACATGACGGAAAGATTGCTGTACCGGCGGTAACTTATTGTTATATTGATAAATTTACATTAATTAAGATAATTTCAAATTAGTATTTGATGTTGGGTTATCAGAATTGATTACATTAGGAAGTAATACTAGTTTCTATTCAGAATTGTTTTCAAGGGATAATGGATTTATTTCTCTAAATGATTTGGACAAATTAATTATAGACCGATTCTTCTTTCTGTGAACATCCGAAGACTATTGTTCAAAAGAAAATTAACAACTCAGCGTAATATAATTGTTTTGAATCAATGAAGTTGTTATAATGCCAGTCGACTTACATTTTCAATAAATCGTTTCAGACTATATTCATTTAATTTCGCTTTCACGTTGAGTCCTGTAGGACAGGCGCCCCTTCCTGGACCATTAAAACTAAACTATCCAATCACAAATGGTTCTAGCAGTGAAAATGGCACAATGACTATGGTGATACACTGGAATCCAGGTAACATTTCATGTAAAAATTTGAACTCTAAAAGCCCATCGTCTATCATCTCTTTTTATAATCTTTCTTATCAATTTTTTTTCTGTATACATCACTTCTATGGTTTCGGAATATCAATTAAGCATATATTTAGTTTTATGCCTTTAACCAAACATTTCATCATTTATTATATATGTACCTCAATGGACATACAACAAAAACATTGCTTTGATGATGTTAAACATTCTTTTTTGTTTTTTACTGCAGACAAGCAACAATGGCAGACAACAAATAGAACATGCGATTGGGAAAATATTACATTCAATCAAGAATACATTGACGGCGCAACATTCATTTTGGTAATTATATAAAAGTTTATGACCATTATTTAGTAATTCTTTGTTATTATATTTGATGGGTGCCGTTTGACAAAGTTAAAAATTTTACAAATTGTCAAACGAAGTAAATGAAAAAATAAACAGTTCTGAAATACTTGTGTCCTTTAAAAAAATTAATTTCGCAAAGTGCTAACATGCCTTGCTTATGATTTGTCTTTAAAATAGTTGTTCACATGTTCTATTGCCTAGTTTAAACAGTTGTTTATTTGAAAAGTCAAAACTGCAAGACGAGGTTTGTATTGCAAATGACCGTTATTTAACGGCATTATGCTTTATCAAATTTGAATACAGTACCAAAGATACCGTTGATCAACATGACAAGAAATTCATACAGCAACCACGTATATGTCACATAAACGCATTGATTGTTCAACGGAAATCATCAATAGCAGTTTTAATGAATCTCGTAAATATCCTAAGCTTTTTTCAGTCGACCGTCTTTATCCCATACGTAGGTATACATCTTGCCTAACAGCATGTTAATCATGGATTCATAAAGCATTCATTTTTTCGATTCTAATTATCACTAATGACAGAATATTTTATATTTTAATAATTGTTATATTTTAGTCCGGCTATATAAGAGAGCAATTGTTCCTAGAAATTTAATTATTTACGCAAATAATAACATTTGCATATCTGTAAGGAAAATTGATGAAATAAAAATATGTGCTGTATATCATTTTACCATATTAATGTTTCAAAATCTAAGCGTTAAACTAAGTAAGTATACTAAATTTGTGTTTCGTTTATTTTAATTTCAATGTAGACACGACATTAAAGTAAATTATTTTGTCATTTTAGATATGCGATACTCGCCTATCAGCAGAGTCAATAAAGGCAAACCAAACTTATTTTAGCAAGGAGACACAATTTGCCTTAGCAACTGTTGCAATAAACCTCATCAACAGTGCACCGGTTTTCGTAGAAACAATTATCCGAATGGACGAAAACTCTGGTAACAATATTTTGTTTCAATACATCTATGCTTAAAGTATGTGCTTTAAACAATTTATGATTTCTAGAAACATGAATCAAATTCCGGATAAAAGTTCTATTTTGTAGGTCTAAGAATGTGCATAGTTTTAATAGTAATACAACTTTCAAATTCTATTGATTACTCATTTTCTTTGGGTTTTTTTCCTTCAGAGGACACACAGTTTCAACTCATTGCAACTGACATGGAGAATGACCGGTTTATCTACAAACTTAAAGAAAAAGAAGTAAACTCATTGGTTGGAAGCATTACCTTGAGTAATGATGGAATGTAAGAAAAGTGATAAAAGTAACTAGAAAATGTTCATGTTAAAACGTACATGTCTCTTGTATTTACAATGTCGTGCCATGCTATTATATTTAGTTATGAAGATTACATCCTACTTATTCTAAGCTTTATCATATGGTTACAGGCTATTTGATTTCTAGTTTATTAGTATATCTCATGACGAAACTACAAGCAAATCTTCAATCATTTGTTACTTCATTATTTTAAGTTTTTCCTTCAGTGTAAAAACATATCTTATTATTCAGAGCCTATATACATGTTATAGTTTACAATATACATGTACATAAAGCATTTCAAATATGCTTACAGAATTAGTTTTCTCATAAAATCCTCCTCCTTATGGCATGTTTGTTTTGTTTGCAAACTTGGCAAAGAAAATATTTATTATTTTCGATTATAATTAGCTTTATCACATAAACCGCGGCGCAGGAGTGTAATTTTAATTTAAATTTAATAAAAATTATAGTACACTAGTGTAAAAACACTTATAGACGTGATGTCATTACCGTTATATTTTAACATAGCGTTAAAGTTCGTTAATATTAACGTTATACTATTGGCGTGCCAATGAAAAATGACTTTTTTATCAGTTTATCACTCTTATTTTATATATGTGATAAATGGAATACCGGTATATCAGTGTAGATTCAATGCTTAATTTATTGAACTCTTTGAATAAAAGAATATTATGCTCGCAAGAGGCTCGCATAATATGATTTTATTCAACTCGTTCAAAAAATTTAGTTTTAAATCTACACTCCTGTAATATCTCCTATAAAAGATTTTTCAGGGGTTAAAATCTAATATCAAATATGAACCAAAATATATCTGACCGGGACTGCAATTTTTTACCTTGGATGTTTTGGTCTCATCTCTCACTTGCTTTTAAACTGTCTTTTTTCTCTAACATTACAGTTTATCAATATCGCTTTGCGAAAACTGCTTTGGCAATTATACAGTAAAATTCACCATTGAAGACATACCTGAATGGGAAGAAATACCACCAGCACGAGAACATTATTCATTAAACATTGAAGTTGTTTCGGTAAACGACCCGCCAAATATAATGGTTCTCTCTCCAAATGGAACCGATATTTTACCGTTTGATCCTACTGAACGTATATTGGTAAGTATAAACAGTTTCAAAAGGGTCATCACGACAAGATTACAAATTTATTTTTGCAATTATTTACATCTGATTTTAAAGAGTCATGACTCGTATATATTTATGCTATAAAAACTTTTCAATCAAATTTATAACATCTTTACTAGTTAAGTCGGAAGGTTCATTACGTATAAATGCTTATCCATATCATACTCATAAGCATCAAAATAAGAAATGTATTTTAGGAAGTCACGCCTCAATGGATTATTTCCATGTTTAAAAGTCTTTTATATTTCTCGTAAGATATTCCGTGAACAAATCGGAGAAACAATTTCCGGAAAAGTTGCCGTTGTGATAGCTTATGATATCGACGGACCTCAACATCTTCAAATGATATCAAATACAAGCAACGCATCTGGTACCTTTATCCTACAAGATCTTGAATACACTGATATAATAAACTACGTTTCATGTAGCCATGGCAAGGTAAGTACAAAACCGTCTGATTCCTAAAGATACATAAAAATTATCAATGTTAAAGGGCAATTATAAATCGAAGATTGATTAATGTAAGGTAAACCTGATTTTTTTCGTATTGTATTCAAAACACATATTTCGCCAGAAAATGATAATATGTCTAAATACATTTGTCATCATTATATATGAGTTTTTGTTTCTTTAGTTTCAATCATTCGAATGTTTCCTTTTTGTCGTTGCTGTTATTGTTTCTGTTGTTTTTGTTATTCTTTACCTTGTTGCTGCCATCAAATCACTTGATTGATATATTTGATAAACGTTAACTGGAATATGTTCATATTTTTTATATTTCAGTGTGTTAGTCCCAGTGCCATTTTAAACCCTACAAATGTAGAATGGAAAGGTGTATACATCAATTATACGCAAGACAATACCTCTTTTATTGGTATAGACACAATAAAAATTGTTGCAATGGATGAGTCTGGGACGTATTCTGATGTTGTGTCTTTAACACTTGTAGTTATGGAAAATAATTGTCAACATGGCCATTGCAAAAGTAAGTAACTTGTTTTAATGCAGATGTCACTGTCAATTTTTTATGTCCACAAAAAGACGGCTATGTTATCTTTTAGATATATTCTTATAACACTGGTAGTAAATAATAAACTTATTTCATGCTGTATTTTTCTTAAATGCTAGCCTGCACTGATTGAGAACTCATATAAAGCTATTACAGAAACTGTGTAAATGCAAAACGAAATGGTCTGAAGTCGACCTTGCTGGTCTGGTTTATTTTATTTGAAGATCAATTATATTATTGTAACGGTGCGTAGATCTACTGTCATATTTATTCCGAATTGCCAATGGTTAACGTCAATATGCTAATTTACGATCATTTGTTCAAACATATAATTTAAAAGCATTTCTTGAAACAGGTTTAAATGAAAGACAATATTCTTGTGACGATACGAGAAGAACGGAAGGATTCGACAAATACTATACATGTGAATGTCCAACCTCTTGGGAAGGTCGTTATTGTGAACATGACGTTGACGAGTGCTCACGAGGTTTCTGTGAAGCTTGGAAAGTTTGTGATAATAAAATAGGAAGTTATGACTGCTACTGTAAAGCAACGGACATAATCTGCAAACTGTCTCTGGAGGTTTGGGAATTCGCTGTTATTGTTACCGCAATTGGTTTTGTACTTCTGGTCGTAGTTGGCATCTTAATTTACCGGAAATTGAAGTAAGATTCTGAACAATTACATTGGTCTATCTGTAATCTTATTTATGTGTACGACTTAAAATGATATTCACAATTTAGTCACATACTTCTTTTATCTATCTAACTGTTCAGCAGTGATCTGGATTTGTACCATACACAAAATAACAGTATATTTATTGCACTGTTTGCTTTTACTTTCACACTTGTTGATGCTGCTTTTATCGTTTTGTTGTTTTTTTTCTTTTCATTCCAGTTGCAAAAATAATCCCATTATCATGATTGACGTTATTCAAATATGTATTTGTATTTATTTTTTCTTTAAGAATTTAATATAATCAAAAAGTTTTGTTATTAATCTAGGTCTAACATAGAAGCTGTGGACAAGGAAAAGGTTTGTACAGACTCCTATTCACAAATTTACAAAAGATTCCTTTACGAAATATAATTGTGATTATTACATTGTAATGGTTTCAATAGAACTGGTATTGATATAACAAAAAGCTACAAGAAAGATTACAAAGAATAAAGTAATACAAATTTAATGCATTACCACTATCAAATATATAAAAGTTCTAACACATTTGCGTTTTGAATTTTAGTTGTTTTTGTTATTTGTTTTGTTTTATGAATTACTATTAATGCTACATTCTTAACGGTAACAAATGAAATTTCAAAACTAATATAATTGCAGATTCCAGAGTCAAATACATTTGCAGAATATATATTCGGAAAAGAAGGGGTAATATTTAAAATAACTTTCAAATATTTTTATTTCTTATATAATTCACATACCTTATGATTTGCAGTATTACTCCTGTCATTTTATTTAACTTTTTTATTCTTAGACTAGTCTAGGTAAACTAAGTAGAAATGTGTGAAATTGGGTTGAAACTATTTTTGTAATATTAAACTATTTTCAGATAATCTGAATATAGCTCATATTATTCTTTCTTATAATAGCATCGGTTCATGAATTGTTTTATTTTGCAGATCCTAGGTCCGTCACTTCGGCGTTTTGCAAAAGTTTCACCGATGGCATTGGTAAATATTATCCGACATAGTTTATTCTATAATATCATTTATCTGCTAAGCAAATTGATCAAACATTAAATCTAATTCTAAAAAGGTATCAGTGATGTACATAAATTAAATTTAGAATTACAAATGCATGACATTGTTTTTTAAGAAATGTTGTGAAATGGATAAAATACTCAAGCTTACAAACTAAAATTTGGTAGGCCCAGAGGGCACTGGACTGTTTATTTAAAAAACAAGAAAGAAAGGCATATAAAGCTTATATAAGTAAAAAACATGACATAAAGTTGGACAGCAATTGAAAATGCCCAGAGGGCACTGGACTGTTTATTTAAAAAACAAGAAAGAAAGGCATATAAAGCTTATATAAGTAAAAAACATGACATAAAGTTGGACAGCAATTCGTCCTGTACATATAAAAGTAACATGTAGTAAAACAAACAATATTAAAACTAGGCAAGGAGTTGTGGTGGGGTGGTGGCGGTACAGTGAAAAAAAATTTCAGATAAAAATTTTGCGTGCGACACCTAGTGGTGAAAATTTTTCTATGATCCGAAAGATTAGAATTTACACCGAAAAGTGTTTAAACACCAGAAATGCCTTAAATGTGCTAAGATGTAAAATAAGATGTAACTGTAAAAACATAAAATCACTTTATACTGTTCCACTATATAAAGTATAATTTTATGTTTGCACCTGGCAAGACTCAGCAGTTTATTTATGTCAAGATAAAGTAGAACAAATACCAATTTGGATGAAAATGTCCAGGCCCAGAGGGCACTGGACTGTTTATTTAAAAAACAAGAAAGAAAGGCATATAAAGCTTATATAAGTAAAAAACATGACATAAAGTTGGACAGCAATTCGTCCACCACTGGTCCAACCAAGGAGACTTGACAGGCGCAAATTTAGACGACAAAGAAATTTAAATTGTATAGATGCCTACCACTTTCCCAAACCACCAAAAGAAAACAAATATATGTTACAGCAAGTTCTAGAGAAAGTAATAACAATTCTACATGAGTATGATCAAGCAAATCATAGTAGAGAACACTAATGTGGAACAATTTGGAATTCCTATCAGGTTACATATATGTAGTCATAATGTGTAACTAATATATATATATAAGTAACATGAGAAAGAAAAATATTTACAGTTATAACAAAGCTATTTACAACATAATGGGTATTAACAATTGTATTATTTTTAAGGGTAAAACTTGTCACATGAGCAAGTGCTTGAAAGTAAAAAACTAACAATATAGAAGTTAACAGGGGTAGACCCTGCCGCTAGCAGGTCTACTATTAAAACACTTTCGACTAGATATATTATTATTAGGCTTATTAAAACGATGTTAGACAAAAATATGTGATTTTATTTACTGGAATAGTAGTGAGACAAATTGTCAGACTAGAATTATGTTGACTAGTTATGATAGTAAAAATTTACAATACATAAATATAAAAAGCAATAAAAGTAAATACAAAAGTACAGATAGATATGTTTTGAAAATTTATGTGACAAATCAATATCATAAATACTCAATGTTGTTGTAAGATATTTATGTGCCAAAGCAATGTCATGAGTAATGAATGGCCCCGTTGGCTATTTTTGTGACAAAGCATTGTCATTAGTTTAACTAGAGAACGCCGCTCATGAAATAGACATTGACGTCGTATGGCATTCATATAACAAATAAATGTCATAAATACTCAATGACGCCGTAGGATGTTTATGTGACAAAGCAATGTCGTGAATTCTACACGACCCAGTGCGATATTTATGTGATAAAGCAATGTCATGAAAACTCAATGACCCCGTTCGGTATTTATGTGACAAAGCAATCCCCTGAATTTAAGTGTGACAAGACAATGCCATGAATACGAAATGACGCCGTTTGATATTGGTGTGACAAAAGCAATATTATCAACACTTCATGAAGCCTTCGGGTAGTCATGTGACAAAATAATGTCATCAACACTTCATTTTTCCATTGGATATTTATATGACAAAGCAATGCGATATGGTAGCGCTAAATAGCCACATGCAACATACTCAAACCTTCATTACCCATTTTCTTAACCGCGCACTGTTACACTGAATTATTCATTATAGGGTGAAGATGGTGCGGATCATTTTCCCAATGCTCCTCCAATGTCAGCATTTATTTCACATACCTTACATGCTGATGTACACAGAGTAAGTTGTAATTTATTCTTATTGAAACCAAATCTAATTAAAATATGTTTATAGTAATTGTATGATGGTTAGTCTAAGAATTGGTATATTTTTATCTGATATATGCGTTTATTTTATCTCTTAATGTATGTCAATACATGGTTATCTTATATTAAAAAAATGGGGAAACGTTAAAAAAATAAAACAATATATTAAAGATAACCTCTATAATAATGTTTAAGATACATGAAACGGGCGAAAGTTGTTAAATGGTGAAATTGCATGTAATAATCGAAAGTTAATTTATTGAGTAGATAGTAGTGACAGATGAGATTAAATACAACAACAACAACAACAACAATTTATTTCAGCATTAAGTAATATACATTTACTTTTAGCCTACAATAATATAATAATGTGTAGTGATAGGTCATATAAAGATTACAGTAAGTGTTATTATTTAAACAAAGGAGCTTTTAATAAGTAACACGAAATTGTTGGTTCATTTTAAATAGCTGATTACTACTGTTCTAATTCTGTTCTCCGTTTGTTAGCAAAATATAGATATTTTGATAAATTGATAATTTCTTTCTTGTTTTGAGACATCATTGACTTATCAATTTTTTGCAATGTTGGCCATGTAAAATAATAATAAGGCTTCAAAAATTTGTGTCTTTAATCTATATATATCGGGCAAGTAAGTAGAAAATGGTACTCATTTTCAATAAAATTTGCAAGTTCTTTCTAATCTTGGAATATTATAGTATCTTCCCCTCTCATTTTCAAGATTGTGTGATGATAGACGAAATCTACTAAGAGCAATTTTGAAACGTCTTTCTAAACTGTAATAATCAAGATAAGGTTCGATCGAAAATGAATATTTTGTCCTACAATATGTTAAAAGTCTTTGAGAGTTATTTATTTCTGAAAACCAGGTTTGATGATATTGGTCTAATATTCTTTGTTTTATAAATTCAAAAACAGGAATATGTTGATATTTATGTAAATCGTTCCATATATCTGAAAGACCCAGTTTGTTTAATATTGTTTTAATTTGATATGCCCAGTTTTGGTCATAATAAGTTATATTGTTATCTGCATCGAGTTTTAGCATATTATACATTTGTTTTATTAGTTTGTTGTCTTTTTTTTTTTTTTTTTTTTGAATTTTTAACCAATTCCTAATCATGTTTATTTGTCTTACAATTTTCATTGGTTCTCTACCAAGTTCTCTATAAACTAAATAAATGTCGTAAATGTGTATGATTGACAAAAGTTGTTACATGGTGGTGATACATATTGCTTTTGGAAGTTGGTAAATGAAGTGGATATATCTGTCTGTATAAAGTAATTAAAATCTATCTATTTTGTATAAATTGTTAAATTAAGAGTCACATTCATTTTTGTGATAATGAGACCTGTTGTGAATGACACAAACACTTTTCATATATCTTGACATTGCATAATCTTGATAAGTAAGTGTTTGTATTCTTTTCTCAGGAAAACGATGACGACACTGACACTGAAGATGATTCGACAAAGGACACATATGTGACAGATGCAGACTTGTGTATCCAAGAAACTATTTCACTACCGATATCAGTGGACAATTTCGATATTCCTGGAATGTCAAAACCGCCTGCGTCTGCGGAAGACTTGGATATTGAAAGAACATCATCACCATCGATATCGGCAGAAGACGTAATAAATCGACCGCCTACACCAACAAATGTAAATTCTATTTGTTGTTATTTTATTAATGAGTTCAAAGTAAAAAACTCTCAAACAATACATCATCAGTTTAAATCAATATTTTCTTTTGCGGAAAAACTAAAAATTTGAAAATTATAAAAAAGTATCCGCTTTCTTATGACACAAGACGGATCATATACATGTCACAGATAGAACTTATTGGATGTAAAAGATATATATATGAGATACAAGTTGTATATTAGAGGAAATTCAAAATATTGCGTAGATGCATGCGACTTTAAAAAGTTGATAAACTGTTGAGCAGAGTTGGTATCTGTTGAGCAATATATATGAAAAGGACAAAAATTTATACTAACTAGTACATAGTATATATTTTACCTTTGGTCCCGCTGTACTTATTTTTTCCGACAAATTGTTATATTTATGAATCCTTTTTAATTGTATATTTACTTTAAAGAATGCCCTTTATGAAGTTTTTATTAATTCGGGTGTAAATTAGTATTTGCCAATTGGATATACCTTGATATAAAGGTTTTATTGTCAAGTCCGATTGTGAAAAACGTTTGTCTAGCATTTACCTTTGACTGTCCTTGTCTAGCATTGTTCTTCCGATGTGCTTACATTAGACGTTTGTACTACAAAAACAAATTAGTTTAACCACTTCGTTTTATCATTAAAATTAACTTAAAGTGGTATTTTAGGACACAAACATTTGAAAGTATACGAAATCTTTTCAATGTACCTTCGTTTTTTTGTTGTTGTTTTTTTATATATTTTCTTTCATTGCGCTCATTGAACGGGGTAGCCATGGACACATATATTCAAACATTGAGTTAGGTAATTTTATTCAACAATACTCACTTATACAAATTATCAATGTTCTACTAAAATTTATATAATTCTATTTGCAATTAATGCTCTATATTTAGACTGCATTAAAACAACAAAGTGACACAGATTTCGTACACCCTGCACCGAAATTCAACATTGTGGAACTTGCAGCAGAATTGAAGCGCAAGAGGGAGGAAATGGAGGTAACAACACATGAATGTTTGGAACTTTAACGCTATGTTTAAACTGTTATTAAACTTTTATTATAATTTATTATAAATATTAGTAATGAAATAATAATTAAAAATGATGATTATATAATTACTACCATTATGATAATGATGATTTATTTTAATGATTTAGGAGATTCCAGACATAGTTGACCATCCTCCGCCGGAGTTAAACCAAACACATGCAATTACAAAATTCCGAAGGCGTAAAGGAGAACCAAAGGTAGACTTTTAAATGCACTGATTGATAGACATAATTAAAGTCGTTCTTTGTGGTAAAATATCATGAATAAAAAATAATACAAAATACGTCTCATTTCAATTTTTGAACAGCCTGTTTACATTCCTCCTACCAACCAACCAGCCTGCCTGCCTACTTACATGCCTGTCTGTTTGGCTGACTGGGTGGTTGATCGGTTGGCTGGGTTGGTGCCTGCCTGCCTGCCTGCCTGTCTGCCTGATAACGTATATATCTTTTTATTTCGAGAACACTCTACGTTTTGTAACGCTAGTCTCATAATGTTACAAGCCTTATGGTATACATGTAATAAAAAAAATTAATTTATCATTGAACGGTTTTGTTTAAAGTATGTTTAAATCACTTGAGGCCCGAATTAGTTCTTAACTTATTAAGCCTCAAAGTGAATATCTATTCCTGTTACATAAATGTTATTTTGTTTTAAGAAGTACTCTTAAAAAATTAAACAACTAAAATACACATTTTGAATCCGAGCTTAGATTAAAACATTTATCATTTTCATGTTAAATGATTTAGCCCTTGCAAGGGGTAGTGGATGGTAGTTTGCATTTACCACTACTGTTCATGTACAGGCTCAGTCAAACTAAGCCTGCCACATTTTCAATTGTTGCCGTTTTTGCGTTCTTTAAAGTTTCCATTTATGACCATTTTACTCTGATTCATTCATTATTGTTTCCTTTTCACAGTCGATGCTAAGCGTTGCTGACACACAGCAACTTGATCAGCTAAAACAACTTGAGCATACGAATCCACAACAGGAAGCTAATGATGACACACGCTTTCTATGTATTTAACAAGCTTTTTTTAAAATATAAACATGTGTTAATTATTGATAAATCTAAAATATATTAAAATTCAATGTCAGTGCGAAGAGTTTGGAAGCAGGCTTGACAGTGCTAGGGATTGTATTAAAAATAAACATTGATCTGAGACATGTAGATTTAATATTTATTGGAGTGTATAGTAAAGAAATTATAAAGTATCTCTTAGCATTCTTGTAAAGTTTAGCAAGTGTTACACATGGCCAATTCGTTTATTTCAATTCTTGTTTTATATTATACATACTCGTCTGGTTTTTTTTAGTTTCACTTTTGTGTTGATGTCACCTTTTCCTCAATCATTTCATTGACAAATTAAATTTATGACGAACTCAAATACAAGTATAAACAAATGCAATGCTAACATAAACATTTCATATATCAATATATCAATGTATCTTTTAATTGTAGGTGGCGAAGCGGAGAGAAACACTCCCGAGAAACATACAGACTAAAAGATGGACTTCAATATATTAAAGCAATTTTCAGTGTCTTTATAATACTCATATTTGCAGTGTTTTAATCTTTTTCTATTTCGTAGTATATCAAAAGATCATACATGAGATTTTGTTGACAATAATGAAGTTGAAAACTACACACATAGCGTAAACTATACATTTTATATATATCAGAATTTTCCTGTCTATTTTTGTCTTTTTATACATTAAAACTCTTATGAAAGTTTCTGTGAGTGTTATCGCACAGGTTAAAATTTCTGTAGCCTTGTATTATAAAAAAAAACTTTAAACTGTTAATGGCTTTTTGCTGATATGATATAGTTTAAAGTATGAATTCATTGGTATAGAGGTGTTGTTTTTTTTCTTATAAATTTATGAAATTGTACATACAATCTATTGCTACGCCATGAAACATTATTTTGTACATCTTTTTATTTAACTTTCATATTACCTACTTGTCTCATTTTATTGGTGGTAGTTCAGTTAATGTATTTTGCTAACATGAACATTCATTAAAAGCAAAAACGTGTGTTGTGTAATGATGTGGTTTAAGAAATGCAATAATAGTAAATTTTAATTTAAGTTGTGATGATTGGTGTAAACATGTTAAACTTTGTACTTTCTGCGAGTCATCTGGCGGTTATCTTCTGAAATTATTTTTTAATGTTGAAATAATGTCTGTGACAGTAACAACCCACAAATCAACAAATTTTCAAAAAACACTATGATATTAACATCAGACAAGAGATTCTCCGGATGAGGTCCACACAAACCAATACCGTAAGCAACTAAAAATCTCTCGTACGATTCTATTTTTGTGCATGAGATAATCTACCTTTTTCTATTTTAATTTTTATCTTTTTTTTCACTAAATGTACAATTAATGACTAACTAAATGTTTATCTTCATTTCACCTTTTGATTATTCTTTTGTACTTCGATAGCATAGGTTTGTTATTAATAATAATGATTATTTCATTCCATGGAGTGTTTTTAAAAAATATTATAACTTTCTACTCAATCCTTTTTTGCATGTGATTGTACTTATAGTGTGTATATACGTTTGGCTGAAATAAAATATCGCTTGAATTTATGTTGGAAAAAAAGATATTAAGTGAAACAGTCTTCCTTGATAAAGCCATGTATCGAACATGTATCGAACTTATTTGCATTACTCTAGTTTTCTTTTTTCAGATTTCTTTTACTTTTTTTTCTTGTTTAATTTAAAAAATAAATGCTTGTAAAAGCAAATCTTCATTTGTTGTACTTCATTCCAGTTGCGCGGACATCCGTGATCGAGTTACTGACTTTGAATCACTTTCCCCTGTGTACTCGAATATAGCAAGAGACCTTCAATGTCTTTTGCTGTTGCTTTTTTTAACAAAAATGCCATCAAAGCAATGAAAGGCAAATCGAGTTCTATCTCCGTGTGTAAAGCTGAAATATCGCCATGTACCCTTGATAATGTTTCTAAACCCAATCAAAATAAATATTATTATAGTCACGGTCATATAACACCTTTCATTATTAATATGTTAAAATGCATAAAAATTAATTTCCTTTTCAAGCTATTCAATTATTTTAGGTTGGAAAAATAGAATGAGTGTTAAAAAGTTTTAATTATCAATTCTATCAACAATCATCACACTTTAACCAAAACAAGCAGAAAGTGAATTAACCATTAACTCAGTGCAAACAAAACATAAAGAAATGAACAATTTATCTAATAAAATATCACCTGGTTGTAGAATATGTTTTCCCAATATCTAAAATGTATGAGATACATAGAATTTCTTAAAGAAAGGTCAAAATTCACCCAATGAAAAATGTTCTAGTGATAGTATAAAGGGTAACACTTTGTGACATAAACAGTTAAAACATGTTCATAACATTCAAACTGAGACAAAACTCACTAACATTCTTTAAATAAGAGATATAATATGTTACATAGAATGGTAACCTCATATACTGTGATTCCATTTGAATGCCAATAACCTTTCTCCTCTGTATCAATAAATGATACCAAATTTCCTAACTCTGATGTTGATGTCTGAAATAACAAAATATAAATCTGTCTCTATAATAACAAACTATAGATCTGTCTCTGAAATAAAAAATATAAAGCTGTCTCTGAAATAACAAAATAGAAATATGTCGCTAAAATAACAAATTTTATATCTTTCTCAGAAATAAAATATAAATTTGCCCCTGACAAACAAATTATAAAGCTGTTTCTAAAATAACAAAATATAAATCTGTCTCTGAAATAACAAAATATAGATCTGTCTCTGAAATAAAAAATATAAAGCTGTCTCTGAAATAACAAAATAGAAATATGTCGCTAAAATAACAAATTTTATATCTTTCTCTGAAATAAAATATAAATTTGTCCCTGACAAACAAATTATAAAGCTGTTTCTAAAATAACAAAATATAAATCTGTCTCTGAAATAACAAATAATAAATCTATCTCTGAAATAACAAAATATAAATCCGTCTCTGAAATAACAAAATAGAAATCTGTCGCTAAAATAACAAATTTTATATCTTTCTCTGAAATAAAATATAAATTTGTCTCTGACAAACAAATTATAAAGCTGTTTCTAAAATAACAAAATACAAATCCGTCTCTGATATAACAATATAAATCTGTCTCGGAGATAACAAAATATAAATCTGTCTCGGAGATAACAAAATATAAATCTGTCTCTGAAATAACAAAATATAAATCTGTCTCGGAGATAACAAAATATAAATCTGTCTCGGAGATAACAAAATATAAATCTGTCTCTGAAATAACAAAATATAAATCTGTCTCTGAAATAACAAAATATAAATCTGTCTCGGAGATAACAAAATATAAATCTGTCTCGGAGATAACAAAATATAAATCTGTCTCTGAAATAACAAAATAGAAATATGTCGCTAAAATAACAAATTTTATATCTTTCTCTGAAATAAAATATAAATTTGTCTCTGACAAACAAATTATAAAGCTGTTTCTAAAATAACAAAATACAAATCCGTCTCTGATATAACAAAATATAAATCTGTCTCGGAGATAACAAAATATAAATCTGTCTCAAAGATAACAAAATATAAATCTGTCTCGGAGATAACAAAATATAAATCTGTCTCGGAGATAACAAAATATAAATCTGTCTCGGAGATAACAAAATATAAATCTGTCTCGGAGATAACAAAATATAAATCTGTCTCTGAAATAACAAAATATAAATCTGTCTCGGAGATAACAAAATATAAATCTGTCTCGGAGATAACAAAATATAAATCTGTCTCTGAAATAACAAAATATAAATCTGTCTCGGAGATAACAAAATATAAATCTGTCTCGGAGATAACAAAATATAAATCTGTCTCGAAGATAACAAAATATAAATCTGTCTCGGAGATAACAAAATATAAATCTGTCTCTGAAATAACAAAATATAAATCCGTCTCTGAAATAACAAAATATAAATCTGTCTCGGAGATAACAAAATACAAATCCGTCTCTGATATAACAATATAAATCCGTCTCGGAGATAACAAAATATAAATCCGTCTCGGAGATAACAAAATATAAATCTGTCTCGGAGATAACAAAATATAAATCTGTCTCGGAGATAACAAAATATAAATCTGTCTCGGAGATAACAAAATATAAATCTGTCTCGGAGATAACAAAATATAAATCTGTCTCTGAAATAACAAAATATAAATCTGTCTCTGAAATAACAAAATATAAATCTGTCTCGGAGATAACAAAATATAAATCTGTCTCGGAGATAACAAAATATAAATCTGTCTCTGAAATAACAAAATAGAAATATGTCGCTAAAATAACAAATTTTATATCTTTCTCTGAAATAAAATATAAATTTGTCTCTGACAAACAAATTATAAAGCTGTTTCTAAAATAACAAAATACAAATCCGTCTCTGATATAACAAAATATAAATCTGTCTCGGAGATAACAAAATATAAATCTGTCTCGAAGATAACAAAATATAAATCTGTCTCGGAAATAACAAAATATAAATCCGTCTCTGAAATAACAAAATATAAATCTGTCTCGGAGATAACAAAATATAAATCTGTCTCTGAAATAACAAAATATAAATCCGTCTCTGAAATAACAAAATATAAATCTGTCTCTGATATAACAATATAAATCTGTCTCGGAGATAACAAAATATAAATCTGTCTCTGAAATAACAAAATATAAATCCGTCTCTGAAATAACAAAATACAAATCCGTCTCTGATATAACAATATAAATCTGTCTCGGAGATAACAAAATATAAATCTGTCTCTGAAATAACAAAATATAAATTCGTCTCTGAGATAACAAAATATAAATCTGTCTCTGAAATAACAAAATATAAATCTGTCTCGGAAATAACAAAATACAAATCCGTCTCTGATATAACAATATAAATCCGTCTCGGAGATAACAAAATATAAATCCGTCTCGGAGATAACAAAATATAAATCTGTCTCGGAGATAACAAAATATAAATCTGTCTCTGAAATAACAAAATATAAATTCGTCTCGGAGATAACAAAATATAAATCTGTCTCTGAAATAACAAAATATAAATCCGTCTCGGAAATAACAAAATATATAAATCCGTCTCGGAAATAACAAAATATAAATCTGTTGCTGAAATAACAAAACATTAATCTGTCTCTAAAATAACAAATAATAAATCTTTCTCTGAAATAATATATAATTATGTCTTTGACAAACAAATAATAAAGCTGTTTCTGAAATGACAAAATATAAATATGTCTCTGAGATAACAAAACATTAATCTTCTCTGAAATAACAAATTGTAAATCAGTCTCTCTGAAATAACAAATTATAAAGCTTAAATTAAAATGCTTAAAGTCGCGAATCATGATTACCTGTGGATAATATAAAGATGTCTGAAATACATGTACATTTGTATAAGCGACAACAATTCTTCATTCTGCGTGGTCTGCAACAGGTCTCGTATGTAAATATAAGTGATATTATCAGGTCACTGTGAAGTTAACAAAGTGCATTATCAACCCCTTCCTAAGTCATCCACATTGGATCGCAGAGACCATATTTTTCTAACAGGGGCATTGCCCTAGGTAGCACCATCTGTGTACAAAATTTATTGTTTTATCTTAAAGGGTAGGTTTAATACTTGAACAGAATTGGTTCAGAAAGAGGTCGGAGTACGACAGACCAAGTTCTTTGCTCAACCAATTTGATTAAAACTTGGAAACATGTGCAGAACTTTACGTGAATCTATATAACTAAAAGCATCTTCATGGCGCCTGAGTATATAAGCTAAACATGTGTGTACTTTCGGTCTTGACAAAAAAGTATTTAACTTGTGACAAATACCATGACACTGATTGTCTTATAATTATGTAGTCGCCAACAGGTCTGTATTTACTGCCAACCCCACCCACACTTCCTTCCTATATATACGGGTTCATATGGGTGACCTAGTTAGGTCACTTAGCTGGTGTGACCTAACCAACGGCGAAGGGCATGGCCCTAAAGAGAGCTGCTGCTCCCGGAAGATGTGCCTTTCCTCTATTGTCTACCGCGTTCAGGAAGCGAGGAACTGGTCCTAGAGAAGATCTACGGCGAAAGACGGCATGAGAAGACCTCCGCTGCGATCGGCCACATTGCAGGCTCTACGACCAGCCACGTAACAGAGGCCGGACAAATGGGAAACCGGCGCCCAGTATAAATAAAACTAAAAACACACACAATATAGCCTAGGTGTAATCCGATAGGTAGTTTGGTTGGTTGAAAGAAAGATAGATTAGATGGGCGAACGGACGGACGCACGGGTGGATGAATATTAGCCGTAATAAATTACATATAGTGCCATTATTTTTTGCACATCAATAAACATGTTTTAAGCTACCTGACGGATGATTTATAATTTAGAAGTTATTTCTTTTTTTTTTCTTTTTTTTAAACTAACATATTCTTTACAATATCAAGTCCATGAAAGTTTAAATTAGAAAAAAAGAAAAATTAATTATACGATACATGCATATGAGATTTGTGTTTGTTTATTTAATTAATGGTACTTTGAGTTTAACACATTTTCAGTCATTTTCAATAACCAACAAATAACTTTAGGCCGATTTGACTAGTTTTGAGGCCCATTTGACTAATTTCGGGGACGATTTGACTAGTTTTGGGGCCGATTTGACTTTTTAAAATTGTTGTGTGGCAGATTTGACTAATTTGGCGCCGATTTGACTTGGGGCCGATCTGACTTGGGCCGATTTGACTAGTTTGCTACTTTTTTGGCAAAAAGTGTTCAGTTTGTGACCTATTAAATAATAAATTATACGCCTAATGTACTTAAGTGAATTAACATAAAATGATAATCTACATAAATTTATTTTAAAAAAGTATTTATTAGCATTTTTACATTTCTTTTTTATCATTTGTTAATTAATTAATTTATTTTTAAAGTTCTATACTGTATCAATAAGCCCAGAAATTACCCGGGATCATTTTACAATGAAATTTTGAACTGTTACACCGTCGGCATAACCTTCACATTGCCGCGATGGCTACGTTTCCGGGGAATTGTCAGTTTGAGAAATGAAATAATATTTGCTTGTTTTTAAGTCAAAGTTTGAATAAAATACTTGATGACATTTGAGGATAATTTTCTATGAATGTGAATTATTATGATTAGACCGCAGACGAAGGTACCAGCTGGTCACTGGACTCGATGTGATTTTTGTAGAGAAAAAATCAATTTCAAGTCGCCGCGAGAGTTTTGCCGTCATTTAAGAGACTTTCATTGCACTAAAGAAGGTGGTTCTTATGTATGTAAATATGGGAAAAACAATGTTTGTTTGTCACTACCTGTTGATGGAGTAAGTGACTTGGACTACGAGGAACACATCATGAGGGAACATGTCAATCAAAGTGCAGGTATGTTCATAAGCACAGGGGGCCCACACAGTGTTTGGATGGTATATACTGCTTGATCACTGTTGATAGTGACCTTAAAATGAGATTTTAGTCATAACCTTATAATATGTATATAAATATAGACAAGGGGCATTACTCGCTAAATAGAGAATTTTCGATCACCCTCAAATTCATGCGAGATTTTCCACTAATTAAATAAAAAAAATTCCAAAAAAACTAAACTGCGTTGCATAGCTTATATAATCCACAATTGATAAACACTAACTCTTTTCTGATTCCCTTAGCCCATTTTAAGAAATTTATTCAAAAACCGTTCACTTCTGTCACAAAAATTGCTTAGTCGTACGAGATGTCGCAACACCAAATTCCACGGGTAAAATATCAATTTTAAAAAGGGGTAGGTGCAAATAAACGCATGCAAACAATAACACAACATAGTTTCTATTACCTACCTGCGCAAATAGTCGTGAAGCGCTCTATATTCGTCTGTTTCGAACGAAATCTTCAAATCAGAGCAGAAATCTGCTTCGACGTAGACATCTTGGGGAAACCCCGGTCACGTGACCAGTCGGTGTATCGAGACCTTTCATTGGTTCGGTAGGAACTTTGTTTATAACGACAACCAATGAAAGGTTTCCATACACCATGACCAGAATTTCCAACATGTATCCGCCGAAGCAGATTTCTGCACTGATTTGAAGATTTCGTTCGAAACAGACGAATATAGAGAGCTTCACGACTATTTGCGCAGGTAGGTAATAGAAACTATGTTGTGTTATTGTTTGCATGCGTTTATTTGCACCTACCCCTTTTAAAATTGATATTTTACCCGTGGAATTTGGTGTTGCGACATCTCGTACGACTAAGCAATTTTGTGACAGAAGTGAACGGTTTTGAATAAATTTCTTTAAAATGGGCTAAGGGAATCAGAAAGAGTTAGTGTTTATCAATTGTGGATTATATAAGCTATGCAACGCAGTTTAGTTTTTGGAATTTTTTTATTTAATTAGTGGAAAATCTCGCATGAATTTGAGGGTGATCGAAAATTCTCTATTTAGCGAGTAATGCCCCTTGTCTATATTTATATACATAGTATAAGGTTATGACTAAAATTTCATTTTAAGGTCACTATCAAGCAGTATATACCATCCAAACACTGTGTGGGCCCCCTGTGTTCATAAGAAGGTAACAGTTATCAATTCAGCTGAACCAGTGTTGCATCTAGGCCGCGCGATTGCGCCAATTGCGCGATTTATGAAGTCAGTGCGCGCCAAGTCGCGCATCTGACAATCTTTTCAACTTAATTCAGTTTATCTTCATCGTATCTTAAACGCTTCAGCCATGTTTGGTTATGACTAAAGTACGTACTTAATAGCATGTAGCAGCCGACTGAGTCATTTCGCGTGTGTTTTGTAGTATTCGTCAATATTTTATTTTTTCTACTTCCGTTTTTGAGCGGACTTTAGCTGTCAAAAATGCCTGAACTAAAAATAAATGAATTCTATTCGGTATGTCATATTGTAAGGTAAATGTATGTCCCCCACATATTTTTCAATTGAGTGGGGGGCAATCCCGCATAATTTTGAAATTCTAGATGCAACACTGTGAACATGTTATAATGGGACAAGCTACTAAGGATGAGGGCAGTGTTATCTTTTTGTCCAATCAGGTGTACTTACCGTTTGTCCAATCAGGTGTACTTACTGCCATTTAGCATGCTGATGATTGACCAGTTTGAAAGTGTGACTTCAGGCGTCAAATTTTTCGAATCCGGGTCAGCTCAGCCCTAAAACATACTCGGCCCGGAGTCAGCTCGGCCCTATTCCAACTCGGCACGGGTCAACTCGGCCCACTTTTTAATTATTAAAATTTAGGTTTGTGTTATCACTTTTTATTGTTATTATTGTAATTATTTAATTTTATAAAACACGGATTGACAGTTTCAGAACTAGCAGCAGACAGGCTTTTCTTATCAGTAGAATTGCAAGTAAAGATAACCGCGATTGCGTATATCACTGTATTTCTGACTTGTGGTAGGTTTAAAGTTTAAATACCTTCAGTGTCAAACAATGTGTTGAATCAGAAATATTTACTGAGAGGAAGCTAAGATCACCAGCTTTTAATTGGTGTAACATATTTTAAAATCGGACATTTAATCGCCCCAAACTAGCGATTTAAACACAGCTAAATTTGCATTCTTTTGCAAGCGAAGGGAAACTAAGGGAAACAAGTCTTGCTTTTTCACCCAATATACCTCGGTTATTCACGTAGTTCGACAGAGAGAGTTCATAAATATAAGACAAATAACTAACATTTTTTTTCTAAATATACTTTATTTCGGCAGAAGTACAATGTATAATTATATAATAATAAGATATTTCTTATTATTCATTAACCTTAACAACATGCAAAGCAAAGTTAATACGTTATATATATTTTTGTAAAGTGGGCCAAGTTGACCCGTGCCGAGTTGACCCGTGCCGAGTTGGTATAGGGCCAAGTTGACTCTTTTCCAAATTTTTCTAGGGTTACTCGGCCTGCCAGGCGTAACCCTTCAGTTTACATGCCCTTCATAAAATGTACTCGTCCTGCATTTTAACGGACAAAATTTATAAAAATCAAACGTAAAACTCAAATTTACTATTTATCGAACTATATCAGTATAATTGCCTTTTTCATTTACATATTGTTAAATAATGTTTATAACACTTTTCATTCTTTTGATAGATCTATTTAATCTTCAACATAACCTGAATACTTATTTAACACATGGGTGCACTCAGCTAAAATTTCGACCCTTTGGCCAAGTATAAAACATTACCCAATGTATATGTATAAAACATTGACGAATGCTAAGCACTCATTTACTCATTACAAAATCAATTCATCATATGCATTTGGTAAAGTTTAAACCTGGTCATAAGGTCAATGCTCAGTTTTAATTTGACAGTATTACGATTGAAATGGCGTCTGCTGTTTGATTTTTTACAGAAAAACTTCATTTACATTAAATCTCCCTCCTATTGCATTTTTCCCCCTCCAAAGGGCACTGACCCCCTTCCCCCGAAAGTAAAAAAAAAAACTGATGGTAAACGGTGTAAATAAGAGAAAATTAAGTTGACTTGCGTAAGATTTTAAGGATCCTTTTGTATCTTGAATTCATATGTGTACATGTACCATTAGTTTGTCATACATTGTTTTCAGCTGATTGTTTGATAATGTACTTGATGCCTGATAAGTAATGGTTTGCCAAAGTAAATGTTATTATCAAAACAGATTGAAATAAATCTTGTTCCTGAACATTAAAATCTATTGAAGATTTGAAGTTTCAGTATTTCCTTTTGTAACCACACATTGACTTTCATTTTTAATTTCAGAGGGAACAAACTCGGCATTGCAGAGATTACATGCAAGCGCCCAGCGACCAATGCCAAACCCAGAACCCTCTGTCGTGCAGGATCAGCACAAATGGACAGTTTATAATTCAAAAGTCAATTTACCAGCTGCGTTAAATGACCCACGTTTGGTTAAAAGAGAAACAGACTTTTTTACAAAGACATGGGGAGTTGATTTCTATGAAAAATCTTACCTGCCATCTTCACCTTACGTCCAGGAGATCAATAGAGGGCATTTCCAAACTTATATCAATAGAACTTCTGAGGTAAAATCATACTGTTAAGTTGTTACTTTAAGGTGACAACGGAGTCAATTATCACTGAAAATACCTAAAATGAGATTTTTTGCTAAGAAGATTTATCAACCTTTTCTGAACACATTCGTGATTTAATTTTGGAAGCAGTTAGTCCAAAAAATGTGTTTTTTAAACGTTTTAAAAACGGTACCTATACTAATTGTATCTGCTATTCGCCTAACCTGTCGATTATCGATAACGCTCCGCCCCCTGTTGAGGCATCAATGAGGGAAATCGGTAGTTCCATATATCCGTGAATTACAGGTCCATACTGGTCCATACTTCTCGTAATACATGTATCGTACAACTACCGTAACATCTTTTATGAATATCTAAACATTTAGCCTTTTTTATAAATTAAGAAAGTGTCGGCCAATGTACGTAACATAATGTATTGAACATAAATAATTAAGCATAGCGGCAAATCGCACGACCACGGGGTCGATTAAAAATTTAGTTGCTAAAATATCCATAATGTGTGAAAATAATTTGTCTGTCCCGTTAATCTGATATATATTACATTGAGTTTGATAGACTTTTGGACAGATTCAAGGGCTTACTTTACATTCAACCTCGTTTTCTAACAATGTGAAGTAAAACAACAACAAAAACAGACAACATTTTTTATGTGAACGCCTATATATGACTTGTGGTAAGGTGTCCCTGACAAATTTCTAAACCATTTTAGATTGTCTAAGGATGATTATTTCTCTATAAAAAAAGATGTTAAAATATATTCTCAGTGAAAATAAATTGTTCGCCAGTAAATCGGACACAGTACTAATAAATCTGGGACAAAGTATGATATTTATTGTCTATCCCGGTAGAAACTGGATCTCTATGCCGTGCATAGATGATATTCAAAATAGAAGTCAAGAAGGCCAGATCATAATGATCGAGTAATACCTTTATTTCTATTAAAATATGTGAAGCATCATCAATTTGGTGGAAAAAAATATATAATATCCCGTTCTTATTTGTAACATTTACCATGGACTTTTAATAGACTGTCAGAAGCTCAGTTTTTTTTGTTATTTTATTTTATATTTTAACGGAATTTCATACACGAATACACAGGCAGAGTGACACTGGTATAATACAATAATAATGCTGATGATAATAATAATAAACTTCAAAAAGGAAACAATTTAATTAATACCCCGCTAGCGGTGCGCAAAATGCGTTCCATTCCCCCCCCCCCCACTGAGTGCCTCAAATTTTACCGATAGTCACGTGACATGTGCGACAGATACCAGACGGATCGTAAATCACGTTAAGAATTGAAGAAATTTCGGCTATAAACTGATATTAATCAGCAGCTTTTTAATTGGTCAGATGTCACTGGGTCATAAAATGTTGTTAGAGTATGTTACCACAACTTGTGACCCTCTCTGGTGCGATATTTGTGTATTATGCAATTATTTAGCGTGAAACGTAGGGGTCCGAGAGAGAACAGCCGATTTATGACACTTCGTTTGATGCGGGTCGGACTAATTTTGAATCAGCATAACTTTTTTAATAATCAAGCAATTAACATGCGGTTTAAAGCACATGAAAGGAAATTCATTTACGGAGGGAACCGTGTCAGGGATTTTTGTTTGCTTAATCAGCGACTTAATTATCTTTAATTACGTAATATGTATGGTGAAAAAAGCCGCATAAAATGTTTGACGTTACGTAATATTTTTTTGAGAAAAGATAGAAAAAATTTGAGACACGGTTCCCCAGATAATATAAGTATGGTTATTTTCCAAAAGTTTGATGACAAAAAAATAAAAAATGACTTTGATATGACGTTTTAAAATTTTAGGATTTTTATTCAAAATCAATCATTTACAAAGGCATTTTTTTCAAATATGTTATTTTTTATGATGATCAACGACATTTAATGCACAAAGATTAAATAAATAACAATTATTACTAAAATAACTTGGTTTAAATGACATTTATGTGAGTACCACGGAAAGTGTCTGTTGTCACCTTAATGTGTAAAAGTGTGATTTTCTGAAATCTTTATGTGGATAATTTTAACCCTTAGCCAGTTGGCGGCAACTGTTTGTACTCATGCGACCAGTGCAGACAAAGGTCAATGGACACATCAGTACCATCTGATCATGGTCTACACTGTTCACTATTCAGTCAGTACCTTTAATGAAAGTTTTCTGTAAAAGTTAGGAATGATTTTGTCCATATTAAAAGATGGACAAGTTCATAAGAGATATTTTGTGTGGTAATAGTTAACATGAATTGTATGCAAAGAACGAAAGTATTTGCTTGCAAGTTGGTGAATGGTCCATTGCCTTTTTATGTAAAAGGCAATGAAATACATGTACTGAGAATCCCAAATTAAAAAACAAGACATATTCTTGCAAACAACATTTTTAAAAAAATTATAACTTTATTTTTATTAAATTTTTCATTAAATTGGGAAAAAAAAATAAAACTTTTTAAAAAAAAAAAATATTAAATTTTTATTTTTTAAACAATATTTTAAAAAAAAAATAAAATTTCAAATTTTTTCATTTATATTTTAATTTTTTGCAGAGATTTAAAAAGCACAGTAGAGAATTACAGGCAGTGGTTGAAGGGAGAGGACCGGAAACACACCTTACTAAAATGGTCAGACAAGCAGGTACACATTTTCAGATATTTCAAATATTCCATGCATAACTTTCTGTATGTATTGTTAACCCAAGGCCACGAAATAGTCCTGTGAAAGTTTAAATTTAAGATATTGTAAAATAAAAGGTTGTTCTGAATCGCATTAAGATAATTATTATTATTGTGTATATTTTCAGTATGCAGATGTTTTTGTAAATTAATTCCTTGTCTTTTATATTCATTTTTTTTTTAGAGAAAAACAGAACGGAGCTTGAACAGATCCCAAAAGTAAGACTTCATTTGTGTTTAATATGGTATAAATAAAATGAAAAGGAAATAGAATTTTCATTTATTGGAGAAAATAGTAATTTTGACACGCTAAGTCATTCAGCTTGTAGCACTAGCCAAATTAATTAAGCGTGAAAGGTTTTGACTCATTTAACAGACTGTTTTTCCATACGGTCCAACCATAAATGCCCATCCAAAAATGTGTTTTTGACAAGTCTTATTAGTTGGACAATGTGTACAGGGATAGTGTTGTCATGTTTGGTTCCAGGTCATGTTTTCTAAAATGATATGGTTGTTAGAGTTTACATTAAATGCTTCCATGTTTAATTGATTAACTGTAATCTTCTAAAGCACTTGAGACGATAGTAATTTATTTTGAGCAGAGGGGTATACATGTATTGAGTCAAAAGTTAAGTATTGTGGTATAACCAGAATCTGACCTACATATACTGAATAGATGTAATTAAGTTTATTAAAAGCTGACAGTTTGTGAAAAAAGTAAACTGGGCAGTCAAACTCTAAACAAAATAAACTGGGCACCAAAAACTAAATAAGCAAGGCACCACAAACAAAATAAATGGAACACCCAAAACAAAATGCACTGACTGCATTTACCCCAAAACTAAATAAATAGGGCACCTAAAACACTGTAAACAGGGCACCTTAAAACATGTCACCCAAACCCAATTAACAACATCAAGTCTATTTAACCCAAAACATTAAACCAATCACTCATATCCAAACACAATAAACAGGGCACCTTGAGCCAAAATGAAATATATGGGGCATTCATACCCAAAACAAAATAAACAGGTCACCTTAAGTCAAAATAAAATAAACAGGGCAACTAAATCCAGAACAAAATTAATAGGGCAACTTAAGCCAAAATAAAATATACAGGGCACACAAACTCAAAACAAAGTAAACAGGTCACCTTAAGCCAAAAATAAAATATTTAGGGCATCCAATTCCAAAACAAAATAAGCAGGGCACCCAAAACAAAAAGAGCACCCAAACCCAAATATCCTTTTGAATAATTAAATGAACGCAGTTTTGACAATCAAGTATCTGTGAATGTGACATGCTGCATATTATTTTACTAGATAAATCCACATGGTGATTGTGATACATACATATATACTGTTTATATGTTTGTATAGTTGTAATTATTGAAGATGAGTCATCAACATCGGGAGACGGATATTGATGTCTATGTGCAACAGCTGACAGGCTGATACATTTATTTATATACTGTTTTAATGATTTATAATAAGTGAAGTCAAGATGAACAAAGCATTAGTACTGCTTAACGTTTGTATATTAAGTGCTGTATGTTTGCTTGCATTCTATATTGTTTTTATTAATTGGGATACCAGTCAATACAATGATGTCTATAATATATAATAGCGATAATTTTGCAAACAATTATTAACCAGGTTTTCAACGAAAACCGGGTTATTGTAATGCCGAAGTCGGCGGGCGGGCGTCAACTTTTGGTTTTCGCTCAATAACTTTAGTTTGCTTTGGCCTATTGACACCAAACTTGGTGTGTAGGTAGCTTATATCAAGAGGCAGCTTGGGATTGCTACCCAGGTGTCTGTGATCAAGGTCAAGGTCACTGTTACTAAAAAAAGAAATTCAGTTTCTGCTCAATAACTTGAGTTTTCTTTGGCCTATTGACACCAAACTTGGTGTATGGATAGCTTATATCAAGAGGCAGCTTGGGATTGCTACCTTTGTGTCTGTGATCAAGGTCAATGTCACTGTTACAAAAAAATAGAAATTAAGTTTCTGCTCAATATTTTGAGTTTGCTGTGGCCTATTAACAACAATCATGGTATATGTATAGCTTATATTTAGAGGCAGCTTGGGATTGTTTCCTAGGTGTCTGTGATCAAGTTTAAAGCCACTGTCACTAAAAAAGAAATTCAGTTTCCCCTCAATAACTTGAGTTTGCTTTAGCTTATTGACACCAAACTTTGTGTATGGATAGGTAATATCAAGAGGCAGCTTGGGATTGCTACCCAGGTGTCTGTGATCAAGGTCAAGGTCACTGTTACTAAAAATAGAAATTCAGTTTCTGCTCAATAACTTGAGTTTGCTTTGGCCTATTCACACCAAACTTGGTGTATGGATAGCTTATATCAAGAGGCAGCTTGGGATTGCTACCCAGGTGTCTGTGATCTAGGTCAAGGTCACTGTTACTAAAAAATAGAAATTCAGTTTCCGCTCAATAACTTGAGTTTGCTTTGGCCTATTGACACAAAACTTGGTGTATGGATAGCTTATATCAAGAAGCAGCTTGGGATTGCTACCCAGGTGTCTGTGATCAAGGTCAAGGTCACTGTTACTAAAAATAGAAATTCAGTTTCCGCTCAATAACTTGAGTTTGCTTTGGCGTATTGACTCCAAACTTGGTGTATGGATAGCTTATATCAAGAGGCAGCTTGGGATTGCTACCCAGGTGTCTGTGATCAAGGTTTATGCATTTAGTTTTCATGTTATAACTTTAGTTTGCTTTGACCTTTTGTCACCGAACTTGCTGAGTGGCAGCTTTGGATTGCCACTTAGATATCTGGGAGCAAGGTCAAGTTAGTTTGCTTACAATAGAATATTCAGTATCTACTCAATAACTTCAGTGCACTTTGACCTATTGATTGCTGTCACATCAAAACTTGGTCGTTGAAAACCTGGTTTTCGTCGCATTGCGGCGCTTCTTGTTGATTCATATGAACATGTACTCATTTCCATTGATCCATATGTATTCATTTTCATTGATCCATATGTACTCATTTCCATTAATTAAATTATAAAACTATCTGAGAGAAAAAAAGAGAAGAAAATTGATATTTACATTTGAACATCTTCTTTTCCAGTTATTTTTATTACCAAATTTCAATTTGGAAAATCCTGATACATTTAATGCTGTGTTTCCATGGACACAAGTTGAGGAGTCGAAGGTGAATCAGGCTGGTAGCCGACATTCTTCCAAGTTGTTACAGGAAAAAGTAAGTATTTCCTAGAGCTCTATATTGCCCTGTGAGCATAATATAGCTATTATAATTATCCGGACCGCACTTGATTATTTGGATCGTCCTTTCTCCTATGCCCGAGGTATTACGGTTGTTGATTTTAAACCACTTGCCCCTCACCTTTTTAGGTTCGAATACTTCCAGGGACTTGGGGATTATATCCTGGTAACTTAAAATTCAGTTTGCTTATAGTATGTCAGTGGTTCTACTCCGGTAATGACTTGAGTATGAAGTATGGAGTATGAAGGAGCACCTGCAGTCTCACTCAATCGATTACACAAAAAGTCACCATATGACCTTAAAAGTGTCGATGTTACTTAAAATCTAACAAACAAAAAAAGGACGTTTAAAAAAAAAATGTTGCAACTATTAATCTAGCTCAGTTTCTATGAAAACAGCCTATGACATCTGGAGTATATAATCTTTGACTTATCTAATGATATAGATCATTGTGTTTATAACTGTTTATTCCCTGGAGGACAGGACGTTTTTTTTTGATGAATTTGCACTTTTCTGTTGCAAACCAATGTGCTTGTTGGACTCAAGTACGACAAGACATTTAAGATGACTTTTCTTACATTCCATGTTTTCTATCTAAGATGTGACTTAAAATGTGTTAAAAATCACCTGAAAAACCAAACAACCAAACAAACGTTGAAATATTTAATGACAAAACTGTTCAGCTAGCAATTGTTTAGTCAGTGATTCTATCCAGTTGCTTGTTCGTGTGTGCGTACTTTGTAAGAGCCTTCTTGCATCTTACTCAGCCATTGAAGCTGAAATAATTGTAATATAACTTACAATATTTACAATATTGTCTGTGTGACTTATAACAAAACTTATAAACAGGTATGCTGTCAAAAATCACATAGTCTGAGGTTGTAATTATGTGTAATGAGGTCAAAGTATGCTATTATTGTAAACAATATTTTTATGCATTTCAGCTGAGTCATTATCTAGACATAGTCGAAGTACAGATAGCCCAGCAAATCTCGCGGAGATCCGAGGCTTTCTTTCATGCAATGACGTCACACGATGAACTGCAGGAGAAAATGAAAGTCACATGTGCAAGGATCAAGTATCTCAGGTTGGCTAATGTTTGAAAAAAATCACAAAAAGTCTATTCTTGAAACTTTTTACTTTATTGTTTAATTTCTTAATTTTTGAAGTGTCATTAAGATACCCTTACACTGATGGAATCAAAATGGATTAATCTGTCACCAGTACAGAGCCAGGCCAGTCTGTACTTCTGTCCAATTTGACAGGCTCTACTTTTGTATTTTAATATTATAATCCCTTACACTTTGAGTTGCACTTTGAGTTGACTGTTCCAAAATTTAAAACAAATTAATTTACACAAATTCTGCTGATTAAGGATAAATGGCATTTTATTGCTTATATTTTGAACTATTTATTGAATAGACATAAACATTTACCCAAGACCAAATTTTCAAAGTTCAGTCATGCAAACACACAACCTTTTTACTGCAGGTTTAAATTTTGTCAGGAACATTGATTTTTGTTTGCATTTGAGGAAGATACCCAGCTAGCTTGCTCAAGGTTCATGACTCTGTTGAGAAATTAAAATGTGTTTGAAATAGATATACAGATGTGTATATTTCACTATTTGAAGTCAGTCAGTGTAAAAAGCTGGATGTTTAAAGCAGCACGCCTCCAGATTCATGCTAATTTTCTTGAAAATTTTGAAAATGTATTTGAATGTGTAATATTGTGAAGTAACCAAAAGGAAGCAATTTAAACATTATCAATGGCACTTAAAAACCACGTAAATAACCGAAAAGTGGTCAATTGTTTTGCCAGGTTATATGGTTTTGCCAGGTTAGATAGTACTAATCATATATAACTCAAGTTTTATGGGGAGGATTTTATTTAAAAATAGTGTAAAACTCAACCATATAACCTGTCAACAATCTTCATAACAAAATTCTCTTACTGTAAATGTCCTGTCTCTGGTTAAAAAAGAAATTGATTGATAAAATTGCAGCATCTGTTTATTTTGATAATATCAACCTTGTGATTATCCAATGAAAATCAATTTTACAAATGTGAAGTATTATATTTATATTTGACAGGGATAAAATCAACAATATGGATACAATGATGGCCAAGGAATCATTAAAAGTGCTGAAACTAACAAAGTCACGGTCAAGTTATGTTCACCTGCATAATAAGGTACATAATGTTTAGATATTATTTAATAATAAAGTTTATTCGCTACATTTTCATGATTGGTTTGTCCTTTTAGTTTTAAACTGTTCATTGTTAATGTGAAGAAATTCAAAATATTAATGGAGCTCCACTGAGGTCCAAGAATTCCTACGTAGATCAAGTGGTGCCATTATATTGGAAGAATATGTAAAAGATAATAAAGGATAATAGAATTAAATTAAAAATCATTTTTTTTGAGTTGAGGAATGATTTGAAATTTGCAAACCATTTTTTTTTTGTCCAGACTACATTAGATGGTACACAAATTTTGAAAATTATGTTTTGATTGCCTTCATATCGAAAAAACTCAATGCAGTCCCTATAAACTTGAGCAACTCAAGAAAAGGGATTCGAAAATCTAGCATATATAATAATATTTAATTGTTGAAGATTATTTAATATGCTACTTATTTTAATTTCAATGATGTTGGGTTTTGTATTTCTTCAGTTAAAATTAATGGCAACTGTTCACCAGACTCAGCCTACTATACAAACTTTGTTGTCTACCAATGAGTTTGTTGGTGCATTAGATCTCATCTCAACTACACAAGAAGTTCTCTCTCAGGAGCTGGCAGGGGTTCATAGTCTTAGGTAACACTGTTGTTTGTTTATTATACCCCCAAAAACGAAGTTTGGGGGGGTATATAGGAGTCACCCGGTGGTCGGTCGGTTGGTCGGTCGGTCGGTCCAGACGTCCGTTGCATTTTCCTTGTCCGGAGCATAACTTGAAGACTAATGATTGGAATTCAATATAACTGCACACAATGGTCAAGCACATTGAGAGGAAGTGCAGTGCACAAGAACTATAACTTTATCTTGACTAATTACAGAGTTATTGCCCTTTGTTACTTTTCCTTGTCCAGGGCATAACTTGAAAACTACTGGTTGGAATTCAAAACATCTTCATACAATTGTCAAACACAATAAGGGGAAGTGCAGTGCACAAGAACCATAACTCTATCTAAAGTAATTACAGAGTTATTGCCCTTTGTTATTTTTCCATTCCTTTCTTTTGTCCAGACCATAACTTGAAGAATTCAATATAACTACATACAATGGTCAAGCACATTGAGAGGAAGTGCAGTGCACAAGAACCATAACTCTATCTTGACTAATTACAGAGTTATTGCCCTTTGTTTCTTTTCCTTGTCGGGGGCATAACTTGAAAACTACTAGATGGAATTCAAAACAACTTCATACAATTGTCAAACACAATAAGGGGAAGTGCAGTGCACAAAAACCATAACTCTATCTAAAGTAATTACAGAGTTATTGCCCTTTGTTACTTTTCCATTGCTTTCTTTTGTCTGGACCATAACTTGAAGACTAATTGTTGGAATTCATTATAACTTAATACAATGGTCAAGCACATTGAGAGGAAGTGCAGTGCACAAGAACCATAACTCCATCTTGACTTATTACAGAGTTATTGCCCTTTGTTACTTTTCTGTGTCCAGGGCATAACTTGAAAACTACTGGTTGGAATTCAAAACAACTTCATACTTTTGTCAAACACAATAAGGGGAAGTGCAGTGCACAAGAACCATAACTCTATCTAAAGTAATTACAGAGTTATTGCCCTTTGTTACTTTTCCTTGTCCGGGGCATAACTTGAAAACTACTGGATGGAATTCAAAACAACTTCATGCAATTGTCAAACACAATAAGGGGAAGTGCAGCACACAAGAACCATAACTCTATCTAAAGTAATTACAGAGTTATTGCCCTTTGTTATTTTTCCATTCCTTTCTTTTGTCCGGACCATAACTTGAAGACTAATTGTTGGAATTCATTATAACTTAATACAATGGTCAAGCACATTGAGAGGAAGTGCAGTGCACAAGAACCATAACTCCATCTTGACTTATTACAGAGTTACTGCCCTTTGTTACTTTTCCTTGTCCAGAGCATAATTTGAAAACTGCTGTTTGAAATTCAATACAACTTCATACAGTTGTCATGGACATTGAAAGGAAGTGCAGTGCACAAGAGCCATAACTCCATTTTGACAAAATACAGAGATACTGCCGTTTGATACTTTTCCTTGTCCGGAGCATAACTTCAAACATACTGGTTGGAATTCAAAACAACTTCATACAATGGTCAAGCACAATAAGAGGAAGTGCAGTGCACAAGAACTATAACTCCATCTTCAGTATCTAAAGAGTTATTGCCCTTTGTTTCTTTTCCTTGTCTTTCTGGACTTATTACAGAGTAATTCAATAAAACTTCATCAATGGCCAACCACATTGAAAGGAAATGCAACATACAAGAATCACAACTATCTTTAATTGCCCATAACCATAACTCTATATTTCAATTCTTTTACAAGGTATTCTGTTACTAGTAACATCCTCATTTCTGAAGCAGTTTTGTAGGGGTATTAATCACATTTAGTGATAGTTCTAGTTTATTATATACTATGAATGAAATATTGAGAAATAAAATGTGTATTTTCATTTTCTGTATTTTCACTGTATACATTTATTTTTCACTGCAGTGAAACATATTTTCCATATTTTCACTGGTGTCTTGCCATACTACTTTCTTATACTAAATTCAGGAAAATAAATCCTGTATTTATAGAAAAAAACTTGAATATCCTCTATTGACATGAATTATGAATGTGTAAAAAATGCATTATAAAATTTATATGTATTAGTGGATATTTATGGGTCAGAAATTTTTTTCTCAAATGTCAAAAAGCTGACTTTTAAGATGTTTTAAGATTATTATAATTGCAATAATGTCAAATATAGTAATCACATGGTACTGTAACAATGCAGCGATGTGAATAATCAGCATAAAATAGATACAAATATTTACCTTTCTTACTGGATATTACATTTTATAAAACTGCACATTTGCAACATCGCTTTTCAATGGATAATCATGACGTTCATATAGTTTTGTTTGACGGCTGCTGTAAATCATTGAAGAAATCTCACTTTTTTCTCTAAAAAATGATGCTTGCTGTATTATAAATTTGTTATAAATATTTCCAAAAGGTTAATTGGTGGTATATAAATGGTTTGTTTGTAATATATTTCCAAACAGCCATTTATATAGAACCATATAGCCTATCAAAATTTTTATAACTAATAATATAATGGTATATTTTCAGTGATCAACATATAATTAACAAATTTATCATCTGCCTATCAGGCATTTAGGTTCCCAACTGGCAGAGTTACAGAAGCTGATAGATATAATGATACAAGAAGAATTCCATAAGCACGTCACGTCGGAGCTGAACCGACCCATGTCAGATTCTACACCACTGCTTGATGAGGTAATAATCCTGGTATTTTATAAGTTATAAAGATGCTAGAATTATATTGCAAATAATCTGATTCGCAGCCATATAAGATGTCAAATATCTTGATGAATTTGTAATACATCAAAATTATCTATTTTTTAGTTTCACCTATTGCTTTATCATTTAGGCCACAAACATAATTTATTCGAGGGACCATATGCTTTTTCTTATAAAAAAAACACAAAATAGTCACATGGATGGTTCAATGATCACTGCCATATTGATATGGACACATCTGCATGTGTATTTAAATTAGACACCATTTTCATATTTCTATGTAAAATCCTGCTTTATCTGGTACAAGTGTGTACGGATGATAGCTTGCACTTACCACTATTGCCCACAGGACAGCTCTCCATTTTGTGTGACTTGCAATGAATATTTCACTGTCAAACATTTTATCTTCTTGAAAGCCATGATCTTATACTGGTTCCTGTTAGATCTTATGGAGTAAATTCACTTACAGAACTTTTTGTCTTAGTTCCATCAAAAATGCTGATTAATAACTTAAACGAAGTAAACTTGTATTTTATGGTTTAACTTCATCACTCATCTAACTTTTACAACTCATTTTAGGCCCTTATTATAAGTGGCCAAATATGGCCAAAAACTTATCAGTGTTGCCGTTAAATACAAACAAAACAATCATCCACGTAGAGGCTCAATCAAACTGAGTCTGAAAAGTTTTCAGTTTTGCTGTGTTGGCAGACCATATAAAATTATGGTATTATATAATTATTGTAATAAGGAAATTATTTTGCCTTTTTATCTTACAGGAAAAACTTGTGGCAACATTATTTGGGATGTTAAGACTTCAGAAATTTCAGTTTCTTGATGTATATAGAGATGAAACCTTCACTGGTATGAAGGCAGTGGTAAAACAAGTAAGTTGTTGTGTTCTGTTGAGATGTTGACATTTTCTTGCATCTTATATCATACATTTGCAAGAGAAGAGATGTTCATGGCTGAGTGGTTATGGTCGTTGACTTCTAACTACTTGCCTCTCAGAGCGGTGCCAGCGTCTTCAGAGTCTCCATGTGAGAAAGCTATCCAGCGAGCTTACAGAACGTTGTTGGTTCTACTGAGGTGCCCTTTTATGCCTGAAATAATGCACAAATGGGCACCTAAGGTCTGCCTTCACCAGTAAAGCTGAAAAGGTGCCATATGACCTATACTGTGTTGGTGCCCTGTAAATCCCAACCAAAAACAAAACCAAGAAGAAAAGAAGAAATTTGTCATCTTTCATATAGTAAGTAAACGTTCTGATCTTAATGTCCAGACCTCCACCCAAAAAATTTATCCGCCAGTTAAACATATACAGTGCTCCTTAGGTGAAAATCTATGATTGCTGAAATGTATTGAAATTTTTGAATTTTTTACTATATACATCAGGCCCCGTGTTCACAAAGAAAAGATCAGGATCAAGATCAAGTGATCCTGATTTTATTTTCATTGTTTTATGTTACTAAAATTGACTGTGTTTAGCTTGAATTAAATAGTAAATATTCAAAATGTAAAAAATTGCTGATTTGCAAAGAAATCAAACTATTTTGGGATAAAATTAACAAATAACAAAACAAATACATAAATATTTGGATCAAAATAAGGATCAATTTTAGGATCAGGATCAATATTTGGATCAACTGTGAAATGCCCGTATCTTGTAAAAATAACAATAAATTTATTCTAAAATTTCATTAATTTGCTATTGCAAGTCCAGTTTTATCAAATTGATATTAAATATTTAATCTATGAGGATAAAAATGAAGAATATTAGAGTTTTTCAATTTGATCCTGATCTTGATCCTGATCTTTAAATCTTTGTGAACACGGGGCCAGGGTGTCAGTTTGACCCCTGAAATGACTCTTTGACCCTTCAAATTCCCAAAAGGCCTTATTTGACCTGCAGGTCTTTAACTAGAGGGTCAAATTTTGTTAAAATCATGGGGACTTGACCTTGTAGTCGGTAAAACTTAGTCAAAATGACCCTCAGGATTTCATGGCTAGTGAATTTTTTACTATATACATGTATGTCTAATTTGAATAGAATAATGCTATGTTTGGGATGCTGCATTCCCTATAATTGGTCAGGACTGAGGTTAATTTTGTTCTTTCTTCAATGATACTATGTATTCATACTATGTTTACCTATAATATGTACAGTACGCTCAGCGCGGCTTTTGCAAAACCCACGTGTCCCCGCGGATGCGACTCATCGCGGACGAAAATTTGCTCAAATATTGTCCGCGTAACCCCGCCAGAAAATTTTCACCACCGCGGACATAAATCTACAACCAGAGCATTTTCCCCGCGGAACACTGTGGTTAATTGCGGAGGAACGCAGTGGTCAATCTCCGCGGACCGCGGTGGTATTCATCTTGAAAACGATTGAATTTTACAAGTATTTTATGGAACTTGTAAACCTTATGAAAAACATGTAATAGTACAGTTAAGAATTTATATTAGAGTCTACTAAAATAATTTATTTGCCTTTATTTTCCATTTCAGAATGTTTTTGGACGTCAATTTCAGAAGTTGCAATGTAGGCCTACAGCTAGCGTCCGGGGCCGTACCGCTAGTCAAAAGTTATTGCAACCTGTATTTTTTCCCTGACCCCGATTTTTTAAGTTAACGTAATAATGCATTTATTTCCGTGTGAATAGACATAAGTTTTGAAATGACAAGCTGTTCGGGCCCGTTTTGCTACCAAAAAAAGTTATTTCACCAAGTATTTTCCGTATTTTTCCAGTAAATCCGATCGTTCAATCAGTTACCGGTGTAAACATATTTTTTTATACAAATGAGTATCCCTATTTACCGACAAGAACAGTCAAGGACCGACAAGAACCCATATGTTGTTAATAAACATGTACTCGTACATATTTAATACATGCAAGGCTTATTTATTTTCTTTTAATCTGAGTGTTTGTTTTTTGTTTCGTTTTTTATATATAGAAAATTAAAAATATAGTGACTGACAAGAAAAAAAATCTGATGCAAAGCGTGTACTGTAACGTTCATACCGACAAGAAACCTTTTGTAACTTAATATAATCAGTTGCAAAATTTGTGTTGAAAGTATTTTATGAACATGTTTCCACTTTTTGTGTCGCCTTGAAAAGGTGACATATAGGGGTTACTTTTGTCGGCGGCGTCTGTGTCGTTGTCGGCTTCGTTGTCGGTGTCCCCTAAAGCTTTTCCGGAGCATAACTCAGTCACTATAAGTCTGATTGACTTCAAACTTGGTATGCATGCTTCTTTCAATAACCCAATGCAGTGCACAAGGACCAGTACTCTGCAGTTCTTATTTTTTGAGTTATTGCCCTTTGTTAATTTTCATACTTTAATTTGTCCAGGCCATTTCTCTTCAACTAAAAAAGCTATGGACTTGAAACTTCATAGGATGATAGATCTCATTAAGAAGAAGAAGTGCAGTGCACAAGAACCGGTACTCTGCACTTCCTAATTTTTGAGTTTTTTGCCCTTTGTTTATTTTCAATACTTTAATTTTGTCCGGGCCATTTCTCCTGAAGTATAAAAGCTATGGACTTGAAACTTCATAGGATGATAGATTTCATTAAGAAGAAGTGCAGTGCACAAGAATTGGTACTCTGCATTTCTTAATTTTTGAGTTATGGCCCTTTGTTAATTTTCATACTTAATTTTTGTCCAGGCCATTTCTCCGAAAGTATAAAAGTTATGGACTTGAAACTTCATAGGATGATAGATCTCATTAAGAAAAAGTGCAGTGCATAAGAACTGATACACTGCATTTCTTATTCTTTGAGTTATTGCCCTTTGTTGATTTTGGTACTTTATTTTTGTCCCAAGTATGAAAGGTATGGACTTGAAACATCATAGAATGATAGATCTTATTGATAAGAAGTGCAGTGCACAGAAACTGCTGCTCTGCACTTATTATTTTTTAGTTATTGCCCTTTGTTATTTTTCATATTTCATTTTTGTCCTGGCCATTTCTCCTAAACTACATTGTTCACAAGGCGACACATCCGACTCGCGGAGTTCTAGTTCATTAAAGACATTGCATGAATATCTATGACTACCGACAGGAAAAAAAATAATCAGACATTCTGCGTAGTGAAGATTACCGGCAAGACATTTTATTAATTAACATGTATTTTATTTCATTTCTAGATATATTTTAAACTTTACAATGGAATATGTAGGGACTACGACAAGAAAAACGGATGTATTAAAAATTTCTTTCTTTTGTTTTAATTTTTATCGTGATAATAAGCATGTCACGCACGTGGCTAAAAGTTTCATTTTTGTTGCAAGACATGAAATAAGCATGGGGATGTAATGAAAAATGTACTGTTTAAAATTCAGAACTGTATCAAAACATTGTAAAATTGAGGGAACACTGTTTTTTGTAGGAAAGATGTGTTTTCCGTTGACTAATACATTCGGAGATTGGCGAGTAAAATTTTTCTAAACTCTATTCTAAATTTCATCGTAGAATTGTAAAAATTTGGGGGTGCTGTTTTTTTTGTTGCAGGACATTGAAATAAACATGGGGGGATGCAGTAAGAAATGTACTGTTAAAATTCAGAATTGTATCAAACATTGTAAAATTGAGGGAACACTTTTTTTTTTTTTTTGTAGAAAGATGTGTTTTCCGTTGACTAATACATCGGAGATTGGCGTGTAAAATTTTTCTAAACTCTATTCTAATATTTCATAGGTAGATTGTAAAAATTTTGGGTGCTGTTAATTTTTGCTGCAAGACATAAAAATAAACATGTGGTTGTAGTAAGAAATGTACTTTTAAAATTAGAACTGTATCATACCAAAGAAATATCTTTATATATCAAAGAAAAGGCACATCCTCAAGTAACCCAGGCCGTATACCGGTATCGGTAATTAAAAAAGCAAGTATTTATGAATAGTGTACCGTGGGTTTCTGGCGATAGAAAATAAACAATTAATATTAATTTTAAAAATGGCAGAAGGGGGACTGCGTATAAATTACTTATTCTTGCATGTTTTAAAAATAAAAGCACATCCACGGTCATTAGACTTATGTAAGTTTTTTTTTGTTTGTTTATTTTTTTAATTTTTCTTAGATTTTTCTTATCCTGACCCCCCGCGTTACTCCGCAAAACACGGAATGACTTGATTTTAACGATAATATGAACTGCCCAATCGTCAGGATTTTGGTCCGCGGTGGAAAACAACAAAGACACCGTGGATCGCGGGGGAAAAATGGATTGGGTTTTTTATCGAGCGGACCTCCCCGCAGTTTGGGGTCCGCGGTAGAAAAAAAAATCGTCCGCGGTGGTATCACGGAAAAGGAAAAGCCGCGGTGAGCGTACTGTAGAGTTTTAAGTGTAACATATCTTTTCTGTGTGTACTAAAAACGTTTGTTTACATTTTTAGGAAAAGGAACAATTACCTGTATTTTTCAAATAATCTGAAATAATGGAATTCCACATGTCAGGTCTAGAACATTTATTTTGTGCAGCAAAAGAGATTTCAGATAGTAAAGGAGGTCTGAACAATTTTCTTGTGATCATTTTCTACTTTTCCACTATTCAAAATTTTTGTGATCAGATTTTTATTTTGAACAAATTTCTTGTGATCATTTTCTACTTTTCCAAAATTTTTGTTTTTATTTTGAAAAATGACATGAAAAATGAAAAGTATGTTTTTCAATTTAATTCTGAGTATATTTCTTTTTTTTTTTTTTTTTTTGCCTATCTTACCGTTTTTAGTGCCCCAGTTGATCTGTGTATGAAATTCAATTTTTATGTATTATGGCTTTTGGACCTCAGTGGAGTTTCTCTGATTGTTGATATGGTGGAGAAAATGTCTGAGGGTCAGAATATATATAAGCTTTATAGCATTTAGTCCTGTCCTTTTTTGCATTTTTGCATTTTTATCCATCTCTGGATCCAGTATAGGGGGCTGTATAATAAGTGTTATTCAAAACATATATGAAAGATTACAAAGTACCTTTACATTGTTATTTTGTAACTCACATGAGACATTTCTAGTGTATCAAGAATGATGTCATGTCAACTTGATATATATTTTGCCATATTAGATTTTAATAATTTTTTAGATAAATTTGAATTTCAGTTTAGCGGACCAGATGAGATTATTAAATTATACACAATGGATGGAGCTGATGAAAAATATATTCCACAATTTATTGATTGTTCTTGAAAGAGCAAAGGTATGATTAATTCATTTATCAATATATGAATTGTTCATTTTCTATACATAACCAATTTAACCATATGAAAGTTCACTTTGCTTTTAACTATGTTGAAACATTTCTGGCAACAGAGTGAAACAATTGATAGATCCTTACTCTGACCTTTCATTTGAATAACTTTAAATTTACCCACCAACATTGACATGTGCTCTTTTGTTAACAAACATGTTGTGGTGAAATTCATGTTGTATCCACTCATCTGATAATTAGAATTGGACAGGTCTGGGATCTATGCATTAGAATAATTTGACAACTTAGAAGCTTATTTTTAAGAGTAACAATGTTTAAGCAATTTCCTTGAAACAAAAAATAAATGCATTGCAGGGCAATAGCATTTAATAGAAATATATAGTCTACAAATTAATAAGTTATTTTTTGAGACCTGTCTCTTTGTTTTATTAAAATGATCTGCCATCATGCCTTTTGACTTTGAGAATGGGGTAGTATTGTGATCCCAAAACTGGAAAAACAATGCAAAAAAATATCTGACTGACATCCCTATTGTGTGATTAGCTGCTGCACTAGTAGTTGCCAAATTTTAGTATTTTGATGCTAATGTTAAATGTCATAATAATGACCTGTTCCAAATTCGAAATGTCCATTTTACATGATCAGTAGGATAATGGATGATATCATAATAGTTACAATATAAAAATGTGATTCATCTGTAATAAGGATTAATTCTCATTTCAGTCATTCCATGGAATTGTTGTAGATGTACTGGGTATAGCTGCTGGTAAAACCAAGGTTCCTACACCGTTACATTCACCTATAGAGGATAGAAATGGCCCTCTAGAGGAACCTTTACATTTACATGTCTCTGTGTAAGTTACCTTATTATGTAGAGGCTTATTAATGTGTCATTACATCATAAAAGCTTCTGTAAAAAAGTCCAGGGGTAGATTATTTTGTAAGCCTCTTACGAGCTTGTTAAAAAATTTGTTCTCTCCCTTTTGAAAATAAAAATGGAAGAAAGCTATTAAGTTGGCATTTTACCTCTGTTTGCTGTTTGTACATCATTCTGTCCAGATTGGTGGGTCCAATTTAAATGAAACTTTACATGAATTGGGAGAGGAAGCTCACCAAAAACCATTTAGATCTACCTAAATTTGGGTTCTGAGTTTGGTCTTTTTGGACTTACAAAGGCACTTTTAACGGAAAAATTTTCATTTTAAGCCCTGTTTGACAACAAGTGGTTGGTTACATTGTATGGAAACTATTTGCATGTATACAGTAAAAAAAGAAATAATTCTCATGAAATCTTATTGTGCAGCATGATTTACGACCCTTTTGAACATTAAAATAGGACATAAATAGGATATACACTTACTAAATAGGACAGTGGCATTTGAATGTTTTTTTATACATATAAAACATAGGATAATATCAATGTTATATTTGCTATTGTAGAAGTGATGATGTTGATGTGATGATCACAATGGAGGAATACCACAAGACGATAGGTGGTTTACGAGAACTTCTTAACTCTGTATGTGATCACGCCCATGATAGATGTGTTAAAGTTGTTACTGCAAGAGCCAGGGTAAAACTTTCATTTGTTTTATAAAGTGGAACACCTTCAGGTGTAATGAGTAAAATAAAATTACAAGCAATCAATGTAAAGAAAAGTTAAATTATACTTTATGAATAATTCAACTGTTAAGCTGATTTATGGTTCTACCTAGTCATTGTTTAGTTGCACCTGTAAAATAATACATATTAGGGCCTATTGTTACCAATAAGGATATCATTATATTTATAATCCAGAGTCCCTGTGTTTAATCATAAACATTGAGTCTAATGGTCATTTGTCTCTCACCACTGATTAAGAAATCATTTGGGATAAGTAGTTGGTCACTTGCAGAGAAATTGGTAATTACTGGTTAAAGCATGTAAATTGGACTGACGGCTGGTATATGACCACAGGCTGTCCAGCGTCCCTAAAATTCCTAAAAAATCCTAATTTTTTTCAGTTTGGCTAAAATTCCTAAAAAAATGTAAAATTCAAAGGGAATTCCTAAAAATGCCCTATTTTTTCACTGAAATTCCTATTTTTTTATCTTTTGTTATAACATATCCCGTAACAACCTTTTTTCAATAAAAACCTGAATTTTAACACAGTCAGGAGCAGTTGTCATGTTATCAAACATGTTTGTTTTAAATTGAACAATAAAAATTGTCCGACTTTGACTATATCAAAATAGTCACTTGTTTAAAATGGTGATAAAAAATTTCCAAGCAAGTTATATTTTTTTTATTTGCTACAGAGTTTTACCATTTACCTCAGTATTTAAAGGTTCCACTAAATTTCATCAGACTTTATGTAGGGGACCTTTTTAATAAAATCTTAATTTGTTATCAAGTTCTTTTCAAGTGATGACTGTAGAATAGATCTTTTTTAAGTGATACAAGCTTGCAGATCTAGACAAGTTTTTATATTTGGTAATATTATAAAGTGGGTAAGGTAAACTAGCTGTAATGATTGGATGCTTTTACCATACTAAGAAGTGACACCTTCAGCTGCCCTTTTTGTACACATTAACATTTAAGTCATACCAATGCAATCATGAATGTACAGTATATATGTTATAACATTTAGTGTATGTTTTTTTTTTTAATCTGGAAAATAACTGTTAAAAATCATTGAATAGATTGACACTGTTGTGAAATGTTCTAGCAATTGTTAGTAGCCCTGATTTATCTTTAACAAATTCTTCAGTGGTGAATACCCTGCTGTTTGAATATAGGTTAAAATATTCCGGAAAAATTTTT